AGTGCAATGTGAATGTTCCAGTGCAGCAGCTTATACAAAGCTTTCTGTTTTTTATAAATGTGGTGTGGTCTGGTCATGTACATATCTACACAGATGGTTCAGTGATACATGACCCCAAATGTTCTGCCTACGGGATTTATATTGATGGCGATGGCCTATCTGAGAGCGGAAGGATTCCAGAGGTTTCCTCGATATTCACGGCCGAGTTATATGCAATTTGCAGGGCAATAAAACTAATTGAGAGAAACGAATGTAGTAAGAGTGTGATTTTTTCTGACTCTAAAAGTGCGTTAGACGCTATCCAATCCTCGCATGAGGGTCACATGGCCAATATCACTGACCTACTTGTTTCGTTCTCTGATATCAGTGAAATAATTAACAAGGAAGAAAGGGAAAAATGGCAGTACCTATATGAAATCAGGTCAGAGAACAAGGGAAAATATTATTTCGAGGGCAATCCGAGAGTGGGAATGATACCATGGTTTCAAGAGTTAAAGTTCACCAAGAAATCTGAAATATCAGCTCTGTGCAGATTACGAACGGGCCATAACAGATCTGCAGCTCATCTTTTTAGGATGAATTTGGTGGATTCACCGCACTGTGACTGTGGGATGATATCCACCACTAATCACATTTTTTTTGAATGTGAAAACAACAGTGCTGCTACAAAAGTGCTCATAAGTGGACTAATCACTGACAAAGTTTACCTTCCAACATCAATACGCGTCCTGTTAAGGATGAAGGATATCAAGATAAATAGACTGATCTTAAATTTTATCAAAAACTCTGGATGTGTTGTTTGAATATTTATTATATATGTATTTATTCTGTTGTCTTTGTTACCCCTTTTTAATCTGTTCTAACACTTTTTATTTACCGATCCGAGGCCTTCCCACACTGTGATAAGAGCTGATAGGTCCCTGCTCGTGAAGAGTTTGTATAAATGTTGAATAATTTTTTGTTATTTTTATTATTTATAAATTTACTGTATATTTATACAGTAGCAGGGTGATTCTGTGTAATTGTCTTTAATAGTCTATTCATCTTTTTATTGTTATATTTTTTGCTTGTTTATATACTCTTTTAGTTTGTACTAGACATTGACTGGCTACATACACTGTGAGGTGTGAGCTAAGTGCACACCTCCACTCTATTATAGAGTGGAGGAATCAGAACAGAACAGTAACCGAGACACGCATATATGTAGACTTCACTTCACTAACCAGGACCTAGCGACTCTTATCACAGTGTGGAAGGTCTCGGATAGGTAAGTCAGATAAAAAACAAACCATCAAAGTACATAATACAATTAAATGGACAAAAAAAGTGAGGTAAGTACTAATGTTTTTATACCACATACAGATTTATATGTCCCTATCCTGCCCTCTTATTAATGGGTTCATGGTGGTCTAGAAATAAATCTTTAGGATACAGAGTTTGTCAACAAATTTCTTAGTGAATACTTTATTATTAGTACATTCCAGAAACAAGTGGTTAATAGTCGCTATATCACCACAAACGCAAGAAGGGAATTTAGTTATTTTCGTATGTTTCGATACAAATCAGCTAGTATGTCCTGACCGTAATCTTCAATTACTTTATGGAAAATGTAAATCCCAAACTATGATATAATTTTGAATATTTAAAAAATATCGTTATTTGAGTTGCCTACATCAAAAACAAAATTTCAAACTGTAGAAAGTTTTGTTAAGCCACATAAGCATAATTTTAAAAATATTATTTTGCATATTATTACAGTTTCTTGTATTTTATAATATTTTGTTAAGCATTTCTTATAATTTCATTTTAATTACCTAGATAATATTTATCTAATTCCATAAATCTATACGAATAAATAATTTAATAAGACAGACATTACTTAAAGTTACAGAAAATCTAATTTAAATAATTAATTTTGTAACGACTGTTATATAACTGATAATATTGTATCTGCTATAAAACAAGTCGAATTGTGCAGAAATCAGTTTGTATTTATAAATGTTATTACTCTTGTACATTTAATCAACATTTGCTATCACTTTGTATACACGATAAAAATTAAGTTTGATAGGACCAATGTTAAACTCTTTTCGCTGCAAATTTTGGCCTAGTCACCCCGACGTACCCAATGACCTCGATGGGTTTGACTCCTGGAACTTTCTGCTTGACGACGGTGGTCAATTCCGCCTGGTAACCTTTAGCTCCGGCGACTGCAGCCTCTTCGGCCAACTCCGGAGGAGCGTTTGCAGCTGCAGTTTCTGCCGCTCTCACCGCTCCTTCGAAAGCGACAATTGCCTCGGCCTTTGCGAACTTATCCACTGCATCGTACAGTTCCGTGTCTCTTTCACCGCGTAATCCTGCCTGGACGTCCACGTTGCTTGCGGTGGAATCTACGAAGACGGCGTGCTTTCCTCCGGAATGCTCTGGCAACTCCGGCTGCTCTGAGGAATCGTACCTCCTCTTGTGGAGTTCATCTTCGACAGATCGATCGAACCTAAGTAACTCATTCAATTATTACCAGTAACAACCTTGTACTTCTTCATTACCATTCGATTATTGATTCCTGCTTCTTTTTGTGCTCCGGTTTCGGGCTGTACACGATCTTGCGACGAGTAGGAAGCTCGCGCGGACCATGATGTTTCTGCATCGAAAATTGAATATCAAACAAATTAAGGAAATTAACGGAGATAACACAATCACAAAATAATATGTCCATACTACAACATTGCCTTTTTATTTTATAAATTGCATCATTAATACAAATGTATCAAATTTGAACAATGAAACCAAATGGAATATCTAAAATTAGAAGTTTTTATTCTATAAAAGTATCGATGGAATCAAAGCAAAAATGATATACCAATTTATATTTTTCACACAGCTCTAAAGTTTGTTACTAAATCTTCCATTCACCGATTACAATACTAATTGTCAAACAAAGATTGGATATGCAAATAAATTAAAATAAAGCTTCACATTGAGTGAAAGTCTCCTATCATCATTCAATTGCTTTCAATAACAAAATAAGTCAAATATTTGAAAATGTACTGGAATATATTGAAGCTCAAATCATGATATTAAAAATTAATAAAGAACCAAACACTTTATTATTCAGAAACATTACCTAGATAAACTTAAGTTCTATACAATATATTATAGCTATTTTAATAATATGATATTTGAGAAGTTTCTAAATAATATAAAATTAGATTTACATTGAAAATCGTCATTTCAAAAAAATGTCAATTTTGTCTTAGGTAGTTTTGGATACCTTTTTGGGTGTTTCATCGATGGAGATGTTGATGACGCTCTGGTCGAAGGATTCATCCCAGGTGTTGTTGCCCGAATTGTCGGACATAGTCAACAAAACTCGTAATTTATCTTCTGTTCTTGAAGTTTTTTATCCGTCAGTCGCCAAAAATAAAATCTGATTTTCAGGATTCCAAGGAAACGGTCAGTAAATAAGTGCGAGTATTTGCACATATGGAGATATCAACATACATATATATATATATTAGAGAGATGAGGAAAAATAATATTTTATCTACATGATACTTTGTCCTGTCCAGGTCTTAGAATTTATTCGCTCATTTCGTTTTTCTTGTTGTTGTTGAGTTAGGTGGTAAAAATTGTTTTCATTGGTTTTCTTTTTCAGTCTGCAAGATGGTATTTGCGTGTATGTGTTGTGTGTTTGGTTTTCGAAATACCGTCCACATAATCGGAGCGAGATAAAAAAAATAAATACAAACGTGCACATAAGGGTCATGTTTGTTGGTTGTTTTGATAGAGCGATTTACTCTAATCAGACTTAATTTATCGTTTAAATATTTGATTGGTGCGGCTAGTCCACGACGAGCAGATGAAGAGCACGCAGTGTCTTGGTGGTAGTATACGAGTCGTGTAGGAACATCAGGAGTTATTTTAAAAACGAACAAGAGAGAACTGAGAGAAACTATTAGGAAGAATGTTTCGCGTCGCGTCGAGCAACGTCTCCAAGAGACTGCAGAGGGCGGTGAACCCGACGAAGAGGTACTCGACGGAGGGGTCGCTGCCAGCGCAAGCGGATGTTGTCATTATCGGTGAGATTAAGAGTTAATATGTAATTGTTGACAAAGGTCATTTAAGAGGTAATTTAACTAGGTGGAGGAAGCATTGGGTGCAACGTGTTGTATCAGCTGTCCAAGAGGGGTGTGAGCGCCGTCCTTCTGGAGCAGGCCAAGGTGACCAGCGGTACGACATGGCACACGGCCGGTCTTCATTGGCGTCTTCGGCCAAACGATATCGAAGTCCAGCTGCTAGCCACCACGAAGAACGTGCTGGAGTCGCTTGAAGCGGAAACCGGCCTGCATTCCGGCTACATACAAAATGGTGGAATATTTATCGCGCGTTCAAAGGTTGTTGCCACACGCTCTCTTCTCTCTCACACTCACTCATCAATCTTCCTCGCCAATTGAAATCAATTTAACGCGCGCGAATTATTATCTTCTGTCGCACAGGAGCGCATCCAGGAGTATCAGCGTCTGCATACGCTCGGTCATTTCTTTGGAATCGAGAGTCAACTGCTGAACCCTGAAGAAGTAGTCAAACTATCACCGGCGCTCGACCCCAACGATTTCACCGCAGCCCTTTACAGCCCCGGTGATGGCGTCATCGATCCATCCCAGTTCTGCTCGTCCCTCATCAAAGGAGCCACCATGAACGGAGGAAAAGTACATTCAAACCATCTGTAGTAAACCTTTCACGCAACTAATTCCTCTTCGTAGCTTTTCGAGAACTGCCCAGTAACGAATTTAGTCCTGGACAGAACCGGAGGCATTAAGAAGGTGGTTGGTGTTGAAACCGATAAGGGAACAATCAAAACAAATTTCGTGGTAAACGCGTGCGGAGCATGGGCCAACAAAATTGCGAGAATGGCCGACGTAGACATACCTCTTGCGCCCATGAAGCACGCCTACATTGTCACCGAAAGCATCCCCGAAGTTAAGGGAACCCCGAATATCCGGGATCACGACGCGTCTGTCTACTTCCGCATTCAAGGAGATTCCATCTGCATGGGCGGCTACGAACCCAATCCAGAACTTCTCCGAGACGTAAACAACAATTCGCAAACAAATCAAGAATATTTCTAAATCCAAAATATTGAATTGCAGATTCCCAACGACTTCCAATTTGGCCTCTACGAATTAGACCATTCCATCTTCGACGTTCACATCGAAAAAGCAACAAAACTTTGCCCTACCCTCGGCAAGGTCGGAATCAAATCTACAGTCTGCGGCCCTGAATCTTTCACGCCAGATCATAAACCTCTGATGGGCGAAGACCCCAAATGCTATGGTAAGGAATATTTCAATTAATAATATTATACTTTATTTCTAAGAATAAATTTTGAAGGTCTTTACCATGCGTGCGGCTTCAATTCGGCCGGTATGATGTTGAGCAGCGGTTGCGCCGAGCAATTGGCCATCTGGTTGACCCGCGGAAGACCCGATCTTCCGATGTTTCCGTACGATATCCGAAGATTCACTACCAGCATGCGTTCAGATCGCTCGTGGATCGTGGAGACAAGCCACGAGAGTTACGTGAAGAACTACAGCATCGTCTTCCCGCACGATCAGTTCCTCTCCGGAAGAAATCTGCAGATCGATCCTTTCCACGAGGTGCTCGTTGCCCACGGAGCCGTCATGGAGCAGGCACAAGGTTGGGAAAGACCCGGCTACTACATCAAAGACTCGACTGCCCCAGTGAGAAACTACGATTGGTACGGTTACTACGATCACGTTAAGAACCCGGATCAGAGATACTCGAAGCAGCTGGAAAGGGATTACACCTTCAACTTCTCCAAGAATCATGACATCGTAAGTAAACATTGCTTTATCGAAGCTACTTGTGCAAATGCTTTGGTAATGTTTGCAGATCGGAGAAGAGTGCTTGGCGGCTAGGAACAACGTCGCTCTTTTCGATCTTTCCTACTTCACCAAATTGTACTTAACTGGACCAGATGCTCAGGAGGCGGCCGATTGGTTGTTTACCGCTAACACAGATAGGGAACCGGAAAAGGTTGTTTACACATGCTCCTTGAACTCGAAGGGAGGCGTCGAAGCAGATTGCACGGTGATGCCGTTGGTGCAAGGCGCAGGAAGATTGGTTGGTCCCATCCTGAAGGTAAATATTTCATTCTGGAAATATTAAAAATCTCAATTCAAACCATAATAAATTTGCAGGGAAAAGGTTACTACATCGTAGCAGGGGGCGGATCCGGATACCACACCATTTCCCACCTGAAGAAGCAGCTGTACATTAAAAAGTTCAAATCCGTCATCACCGATGTCACCGATAAAATGGGAATCCTCTCTATCCAAGGACCGAAGAGGTCAGAAACTCAATGATTCCAAATTAAATTTAACTATTTTTAATTTTATTTTTCAGTGGTGAGCTCCTGCAATCCATCACGGAAACTCCCATCACCGATCAGAACTTCCCGTTCGGAATGTCCCATTTGGTGACCATAAACGGACACACCTGTCGTGCGATGCGCATCAGCTTCGTCGGCGAATTGGGCTACGAACTGCACATACCCACCGCCAGTTGTCTATCCATCCTCAGCAAAGTGGAGGAAGCTGGAAGGAGTTTCGATATGAAATTCGCCGGTTACAGGTCGCTCTACTCGCTGAGTTGCGAAAAGGGCTACCATCTCTGGAACCACGACCTCAGAGGTAATGACAATCCTGTTGAAGCAGGTCTCGGCTTTGTCTGCCGCAAAGAAGGACCCTACCAAGGCAAAGACCAAGTCGATAAGCTTAAAAAACAAGGCGCAAAGAAGAAGCGCGTATTCTTCACCATCCCAGACAAAACCGTCGCCGTTTACGGCTTAGAAACCATCTGGAGAGACGACACCATCGTCGGGTTCTTGAGGAGAGGCGAATACGCTTATCATTTGGACTGCAGTCTCGGCATTGGGTGAGATATCAAGACTTTTTTAAATGATTTTCGCTTATTCAAAATTTAATTCACAGATTTGTCGAGCATCCTGAAGATAAGGTCATCACGGACGAATTCTTAAAGACCGGTCGTTACGAGATTGAGGTGATGGGCACCAGGTATCCGGCCATTCTCCATACCACCAGTCCCTTCGATCCAACCAACCAAAGGCTCATGGGTCACTACGAGCACCACTTCCAGGAACAATCTCATTTCGAAGACTGATTTTACACGTTCGTTAGATCTTTTACATAAATATATATATATACATACATAATATTTTTTTACACGTACTGTTGTCGATGATGCTAGATTTAAACAATTACTCGATTAAATAAATTTAGGAAAATTTAACAATTACAAAAATAATGGTGGAAATAAAGACATTATGTAACTTATTAACAGACGATTTTCATTATATTTATTTTTGTTGCTTGCGAACATGAGTTCGACCTTGCAGATGCTATTTGTGTGTTGGGGTCAATTGATTGCGAGGGTCAACGGCGAAAGCATTGCAAATATTGTTCAGTAATTCGTGAGCTCTCCAAAAACCATTTTATATCTATATACAAAACTACACAAATATCTTATAACAAATTTCAGATTAATTAGATACAAATTTGTAAATAAATGCTTCTAAAATTAACATTTTGTATAATTATTAACAAAAATAAGATTATATACAAACATTCTTCTAACTTTGTTATCTCCAGTATTTTTGGCAGAGACGTGTGGTAGATTTTTAAGTAGGAAATCCAACATTTTTTACGTATGATCGGGAGCCCCGATTTCCTATAGTCAATTAAGAAAAATTTAGATTATATTATATTAGATTATATTTAAAATAATGAATGGATGTATTAAGTATTTTAATTATGATGAGTGATAAAGAGTATGAAAGTAAATGGTAAAGAGCGCAGTACGCCAATGTATAATGTATGTACGCCTAGACGGATTCTGCGTTGCGCAACCGTTATGTGGTCCTAAACTGGTGGGGCCAAGTTGCCAGCGCTCCTCAAGCAACGAAAAAAACAGTGAGAAAGGTTAGTTTTTTCGAATGACATCAGTACAAGTGATCACAGGGGGGCACGAAGATGCCGATCTGGTCTCTCTAGCTCTGGGCATGGACAACATTGATCAGCTCTCAGAATGCTGCAGAGCTTGCCTGCAGATGGAGAGCCCCCTTACACCAACCAGCTCAGAGGACAATGATCAAATTAAGTTCAACGATAAACTTACCACCTGTATACCAGAAATTGTAAGTGTGTGTATATGTACTGGAGGTAAATTCTGAGTGATTCTGTCTTATTATTTTAGGATTGGGTCAAGGATGGACTGCCGGCTTTGATTTGTTCCACTTGTGTAACCAGGCTGAGAGTTTCTTATGATTTTCACACTGCATGTGTAAAATCTGATAGGACCTTGTCACAGTATGGAATGCAGGAGGATGAAACAGTTTCAACCTCAGAGAAGTTTGTGTTTCCAAGCTTTCATTTAGATGGGACAAAGCAGGAGGATAGGAATGGATACAATTTAAAGCATTTTTTGGATAATGAACAGATGATTGAGAAGAATGATGCGCATGTTGATTTCATTGGTATGGAAGCACCTGAGAATATACAGATCCAGTTTCAGGATATTCAGATGATACCAAATGAGCTTGTGAATGAGACAGCTACCGAGAAGGTTACGGATGCGTCGATGGTAGTCGAGGTAGTGAAGAAGCCCTCACACATGTGCGTGCAATGCGGGAAGGTTTATAGAAAGAATGCTAATCTTCGGATACACATGAGAACGCACACTGGGGAGAAACCATACGAATGCAAGTACTGCGACAAAAGGTTTCATCATTCTTCGCATTTAACTGAGCACATTAGAAGGCATACAGGGGAGAAGCCCTTCCAGTGTGACGTGTGCAGCAAGAGGTTTACGATCCGCGGAGAGCTAACCATGCACCTAAAATCGCACACAGGGGAGAAACCCTTCGCTTGCGCCAACTGCGAACGAAGGTGCTTGACTGCCGCAGATCTTAAAGTGCACATGAGGACGCACACTGGAGAGAAGCCCTACGACTGCTCGACATGCAGCAAAAAGTTTGCCAGCGCTTATATCTTGAACTCACACATTAAGACGCACACTGGAGAAAGACCTTACAGTTGCATGGTCTGCAACAAAACATTCACGCAATCCTCTCATCTGAACGTCCACATGCGTAAGCACACTGGAGAAAAGGTAAGTTGCAAGGTGTGCGAAGCAACATTTATACACAACTCGCAGCTGACGGTTCACATGAGGAAGCATACAGGAAAGGAACCCTACAAATGTACACTCTGCGGAAAAGTTTGCAACTACTCCTCAGAATTGCAGACGCACATGATCAAGCATACAGGGGAGAAGTTGTCGTGCCCGACTTGCGATAAGAAGTTTACCACGGCAGCATACCTGCAGGAGCACAAGAGGACTCACACCGGCGAGAAGCTCTGCGCCTGCGAGCTCTGCGATCGTCAGTTCACGAGGCAGCATTACCTCAAAAAGCACATGCGAACGCACACAGGAGAAAAACCATACACTTGCATAATCTGCAGCAAGAAGTTCACGCAGTCCTCCTCGCTCAAAGTGCACCACCGCATTCATACAGGCGAGAAACCCTTCACCTGTCCGGTCTGCCAAAAGCATTTCACCACTTCGTCGGATCTTAGCTCACATAGCAAGCGGCACAAGAAGGTGGCCGCAGCTGCTGCTGCCGCTGGTATCATTTTCTAACAAAATCCAAGACTGTTCTTTCTTCTAATTTATAAAATGTGATCTCTATTCATCCGTACTCGGCGAATTCTTAATTTTCGTTCTTCTATTTAATGATTAATTAAGTGTACCACAACAACGACGGTCATTTCCGAAAAAACATTTTATTATTACATATTAGGATACTTACACCTCTGACAACAGTTGTATCAGTTTTTAATTTACGAATAAATTATTGTGATATTTACATATATCCTCTTTTATTTTATTCAGAGTTTATATTTTAGAACAAACTATATTTTATCAGTTTTTTTTTATTTGAAGTTTGAAAACATTTTATGAAAAATATATTCAGATCTTATATAATATCAAAATAATATAAATACATTAATTCCGTTTTAATTTCCAATTTTTCGGAAATATCGGTTTTTTAATACAGTGGAACCTCGTTTAATGAGTTTAATCCGTTCCAAAATTTCCGGATATAGTGAAATATTCGTACAGTGAAACATATTCAAAAATACACATAATATGTGTACACAAAATTTAAAAATGATGTAGCTGGCGCGAAATCCGGGACTTCTCTTCTCATCGTCACTCGTCATGCGAAACGTCGCACGTTAAGCGAGTCATTTTTCTTACAATTAATTTTGCTCGTTAAGCGAAATGCTCATTGTGCGAGGTGCTCGTTAATCGAGGATCAACTGTACAGATAATTCCTGACATTCTGCAATTTAAACAATTTTAAAACTACAATAATATTTGTTTTTTACGCTTTATTTGAAATAATGCTTTTTCTATCATCATTATCGAACTTTGGAAAGTAGTAGTAATAGAACAACTTAATGGATTGTAGTAGGTCATGAACAAATACAGTTATTCTGATTTTATGGATTATTTACATCTTGTTTCTGTCCTATTTTCATTAATAAAAAAATAAGTAGTTGTTTTATAACGTCACGATTGTTTTATTAAACAAGTTTCGTATTTACGTTGAATTCTTAATTCAGTTTTGATTTTTCATATTACACAATGATGGCTTATGGTTACTTTTCTTTATTAGCAAGATAATTAATCTTAATCTAGAAGTAGTAGGTCGCGAACAGTCGCAAACTAATTAACGCTCTGCTTTTCTGTTTTCACCAAAGCTTTTTTTTTAAAGGTTGGAAGATAAGAAACTTTTCGTAGATACCGAAAGGACTCGATTGTTTAATTATATTGTATTTTATATAGTTTAACAATAATTAATGTTTTGTTTATTTAATAATCATTATAAGAGGAAGTTAATTGCTTTTTAAATAATCGAGCCTACTGCTGCTCTGTCGTGAACTAATTAACGTTATTCTTGTGTTTTTTTTCTCTGAACTTTCTTGTTGATGGGATTAATGGAAGGAAGGAATAAAGATCTGTATAGGCATGCAAAAACGGACATCTTCTGGTTTCTCGTAATTGAAGTATGTTGAGTAATTATAGGTGTTTCAGTGACCAAATTCCACGGCTACTTAAAATGTTACCGCTAGTTAGCGCGACGCGGCTGCGTTGCCACACCTGGCATTCCGATGCGGTAGACTTAACGGCATACCTCTGGAAACGTCCGTTCCTGGCAACGCCGTTCGTTTTTCTTCCCCCCTCGATGGAACAAAAATATTGCTGGTATCACGGACGTCGTGAATCATATAAAGTACATGCATCTTATTTTAACGATAAAGACTGGACCATCATCTCCGGTTAATTCCGATTACGTACTGTAAGAGCAACCGGTCATCTGAAGCATTGAAGAAGTGCATAGTGCAAGAAGAGGACTTTTTCGTCGGTGATAGGTTATGTGTTGACAACACCAAGTGAGCATCCACAGAGAGATCTATATAGAAGATGTTTTCCAAGAAGAAGAAAAAGCCACAGATCTCGACGCCCACCAACTTCGAACACAGAGTGCACACAGGTTTTGATAAGAGGGAGGGAAGGTATGTGGGGCTTCCACTGCAATGGGCCTCAATTGTGGGCAACAACCAAATCCTCAAGTCCACCAACAGGCCTTTACCCCTTGTGGATCCCAGCGAGATTACACCAACAGAGATCCTCGATCTGAAGACAATAGTCAGGGGTGATCATAAATCTGAGCACAGGCTCAGTGTGCACCAGAACAAACCAAATGGCATAGTCCTACCAAAAACTTCCAATGTAGCCAGATCCAATTCACTTCGCTCCTCAAGTCCACCGCGATTACGGCGCGACATCAAGAACAACACAAATGTGCCACCGGCTGTGCCTGAGGAGCAGATTATGCAGTACTCCTCAATGAGACGAGGAGAACCAACAACAAACAACAATCCAAGCAAACCGATTAGGGAGAATTCACCTGCTGAAAGATCTCTGAGCAACCATGAGGTGCCTCATTTCAATGGGAATAATGTGCATCAGGAGCCCTACACACATCGGCAGATCTCTCCAGCAGGATCCATGTCCTCTGTACCACCTATGGGTTTGAATCACCTGGGTGCTCATTCACATGCAAGCACAGGATCTCACCAGAGCTTGCAACATGCAAATTACACACCACACAGGCCTGACCAAAACCAGAATGTCAAGAACGGCAATCAAACACCAAACCTTCCACCAGCCAATCCGGCTTCAGCCACCAAACAGCAACACGAGCAGAGACTCACTCATGAACAGGTAAATATTATGTATATGTTATCATGTTAACCAATTATAATATATAAATATTTATATATAAATTAAGTGAAATTATATTCTGAGAATTTCTTAACAAATTTCACAAATTGATTTTCTTAAAACTAAACAAGATATGTGTTTATGTTGTGTTTTGCTTCATTTATTCTAGTTCCATTTATTCCTTATTAGGAGACGTGTTTTTTCTCAAAGAATTTCATTTTGTTTGGTAAATTAATCTTGACGGTAATTTTAATTTCGCAAGAAACGAACTTTCTTTCTCTTTAATTTCTCTTCTTAATTAGTGATTCGTCGCGTATCTTGCATCATTTCCTCTGACTGCTTCAATGACTTTATCATTTTCTAATGGATTTTTCTTAAAAAACTAAAAAGGATATTTTGTTTTTAATTTATTGTTTTATTTGAATTATGTATTGATTGTATTTAAATTGCAGTTTAGAGCGGCTTTGCAAATGGTCGTGTCTTCGAGGGACCCGCGTGAGAACTTAGATGAATTTATTAAAATCGGGGAAGGATCGACAGGAACGGTATGCATTGCGCAGGAGAGAAACACCGGAAGACAGGTGGCGGTGAAGAAGATGGATCTGAGGAAGCAGCAGAGGCGGGAGCTACTCTTCAACGAGGTGGTGATAATGCGCGATTACCACCATCCGAACATCGTTGAGATGTACGACTCGTACCTGGTGAACGACGAGTTGTGGGTGGTCATGGAGTTCCTGGAGGGCGGCGCCTTGACGGACATCGTGACGCACTCGCGCATGGACGAGGAGCAGATAGCCACCGTCTGCAAGCAGTGCTTGAAAGCATTGGCCTACCTACATTCCCAAGGTGTGATTCACAGAGATATCAAGTCTGATTCAATACTTCTTGCGCCCGACGGACGCGTCAAACTCTCCGACTTCGGGTTCTGCGCCCAGGTATCGCAGGAGCTACCCAAACGCAAGTCGCTCGTTGGCACTCCGTACTGGATGTCTCCGGAAGTTATAAGTCGATTACCTTACGGACCTGAAGTGGATATTTGGTCGTTGGGTATAATGGTGATCGAGATGGTGGACGGTGAGCCGCCATTCTTCAGCGAGCTTCCACTTCAGGCGATGAGACGTATCCGCGAGATGCCTCCGCCAAAGCTAAAGAACGCCCACAAGGTGTCGCCACGGCTGCAGAGCTTCCTGGACCGGATGCTCGTCAGGGATCCGGCGCAGAGAGCCACCGCCTCCGAGCTCCTTTCGCATCCATTCCTAAGGCAAGCCGGACCTCCTGCCCTTCTAGTGCCGCTCATGAGGAACGTCAAACATTGATGATGTTGTTAATGAAAGAGTGATATTTATTTTGCTCCGTTCACCTCAACGCTATTTGAGATGAAGAAGCTATCTTCTTACGTTTCAGTTCAGATGAACAGAATTTCCGCTTTTCTATTCATTAATTTATTAGTGTATGCTCGTAATCTCAATCAAATTGAGTTGAATTTCCAATTCCAAAAATTTTGACGGTACCAAGTCACAATGAGTGAGCAATAATCATTAATATCAAATAAAAATATACAGAATTTTATAGAAAACACATTTTATGCAAAATAATCAATAAGTACGTTTTAACTAAATCTGATTTGCTATTTTCTAAACATTTTATAAAATATTGATCGTGTATTCAATTGAGCATTACTAAATACTAAAGCGTAGAAGAACATTAAGTGCCTTATATCTACAAACAAAAAAGTTTTATCGTAAATTCCATAAGTATTATTTTACTGAATTTGCTATATTTAAGCATTATACAATGTGATCGATTTTTTGAATATTCAGTATAAGCAATGTATAAATTAATCTAAGTGCCTTACGATTACTAACGTTTTCCAGTTTTTTTCGGAAATCGATAAATATCTGAATAAGAAATCTCTTAAAGCGATATTTGATTATTAATCGAGTGATTGGTAAATAATAATAGTTGGAATTGGAATTGACGCCTTCGATATTAACTCGCAAAGTCTATACAAATCTGATTTCTGAATCTCAATAATTATCAAAAAAAAAACAAATATATTAGGAATCTCGTCATCTCTGCCTTTTACGATTCAAACGTTTCCATTGTCGTCATAACAATGGTACTTCGAATACGCGACGAGTCTCGAGAAATTTACAACTAATACATAGCAAAAAAAAAACAAGTTCAATCAAATTGAACGAACTGTTCAAATAGTGTTCGTAATACAGGCCTACTTAAATTTTATGGAATTTACACACATTATTATATATTAATTTTTATATAGTTGATATGAATATTTATTTGTTGACGTCTTGTTTAATGGATTGGATTTTTATTGCATATATATTTATACATATATAATGACATTAGTTACTATACTGATTATTAATATTATTAACTTTCCCCCTGTTTATATACTATACATAGATTACTGTTAGTTGATTCGTTTTTTCTTCATCTTAATATACTTGTATTTTCTTTTGTTCGTTTTCTAACAACCAGCAGCTAGATTTGTTATTCCAAACGTGACCAGTATTATATATAGTATTTATAAGCCGTCCCTCTCCTTCAAATCTCTTCCCGCCGCAACACCTATCACTCGTGCCTTCGTAGTAGGAATATATGTTCGGAAATGGAAGCGAAATCAAACAAAAACAAACGAGTACGCAGAGACTGCAACAGATTTTTGTTTCATTTCGAACGCTAAATTAATTATTTATGAAACATGCTGGATTATTCTATTAATTACATGCGCTATATACATAAGGAACGTCTATAAATATATAATATACATACATAAATATACATATTTTTTATGTTTTATTAATTAGCCATGTAAGCACTGTAATTATGTAAACATATATAATATATATAACATTGAAACTAGCTTTTTGTTGACCTTTCATTTCCATCTGACAACAATTACAACTCTGACCTGGTTTTGTACTTTATTGCTGTTGTTGATATCTTGATGATGCGGCAAAACTAGTAGGATAACATTAAAAAAAATCATACACATAATCCATGTTAACTTAATCTAAATTAACACAGTAAATCTATATTCCAAAAGTAAATTTATATTAAATAAAATACTTTTGTATGAAAACGGGATTAACATGTTAGTAACATATTTCCAAAAATGAAATCTGAGTTAAATGATATAATTTTGTATATATATTAAAGAAATAATTTTGTTAAGAAATGGATTTAGTTGTATGTTCACAATCTAATCAATTCTATATCTAAAATAATCTTATTCATAATTATTCAATAAATAAGATGGGATTGGGATTAGAGTACAGAGGGCGTAAAAGAAGGAGGTATATCATATATTTTTTGTAATCTATTTATTTGTAAACAATTAACAAAAGCAACGAACGAAAAAAGTGAAGAACTCCGTTTTAATTTATATTTGTTTCATTTAAAACCTACTCCGTTTTTCGTATAGAAACACAAAACAAACAAAAATAATAACATATAAACGTAAAACTATCGAAACAAACAGAAGAGGCACATCTACGGATGATCCATGTATATATTTATTTTTATAAATAGTATATTTATTGCTGTATTTCATCTCCACCATCGTCGTTTTCCTCCAATTAATTATTTTATATAATTCATATATACGTAGATTATAAGATAATGCAATAGTATCATTATTATAGGATAGCGTCGTCTACGGTATTTTTTTCCTCTTTTTTCTCTCATTTTTTAATACGTGTTGTTTTTATCCATCGAAAAGCTTCTAGAAATCAACCAATAAAACTGTTTGATATGTACCAGCAAACGTCTCCGAAAAATAATAACAATAAAAGATCCATCGGCAATGGTATTATGGTATAAATCGTACATAAATTTTTCGAAAATAAATAAATCACCTAGAAAAAGTTTTCCCTATCGGACCATAAATCCGTTCCAATTCGATGAACTAATTAGGTTTCATCAATGTCCAATCAGCTCCAAATCCTAATCTACTCAACATACATAATATATAATATTACGTATACTCCAAAAACCCGATATATACGCGTACAATGTCATTATTATCTGGTTATTACAGTCCGATTCTGGCTTTCGCCGAATTCAATTTTACTTAATTAACGTTTGATTGTATTAACAAACTCTTTCCACTAAATTCTCTAAACGAACTTCCCTCCTTCCTTCATCGCAAACATCAATAGATTCGGTCGTTTCATCTTCATCATCTACACAAGGAATATTCGTTAATAATCTGTATCAAATGATATGTCGTCTAAACACGATGAACAAAACCAAATTCACAATAAAATAATCAACAACTATGAAACCCTCGGTCTCCATTAAAGTTGCACGCCTTGCGTTAATAATCGGCGCCTTCTAATAATAAATACCCTTCTCGCATCTCATTTGTTTGAAATCATACGAATACTATGGAATGTTTCACAATTCTATACACAGAACAAATAAAAATTATAAGAACATTAAACAGTGATGATAAAACAAATTACATACAATTAAATGACTAGACTATACCTTAGAACAGTTCTTCTTTTCAAGCTCTTCCACAATTAGCTTTACTTCATTTTTTTTTGTCGTTTTCTCTTTCTTAATTTTCTTGGTTTTATACAAAAAAAGAATGTTTCGCCGTACAAAATTAAACGTTATCTATATATTATTTGTTAATTTTTGTTATTGTTATAATCTCTTTCTTTTTTTTAATACTCTCTCTCAGGTATTTCACTCTCATAATTATCTTCACATTGATTCCATTTGTTCGGTGAGTTCCAAAATTGGAGATTCACTTAATGGCAGTAAAGGGGGCCAAACGTTGCCAGAAAATGGAAGGCCCTGCTGTGCCACGGGACGAACAAAAACAAAAGAAAATTCTTTGGTATATTTATAAGCAACTCGGCGACAATTGCTTTCGCAAATGGAAGAGAAACAATATATCAAAAAATAACAAAAATAAAAGCCGAACAAACAAGCGGAAGCAAATCATACTTAACAATAACAAAACTCAAGGCATGCTTGTTACATACAACTCTGTAATAAGGATGATGATTCTTAATCAGTTTACTAAATTGAAATTACATATTGCTTTTTTTAAGTAACAACAATCGAAAATCATTCACTTCTTAATTCTATTTAATCGCTGTATAATATTCCGTCATATTTCAATTACAAGACATTATTTTTATAACTTGATTAAATATGAGATTAAAATAATGAGATAAGATCAGAAAAGTTCTAAGTTCCAAATTAATAGAAAGATTGTTGATATATCACGAATGAAAAATTATATTAAGATGACAATTTTTAAATTTTAAATGTCAATGTGAAAGAATATAGCCTAAGGTTTAGTTCTAGAATGTTGATGTTTAAATAAGATATTGAGGTAAACGATTGTCGCTAGTAAATCAATATTTGTTATATTTTATTTACTGATGTTGTCATTGTATCTGAAATGAATATTGAAATGTGGAAGATTTTCGATGTTAAATTGCAATTGTTTAAAATTGAAGATGTTGTTGAGAATCATCGTTTCGTGTGGACGGTTAATACGTTAAGGGAATAAAGTCTGTTTTCGTTGTATTGTATCAATTGTATTGTAAAACAGTAATGAAATAATACAGTTTATTGAGAAAATAATAATAAATGTGAACAATTAAAAAAAACAACAACGAAACAACGCTAAATAAATTATGAGGACAACAAAATAATAATCGTTTAAGAATAGTAATAAATAACACAGATACACGAAAAGAAAAATAAAATAAAACGTTTGTACTAAAAAATATATTTTGATTAAATGTGGATTATTGTATTTGGTAGTGGTGGTTTTGGTGATGTTTGGGTTCGTGTAGATGTTACGTAGATCTACATCGTGTCCAGAGTTGGAGCAATGTTTGCAATGATTGCTCCAACCCTGTAATTCATATATTTGTATATGTGTCTGTGTATATTTCTATACCTGATTCCAGGAGGCGGCCGAGGTCTGTTGCCATGAAGACGATTGCGAGGAGTCCGAGATCTGGCAGGAGGTCTGCAGGTTACCGGGCAACGTGTTCCAAGCTTCGCCCGAGGTGGAACCTTCGACGAGAGCCTGGAAGGCGAGCAGATCTTTACTCTCTGTTTCTGAGAGCGGAAGAGGCGGAAGCACCGGCTGCTGCTGGGCGATCTTGTAACTCGCCTGTCGTAGCATCTGTCTTCGGGCGAGAGAATGATCTACGCTTGCCGTCGGCGATTGATGGGACATTGCGCACTGCTTCTGAAGGATCTGCCGTTTCTGCTGCAGCAGCCTGTGCTGCATGGCCGTCTGTAACTGCAGCGGTTCCTGCGGGCTGTTCGTGTAGCTGAAGTTGTCCGGGAGGCTGACGCGTTTGTTGTTGCGCGGTTGGAGATACTGGCTGTGCTGCTTCTGCCTCTGCGTGACCTCCTCAGGTGGTTCCCGCGCCTGGTACTGCGACTGCAGCCGCTGTGCCTCGCGCTGCACCAGGTGCATATCCAAGACTCCTTTCACTTTTGAGTTCTCCGAGAGTTTTTGCGAGTTGAAGGCGATTGCTCCCATTGGATTGGAGGCATCCGCGACCTGCTGTGCGACGAGCCCGTCGCTTGCTCTTCGACCTTCCCGGAAGTCCACCGGGGACCTGGTGACCGCTCTCGTCGTTTTGTAACTGGTCATGTGAACCAGAGGATTGTGCTTGTGCATCACGGATCGAGTGTTTGCCGAGTACTTGGTGACGGAGGAGAGCGCATTCGAGCTGGTTAAGGTCGTTTCTGGCAGACTGATGTCTGTCGTCGTGCAACTGGGCAGACTGTTTGTCAGCTCGCTGGAATCTGATAGAGGATACTCTAGACTTTCGAAATTCGAATCGCAACTCAGATTCTGACTTAGGCTCTTCGACGTATTGAAATTGGTGACGACGCCACTCGACGAACTCGACGAAGCGTAACTCAGGCGGGGTGTGTGCGTGTGCGACGAAGGGTGCTCCTCCAAGTCCGTCTCAACTCCTTCATCCGTCGAGCTCGAATACTGTGTTTGGATTTCGCCGCTCCTATAACCGCTGGAACAGACACGTTTATACTTTTCAAAATTACTTTACCAAACTCATTGCGTCTAACTTTCATATTTAACCAAAAACCGCATACACATATTTTGAATATCATAAACACAGAATTTGTATCAAAGATTTTTTATAATCACCTGTCAATGACTCAAATATTCCAATATATAAAAGTCTGCTCCAAAATTATTTAATTGATTTATATATTACATTATTAAAATTATCTGAAATATGAAATATCTGATCTAGTAATTAAACATTAAAATATTTTCATTCTTATCTACCATCAATTTGGATTAACATTATATTAAAAAAAGTAACAAAATTAAATAATACAAAAACTATATTTATCTTTTACCTTGTGTAGAATCTGGTTAAAGATCCTCCCTTGTTCTCGTTCTCCTGGTTTGGTTGACACATGGAGGTCTGCATGAAAGAGTAGGCCGGTATATGGTTTAGGTAATCCCTGAATGGTGGCACCTCCGTCGTGGCCGTAGAAACAACTGCCGACTGCTGCAGAGTGTTCATCAATTTATTGGCCTCGTTGGTAATGCTGAACGCATTAGCCGAAGCCTGATTGAGGATCTTCAAAGCATCTTCACTAGTGGTCGCAGCAAGCAGTCGAGCCGCATCTATCCCATGCGAAGGTGGAGAATCGCACGTCCTGGGACTCGAGCTCAGCTTGCTGTTGCTAGCCGTTGGAGTTGTCGAGTGCTGCAGCAACCTTCTGCAATCCTCTGTCGTGCTCGCCCTATTGATCTTCCTCATTGCCTGCTCCGCGATGCTCGAAGGTCTTCGTCTTTGCACTTCCCTACTATTCCCAGGCTGCACCTCACCACTGACCAGCTGATGTCTCAATTTATCCAGAAGCAAATAATATATCGCTGCGTGATGATCGTAACTCCCCAAACGAATTGACTACAATAACACATCAATCAGAAATGGAAATTTATCAAAATGCCTTAAATTACCTCTCGCGTTTTCGTACTGTCTATATTCAAACTTTGCATCAACCTGAGGATCTGCTCGTTGGGTTGCCCCGTCAATACGGGCACTAACGTAGGTAAAGTGGATGGTACATCCATCTGCATCCACCGGTGTCTCTTGATCTGAGCAATCGAGAATCGCTTACCTGGCTCTAAAACGAGCATCTTCCTAATCAGCGATTCACAATCTGAAATAAATATAAATTGTAACTGCGTTTCAAACGTGACTTAGCCATCTAAATTTACCGTGATTTAGCGATAAACGGTAAATATTTTTAGTAAATGCCGGTAATTTTTAATTGAAAATTTTGTGTACAAAAAGGACGATTAACAATAACCTATAAAGTTTTAATAAGTTTAATACATTAAGAATAAACATATTCACTGCTACAAATCACATTCAAAGAATAAATTCACCGGGCAGAGAATCTATGGCCAATAGCCCTTAGCAGCAATTACATTTTTTTAATTGTTATTATTATTGTAGGAAAATGTTTAATTTTATTTATTGTTGCAATAAATATTATTAACACATACGAATTACTTTATTATATTTATAATTATTTATATAATTAATTCATATTATAAATATTTTTGAGAATTTTAATGTACATGTGTTAAAAGCGAAAAAACGTTTAAGAGTATTAACTCATTTCAATTTTCTCGAGTTGTCGATAATTATTTTGTTTCATTTTAAAAATTGCTCATTTGTTTGGCTATTGTCCAATTAGATTTCTCGTTTCTTTTTTTACTACACTCTAGATTTTTTTTATAGTTAAAAGCTCTCTTTTTTTTTCGTTTAATCAAAAAAATATGGAGATAGATGACATTAATAATGGATCGCGGCGGTCGAAATGGGATGACGTAAGATTGGGGCGATTTAGGTGAAGCCTCCCCGAGGATCATTAGTTATGAGAGAAACAAAAAGGAGGCGAGGGTTGAACGTTAACAGGATAGAAACGCCCACGCATTCGCAGCAGACTTACGTCAGCCGAGTGCGTCACAACAACATTGGACGCGACCTTAAAACGTTAACCGCCGCCAAGAGATAGAGAGAGGACATTACGCAACGCCAGAAAGGAAGTTACCTGAACTCATGAAGTACGGAATTCGGAATCTCCCAGATAAAACCCTGTCCCTCAACGCCTGCAACGAGCATCCATCGAACGGCAATGCTCCGCACACCAAGACGTAAAGAACAACGCCTAAACTCTAAAATCAAAATATATAAATCAATAATAATATAATACTAATAAAACAATAATGAAAAAAATAATCAACCTACCCAAATGTCGATTTCCGGTCCCGTGTATTTTTTGCCCTCGAAGACTTCCGGTGCGGCGTAGGGCGGACTTCCGCACCACGTGGACAGGTGACCACCGGACGTATAGAAATTCGAGAAGCCGAAATCGGCAATCTTTATGTTATTATTTGAGTCCAATAATAAATTTTCAGCCTACAACAAAAAAAGTAGAAAACGCAATTGCAAAAAAAAACAAATGATACGAGCAATTGTTTTAAAAGCCTACCCCTCATAATCCACCAAATTAATAGTTGATATTACTATTGTCATGGATACCTATCATTCATTAATAGATGAATTACTAATAAGAGTTACGGTAGTAAATTCAATCGAATAAATTTAAGTTAATTATATTTAAATAGATTCCAGTAATGAAGCAAAAATTAAACAATGATTAATTTGTTACCAATAGCCGGTAAATGGTTAACCGATTTTACCGGTATAATAACCGGTTATTTCGTTAACATTTTTTGACTCGAAGAATGAAAGTGACATTGCACATGAAAATGTTCTATAAAATATAAATAAAAACCTACGAGTGGTAACATTATTTCGTCGATCCCTAAAACTGAAGTTCTTTAATAACACTAAAAATAAATTTGGAAGGAATGTCTTTAATTTTTGATAAAGTACATTTGCACGAACGTACTCCACTGAAATAAAATTTAAATATGTGTATTCCAATAAAATTCATTATTTGAAGTAAGCTGATTCTAACAAAAACAATCAACTGCAGCAGCCAACGTCAAAGAAACGAATTTATTTTGAAGGTAAGATAGAATAGATGGACGTATTATCAATATAAGAACGAGGAAGAGCAAAGAAAATGAGAAAATTAATCTACATGGTTCAAAATACGGGACAGATGCAGCTGAAATGTTGCTGTTTGTTTCCGTTGTTGCTAGGATGTGCTCATGACAGGATAATCAAGACCCTATTGATTTGCCCATCCAAACGTTTAGTTTATTTTTTATTCTTTTCTCTTTTGAATCTTTAACGGACAGGATTTCGCTTGCGCACTTTATTGACGTCATTTATTTAATACCTTTCGTTATTAAAGAGCGTGTTTGGAAAAGCGCGGGTCGGCGCTGTCAACTTCAAACTAAAAAATTCCCCCCAACAAAACTGTTCATTTTGTTTAAAAACCGGGGAATTGTCAACGCTTTTACCGATTCAACATGCATTTTGTTCGTTTGCAAAAATAATTGAGCTGATATTTTTAAATATTAATAATTTGTTTATAATGAAATTTTATTTAAAAATATTGAGTAAAATTGTGTTAAATGGACTAATATAAATAATAATCAATAGCCCATTGCATCAGTTGACTTTTTTGAAATTATATATATATTTATTTTGTTCTTTTTATTTCTGTATGTTTTTTTTGTACGACAGATACAATAAACATTATTATAAATTATAAATAATATCTTATATATAATTCGGGTAGATTGCTGCAGAGAAATTTGATTTGAAAATTGATGAAAACAAGAGAAAAAAATATATGGAAAAAGAAGTAAACATGCTGTTTTTCTGTTTTGAGGCGAGAATAGAGACTGGCAATATGAAATAATTCGCGATAAACGGGTCGAGTTTAATGTTTCGGGTAGAGAAGATATCTGCTGTTGACGGTGGCAATATCCCCCCATACACTTGGGCAAATCGCGTTCATAGGAGCGCGCCAACAACCCCCGAAATCCTCCTCCTCTGACGCCGCCCCTCGCCCCGGATGGCCGCCACCACAACCGCCCACGCACCCCACCGTAATCGGCGTCGTGACGTCATCGGACTGCAGATCGATTGCGTCCCGACGGAGGCGTCATTGCACGGAGAGCGGAGGCGGTTCAAGATCAACACAAACACACCGTTTGACGACCAATTCAATACTCGACAATTTACCATACAGTTAAGCAACGAATTGGTGACCTGCAGTCAATAAAATCGTCTCTATAATTTAGACTAACAAGTCGCAACAGTCTTCGATAATTTGGAAAAATACTATTAATAAAATGAAAGATAAAGATAATTTGTACATTAACCAATCTATAATCCGGAATCGCTTTTTTTACCACCTAATCACTAAACCAATAACATTTATTAATATTGCAACACACTTCAGATTACAGTTCGAATCATTAAAATAATACGTTTCGTTATAAATTTCAATTACATACATTTTCAATAGAATATATAAATATTTTTTTTTTAATTTTTACTCATATTTTAAATCAATTACAGCAATACCTTTGTTTACCAATTCCCGGCCAATTTGAAAGCGGACTAATCTTATATTATATAAACTAATATATAGTTATAACTATTATATATAAGTATATATATATAACTATATATATAAAACTAAATCGCACAAAAAGAGCCTGGACTGTTTAGAATGTATGAAAAAATAATTGCGGGGCTGAAAGACCTATAGTCAATAGTTCATTATAGCAGTTAATTTTTTGTTTTATTATTATTGTTGTATTTTAATTTTGGTTTTGACTGTTACAATAAAGATTATTATTATTAGTGCTGCATATGATAAAATACCATCATAATTATCGTAAAATTGAAAAAAAGAATTTATACGTTTTTTATCGATTATCAAATGATGACGTCGATCTGATTGCAAAAACAACATCTTATTTAATTTGTTTAAAAATATAAATCTGATTGCATAAGTAATTTAGATATAAATACTTATTTTTAAACGGATTATATTAATCAATGAGAAAAATCAAAACATTGCATTTTATTAATAAGCAAATGTAAATGTTTTAAGGGATTCTAAAATTTCCAATGAATTTCGCATATTTCCGGATTCATAAAAGTTTTCCTCGCAATTTTAATGAGCGTACGTAAAACACGTCGGGGTTTAGGTAAAATCGAATGAACAACTTAGTATGGAAACAAAACAAATGAAAATCGGGACTACTTACTACGATGTGTATTTTCCCGCAAATTCGCGCGTAATTGGAATTACACAAAAGTGTTTTTCCGAAAGCGCACTTTTCTGACATAGTGCTGTGCTCACATTTTATTTCTTTCTCTCTATAATTTGTTTTCTACATTAAATTTATTGATTGCTTAAAAACCGAGCGTAATAATTGATATTAAATTATGAATAAATGTATGTTTTCTACAGTTTCAATATAGGAAGAAGAACATAAATGGAAATAATTGCTAGAATTAAAAGCAGGAGGTAAATATATCAACAAAATATCTTTAATTTAAACTCTTTTTTTGTTAATTAACTTTGTTGCATATTATATTTTTATTGGTTCAAAAACGTTAATTCTTATGTGAATGAGTATGATGAAACGATAAATATTTTGAATGTTTAAAAAAAACTTGTTTTGAGTTGTTGCAAAACGTTGATGAATAAAAAAAAAGTTAATTCCGTTCATTTTTATTGAATGGATTGCGGTTTGAATTTGCATTTTGGAAGAACGTATAATCTGCGATTTATTGTAATGGTATTTTCGAATTTGGGAAAGAAATTGAAGCGTCCGGTTGCATTGTTGAATTTGTACTAAATCGTTTTCTGCGGATGAATAATCCGGGAAAAATCCTTAAAGAAATATTATGGATTTTCGTTGATAGTTTACCTTTAAATCTCGATGTACTATGTTTCTGTTGTGGCAATATTCGACGGCGGACAGAATCTGCCAGAATTTGGCTCTGGCCTGCTCCTCTGACATCCGGCCGTAACGTGCGATGTAATCTAAGGAAGAAGTAAACGAAAGAACGTTAGAATCATATTGGATTAGATGGATATTATTTGATGGATGATGATCATCAATATCGGTATTATCAATTCGTGAGAGATGAGAGACGGCGTCGACCGTGCGTCAATCGGACGGCAACTTGCGTAGGAATTGCGTGCATACATAAGTAAATTGGATAAATCGAGACGGAGCTGGAGTTATAGATCGCGATGTTTGCGCAAATCCTATTATTTTTATATGCTGAGCACATTATTTGCACCAATTACATTTGAAAAACAGAACAATAATAAATAATAACATTTTACAAATAAATTTTATTCTATGTAGAATGTATATTAAATTTATTTCATTTTCATAAATTTTTATTAAAGTAAACCAACTTTTTTACTCCTCGATAAAACAATTTGCACGTCACGTTTGTTTTACATTTTTTTTAAATTTAGTAACTCAATTATGTATTATGCTTCTTTTCTCAAAATGCAAAGACATGTTCCATTTCAAATACAGTAAAATGTGCCATACAAAATAAGAAATGAATTAGTTTGAAAGATATTTGTTGTATGCGGATTTCTTCTTGTAAATTTGAGGACTTTGGAAGCTTTTAACAGTACATGTTTTTACGTTCGCCCCAAACAAAAAAGTACAACCCTCCGAATCCCCCCACGCTCCATCGCAAATCCCAATGACGTCAGACGCGGACGTCAAGGTCCCAGAGAGACGTGGGCGTCGCGACGCAAACCGCCTGCTCTGAATCACACGCTCGCTAAACAAGCCGAATTTGCAACAATATTAATAACATCGAGAGACTACCAGGAGTGCCAACCGTCTACTATTTAGGACGTCGTCTCATTCTCATTCGAAATGTGATAGTAAACACTCTCTAAATCTGTATATAAATTATAAAACATTTTACCAAAAATAAGCTTAAGTTGAAGACTAATATTGTAGAATAATTTTATTATGGTAATTAGAAGATATTTCACTTATTTTTTTTAAATATTCAAAAATCAAAAATCGCATACCTGTCTCATTGCTTTCTTGGTAAACCTAATTTGATAATAATAAATCAAGGTAAAAAATATAACATATTTCCTCTAAAATCTGCTACTTTTAGCAAGGCACAGCCAGGAAATCTTACACTTGGGGACAATATCTAATTTGTGTGCAAAAACGCAAAATATTGAAAGTATTAAACGATGGAATTATTAAAATTGTTTATAGAAAATAGAATAAAAAATAGAAATAATACAAAAACAAAAATTTTCTATTTGAACTCACCAAAAATCTCGCCTTGGCTCGCATATTCCGACACCAAATAGATCATGTTTTTCGTTTCCATCACCTGAAAACAAGAAATGAAAAACAATATATAAATAAAAGTATAATATTCATTTCACTCAATTGCATAACGCACTTATCACGCAGAAACCGCACGTTATGTATACACATTTCGTTGGCATTGAAATAAGCTACTTATCGCTGATACACTTCATATTTATACATACACAACACACATTCCTCTATTTTTCTTTCCGTTTTGTTTTGACGCCCGTCCTCATCTCACTTACGTACATATTTTTATTGTAAAATCCGCTGATAAAAATACTATAATATTTGTTTGGTTCAGATAACCCCTACGAAGCATAACCAAATAAATCAAACTGCAGATGCTTTCAAATATACATACATACATTTCCTATTATTGATACAAATTCATAATTTTTGAACTAATTAATCGATTAATTTATGCTCTAAATAACAAAACCATGTTTATCTACATTTCTTAAAAATAAAATATTATTATTTTTTTAAATTTTATGTTAGAATTTATTTATTTATATGTATAGAATGTACTTATTTTTATGTATTGATGTTTGGCCAATAAATTATTATTATTAATTAAAATAACAACAACAAATCCGAGACAAATCATATTAAATATTTTACTAAATAGACAACATGTTTCAACGTTTTGAAGTGTCAAATATTAAATTATAAATTTGTACGTTTTGGACAAAATGGGAAAGTCAACAGAAAAGAAATAACAGCAATACAAAATGGTAAAGTTTTTCATGTTATTCGAAAACGTCAAGTTTCGTCTTAAATCGTCCAGGAAATACATATATTTTAAATTGAAATTATTTTGCACGTTATGTATAATATTAATATATCAAATATAACTTTATAATTTTAGATATTCTGCACTAGACAACTGTTAAATTAAATCTGACATAACCTGAAAAATAAACAAATGACATAAATACAAAATGGTAACGCTTCTTTTGTGACACCCCATATATAGAATCGCAATTTATTTATATTGGCTAAAGTTATGGTATCCAGTGAATGTTGTTTACGCAATTTGGATATGGCAAAAATAAAAAATGATGAAACAATTGCCCGTAAAATATCAAAAACAACAACATTAGGAAATGCGATTCATCAATTGAGAATTCTTCTATTGATCCTCTATGAGAAAAGTGCAAACATCAGACCATTTGACGCCATCGGTATTTGCACAAATACTCTTTCGCGACGTTATCTGCATCGGTGATGATCGAAATGACGTCCGAAGCTTACATGCATTCATTCGTGCACTTCATGATTATCCAATGATAAAATTATATTATTTATAAAAGTTTCGAATCGTTGCAACATTGAAATAACTCCATCAAATATTTATAAAGCTTTACATTCGATCTAATTTACATTATATTAAAATACATATTATTATTCTATAAAATAATGAAAATCATCTCATTAAAAGACCCATCTGTCATGCAAATTATTATAATTTATGAAAGAATTTCTAAGTAAAAAAAAATATTAACGTAAACAAGTCTATCTACTTAATAGTCTAAATCAATTGTTGAGAAAAAAACTTCGACTTTGACTTTTGTTGTATTTGATATTATTTCTACATAATAAGTCTTTCTACCTAGAATTTGGTGCCAAAGCTGTGCTTTTTTCTCTTACAGCAAATATATTATAAATGAAAATGAAATGGTATAAATCACAATTCGATGGGAGTAAAAAAAACAAAAAACAGAGTCGTCGTACGTAAACAAATGATATTATCATGTCATAGCAACAGAAAAACAATGGCATTGATAGCGTGCACGTAATTGTTTTACGTAAATTTAAATGAATATAAAGTTGTTTTATGCTTATTTACTTCTCGTTCTCACTCTTTCTCGTTTTCAACGACACAAACAGGCACTTACTCAGTAACGGGTTTATCACCTTTCAATTAGAATTAGATTCGATTGGAAAGTCAATAAATAAACAATTTATTATATTTCCTAATTCATCATTCTAATTCATATTCGAATGTTTATTTGCAAAAAAAACTATACGAAAATCAAGAATTCGGTATATTCATTAAACAAACGATTAACGTTAATAATTGCAGGTTTTTTAATGGTGTTGCGAAGAAAAAAATACCTAATTATTGTTTTACTATATTATTTATTTTTTTCGTTCGCTATTATCGAGCGTTTGACGTAATTAATAGCAAAAAATATATATATATAGAAATAAAATGTATGTATATGAAAAAATAATGTAAAAAAAACTTATAAATACGGTGAGCAAATCGATGGAAAAGTTCTATTTTCGACGTCGTAAAGATCGAAAGAAGGAAACATACATTTCACATCTCTCCGCTGCGGCACTTAATTCCTACGAAAAATTTACATACACTTCGTCCATCCCGTACGCCTCCCTGTTGAAACTAGAAATTATCATGGAGAAAAATATTCTAAAAACGAATTATAAAGTTCCATTTAATTCTTGAGATTAATTTGATTAATTTCGAATTCTTGATTTGTTGAGAGATTAATTTAAAAGAAAATAAAATTATTGATATTTTGCAAGTTTCCATCATCGATTTACAGATGTACCAAATATGATAAATATTCATAATATTTTAAAATTCACAATTTCCAATCATTTCGGATACATTTTCATCAAACAAAAATGAAACTATATAATTATTGTCATAACTTAATGTATAACTGTGTCCGAGTCCAAACAACAACAAAAATTCGATGAATACTCGATCCATTGCATAACGCATAAATATTCCATCCTGCTTGCATATGCGATGTGAATTTTCATAACGGATTTAAATGCAAAATTCCTGGATAAATGCATAAAACCGACCGGAGTAATTATAAACAATTTATGCAATATTTAGTAAAAAAAAACAAAAAAATTCTATATAATTAATATTGCTAACTTGTTTCTTTTTTGTAAAATATTTATATTTTTTTTGGCTTCAGAATCGAAATGCATATTCGGACGATAAACAGATTCCGATGTGTTTTTTGTTGTTCGCAATTGCGCCGCGTCGTTGGTAAAGTTAATTGGCACAATTTAGGAATTGAAGAGCGCAGTTTACTATTGCATTACCAAGTTTTTATATTTATTTTTTTTAACGAGACCGAATAAATGTTAAGAAACGTTGCAGTTGATCGTATATCATTTGTTATGACCCTTGTTTTATTTAACAAACGTTATCGTTTCTTTTAACGAATTGTTATTGACGTCTTTGTTGTTTGTGTAATATAAATACATTCAGAAAAGGTAAGTAAACAAAAACGAAGTCTTCAATTTCATGTGTTTATGTGCCAGGTAACGAATGGCTTCCAAATACTAGTAAACAATGTTCGTAATTTGCCGTACATCAATTGTTACGACAACTAAACTATTTTGAGAAAGGAAATTAAAATATATATGAATTTGCTCCATTTCACAAAATCGATGAAAAAATCGTCGATATATTCGGATCGAGACGCAACGATTGCTCGGATATCCTTGATCCCCTAACATCATTTCTCCTGAATCAAACAATCAATCTCTCCCTATTTGCATCATCGATTGTTGTGCTTTTTTTTTGTAATTTTCCGTTCATTGCGTATCTTCAATTCGTGGCGATGAACAGAGAGAGAGAGAAAGAGAAGAGAATATCTGAAAATAGTCGAGAGTTCGAGGCGCAGCCAGTTCGTTAACACCACCTTAAACTTGACTGTCCCTGACGCTCCGGACTCGGCCGACGCCTATGACGTCACAGCGTCGCCTGGCAACCAGGAAAACGCACGTATCGCCGAGCGGCGTCTCCGTCGCACTTTCGTAATACTCCATCTGTCTTTTCACTCAACTGTTTCAAACAATACTACTCGACACATATATATCAAACGAACGAGGAGCAGAAGGAAAAAAAATAATAATGAAACGAGAGCATTGTTTCGAGCTGAGGTTTTTCCAACCCTCGCGAATTAGTTCGAAATGTATGCGAAGGATGCGCCGTCGACAAGGTTAATGACTCCGTGCCGTCTGCATCCAACCATAAATAATGCAGAGATTACCGTGGAGGAAAAATCGAAGCCGCAGTTTTCATTTTCTCGTAATCCCATCGCACAGTTCCTCCAAAGTAAATTACATCATAGCTCAAAAATTCAGCAAAAAATAAAACAATCGTTTATCAATTAACATAGTATATAATGTATACACATATATTCATAAATGTAATTATTTCAATTATAAAACATTAAACTGTGTCAACAACATTTTTATTGGTCTAAAATCAAAATGTATGCCTTGGTAGCTTGGATTTTTTAAAAACTTTATTTTTATTGGTTCATTTGCAAAATCAACTCAATATTATTGGTCCAAAATTCAAAATGCTTACTTTAATAATAAATATGATTTGCAAAACCTATATAAAAAAAGTTTTTCAAAAACATATGTTTTTGTTGGTTCAATTATAAAGATGATGGTTGGTGAGTCACGTACGATTTACGAAAACAGCCCATTTTTTATTGGTAAAAGCAAAATGGTTTTATTCTTAAAAAAAATATAAATAAATTTCAAAAATATTAAATGAAAAGTTTCTTTTGAAAATCAAACGATTTGATTTGTTAAAAAATATAAAAATGATCGCAGACTTTTCATAAAATACCAGTTTTCTTTTACAAAATCTGTGAATACAAGTGAATTAATGCGATGACAATTAATAAAAATCAAGTATCAAAAAAATCAAGTCGAAAAAAGGTGGTTTCTTTGCTTGCATAAATATTATTTAAAAGAAATAGTTAACTCAGGTAGGATTTGCAATAATAACAACGTTAATATTAGTTTTGCTTCAATATTCAAATGTAAATGGTTCAATAAGAAAGATGGTAGGAGTCAAGTACGTTTTGCAAAAACAACCCATTATTGGTACATTAACAAAATGGTTGCTTTTCTACCTTATATATTCAAAAACAAATGATTTGATTGGTTGAAAATCAAAATCAGTTTTAATTGGTTCAAAAACAAAATCTTTACCCTAAAATCTTGGATTTTCAAAAATATTATTTTTATTGGTTCAATAATAAATGATAGTTGATGTTGCAAAAACAACATGTTGTTATTGATTCAATATTAAAATGGTGGCATTAAAAGATGGAATGTTAAAAAAGAAACTTTTTTTTATATTTTCAATACGATTTGTAAAGGCAACTCCTTTTTATTGGTCCAAAATCAAAATGGTTGCCTTGTAAAATTATTTTTTTAGGTTGATTCATAAATTGCTATGCTGTGCTTTCTACAATTTGCAAAAGCAACCTATATTTTATTGGTCCAAACTAAAAATGGTTGCAAAGTGTTTGATAAAAACGTTGAAACGCAACTTTTCAATTATGCTTATCTATATTGTCTTATTGAATACGTTATGATGCGCTGTTAATGATTACAAATATATCTGCATTGATATTTACCGCAAAAAACCCAGTGACCCGTAACAGCCAACAAGAAACAAACAAACATGAGCAGAATCGTTGCCCCAATTAAAATACTGCACGTTATCTGGGGCATTTCCTCTTCCGCCAGAAGCTCGAAATTTCAATGCATTGTTATGATTTTCTACAAATTTTACAAAACTTATCTTATACTTAAAATATTCAGTTTATTATTTTTTTTTTTTTAAAGGAAACTTTAATTACCTGATACAGTTTTATAATATGAGGATGGTCCAGCCGTTTCATGATGTCCACTTCCCTGTAGACCTTCTGCAGATTGCTCGCATCCAGTTGCGATTTATCAATTATTTTGATAGCGACCTGAAAACAAAAGAAATATACATAAATAAAGAGAAATAAAATAATGAAAATCATTTTACTCAACACAACTTTACACAAAACAATACAGTGTTACTTCGCTTAACGAGTTTAATCCGTTCTAAAATTTCCGAATTTTTACTCGTGTTGTGAAACATATTCAAAAATACACATAATATGTGTACACAAGTTTTAAAAATGATGTAGCGAGCGCGCAATCTAGGACTTCTCTTCTCATCGTCACTCGTTATGCGAAACGTCGCTCGTTAAGCGAGTCATTTTTCTAACAATTCATTTTGTTCGTTAAATGCTTGTTATGCGAGGTGCTCGTTAACAGAGGTTCCACCTATAATTAAATACGAGTAAAAATAAAATTCTTAGATTAAAATAAATAAAAAACAGTTTTTCAAATCCTGATTTTGCCATAAATAATTGAATGCAAATCTTAGACTGGAATGTTTGAGCTAAGTAACTAAGATCGTACAATTACATCCTTATTTAACCGAGATTTGCTTTGAGAATGTAAAAAAAAAATTTCAATGTTTTAATTTTTAAAACATACGAATTAACGACCTCTTTAAATTGAATCGATTGGATTGGATTGGATAAAATAGGTTTTTTTTTCAAATAGACTATGCATTGACACAAATGTAATATCTTTTTTTGTCAATGAGTTCGTTTATCTAATTGCGAGCAACGAGTGCATTCCATTGCGTCATCGTACGACGTCGAATTATCGGGTCGTCGTCGCCTCACTCGTGCAAGGTTTTGAAACAACATGTAAACGCGAGACACGAAGGTGTTTGCGCTCCTTTGTTTTCGGAGATTTCCATATTTACAGTATCCGAACAAACGACAAACAACGTCCGCCGCGCGGCGTCCAAGGTTTTTCACTGCGAAATGAAAAACCGTGGCAGCGAAAGCCGTTTGCCTAAATAACTTACGCAAATATTGGCGCAAACAATTAACGCTAATCCATATCATCTTATTTTTCCCTTCTTTTCGATAAATTCAACCTTGTTTCCAGAAACTATAAGATGGAATTCCATCTACGTATCCATCCGATCATTTTTTTGATATGCGAATGCAATGTATACAGACAGCCGTGATGCGAGTCTGCGGTTTGCGCAAACCGTTGTTACGGCGAATTTTGTCTCCGTAAAGACGCGGCTGACGTCAAACTGGGGGCCCGTTGACGTAAATATAGTCTATATACAGCTGCATCATTCTATCTGAACCATTTATTATATATATACACATGTATACTCGCACACTAGCGTACGTAAATTTTTTACTAAAATAAATTTACCTGAGCTAAAATAAAATCTTTGTGTGCGTGTGCGTTTCAAAAGAATTATATGAAAAATAGCCGACCATTTTATTTACTTGCATCAAATCCGATTTTGTGGAATCTTTCCATATTTATCCATTTCGTTAACAATTAATTAACACCGTTCTTCTATTTTCTAACAAATTGTTACTGTTAAAAAACAAGAAGCGTATAAACTAATTAATTACATATTACTACACACGATAATAAATAAGAAAGTTTCTTAAAGATTACAAATAACATATTTCGTTACTTTATAAAATTTAAAAGTTTTTGTACACTATTTATCAAAAACAGATTACTTTATTACTAATAATACGATAATAATTAAAATCATTAAATTTAAACTAAAATATCTTAATTCTGGAAACAAACAAGCAGACAACACATTTATATAAAATACCATATAGAATTTATAATGCAAATGAATTAAAAAATCTTTTCTAAACATGAATGAAATTAAAAATTGTCCTAAAACGCTAAAAGTTGAAAAAAAATATATGAAATATAAACAATAAAATATGAAATCTATCTAAGCGCCAAAAGTATTCAGTCTATAGCCCTTTAGCCTAAGTGTGGCCAATATTTTTTTTAGAAAAAATTAAAATCTATAATAAAGCTAAACTTAAATTGAATTTTGAAAGTCTATTCATTTTATCTAAAATGTGTCAATTTATTTACTATATAAAATTTATAGAAATTATTAAAACGCTTCTAAACTTTGGCAAAAAATATGTAAAAAAAAATTAAATCTTATTTAATCTCTTATAATTATCGAAATAATAGTGAATAAATTGCCATTTGGTCAAGGTTTGACCAATACAAAAAATAATGAATAATCAAAAATATAACTTAAATAAAAAGACTAAATTATAAGTATTCTGCAAGTTATAATTGCTGGAAGGATATAATTAAAATCATTTTAATAAATTACCAAAAGTATAATTACTATTCTAAAAACTAAATGTATTTAAAACTTGATAAGTAGCTGATAAACTTGAAGTACAGAAGATTCAGTCAAAAAACAATTATCGTCGAGAAACTATAAAATCTAAGATTTATAGTAACATACACAGTTTAAGTGTTCTACAAGTTATAAATATGAAGAAAAAACGTTTGTGACTTAAAAAAAAATCATATATATACAAAGTAGAAATTTACATGACTATAAATATAGAAATAGCAATAAATAAGTTAAAAATAGAACTTGTAATGAAAAGAATTTTTTTTTTTGCATGTTACAAATTTTAGTTCAATTTTGATAAATTAAAAGAAGTAAAGTATATTTGACTAAATCTGTAAATTGAATATATTCGCATTTTTCGAAAAATGTTGTATTACACTATTCACTTCTAATTATTTGAATTGATTGGAATAACTTCGATCCGCCACTCGAGAACCTTCATTATTGTCGAATCAATTTCCTAGTGGAAACTTTCCAAAACCAAATTTAAAAATAAATCAGGTATAATCTCCGAAACATTATGTGTTTCGGACAAAAATTAGGATTAGCAGAAATATCAAATTGAAAGAAAAAAAGTCCCATGTTTATGTTTCCGTTACCGTCGGAAAATGATTCATACTGAATTAAAGGAAAACGTTATAATTAGCATGTCCATTTATTTATTTAATTTATTAATTAAAATAATGTTTTGTCGGTCACAATTTGCGTGGAAATTAATCATAAGCGTATTTCCGAGAAAGTTAAACAACGAAGGTTAGCGTTGTCATTTTGCGACGGTGCTGATTGCGCACTATTTACTAATTAAGGAAGGCTGAATATGAAAATTGTTTTCCTGAAACTCTCTAGAAGATTTCAAATCACATCACAGAAAATATTCCAAACTGAAAAAAAAAACATATTTGTTTTCAGTAATCGTTTCCGATTTCGTATCCGATAATTTGATATCGCCACCACTTACCAAGACGTTCTTTTTATCCAATAGGAATATATAATTGATATGCAATTCAAATAAACCGATTTCTCTATGCAAAATGTAGAATCTTGTACTCAAATTTAGTCAATAACTAGAGTTCGAAAAATTGAACGTATCAAAACTATGCGAATTCTGCTCGAAACTATGTTAAAATTGTACGCGCATTATCGACAGGAACACTACGCGCTCGTAAAAATTGATAAGAATAAGTTGAGCAAACATTTTGAAATTGTATCTCGAAAGTCGCATTTCGTGAATCGATGTTTGTCCTTATAATGCTGTGCATTATTGTTGAAACATCGTTTTAAGTTTAACAATGAACAAATCTACGAAGACAACGGAAAGAGAAAATATATTTTTTTTTATAAAACGAATTGTTTTATTTGACGCGCAATCGTAAAAACAAGATTAAAGACTTAAGCTCTAAGTATTATTACTAGACCAGTGCTTCAGACTGGTATATTTTGATACTTTGGTTAGGTATTTTTAGGTTAGTGTTCAATTGTCCTTGAACTATTACACACCATTATTTTATAATGATAATTATTATTACAAAAAATCATATTATAAGTAATTATAAATAATTGCAAGAATTGAAAACAAATGAAATATACGCATATAAATAACTTGATTTTTATTGGTTAGGTTTTAATATATTTTGTTGCTATTCATACATTTTAAATACTATTACTTTACATATTTCTAGTAGACGCAATTACAAAACTATTTTTTTTAATTTGCTTATTTAAAAAAAAATGTTATTGCAGGTTAGGTACTTTTAGGTTAGGGGCTTTAGCAATTTGATATTATTATGGAATCGATATTACGTAAAGGTGACAATCGCTAAAAAAAATTAGTACAAGAACCTAATAATGTTTTAGTTACTTAAATAATTTCTTATGAATGTGTAAACTACAAAATTATTTCTTTCAAAGCGATGAATTTCAATTTACTTTTGTTGCTCGTTAAGCAAAGCTACTCTGTAAAACATACTTGTATTAGAATAGATGTAGAAAATGAAATTTGATCTTTATTATCGATTTAGATTTGGGAATGTGGGGAATCAGGAAGCTACGAAGATGAGATGAGAGAGGAGGCAAGCAGACGTCGGGCAACAGCCGAGAAGCGCCTGTTAAGGAACGCGTGGCGCTACAATCAACCTAGGTCGGGGACATCACTCGCAGATGGATGTAACTAAGACCTTCACTTCTCAGAATTGCTTTTTTTTTTTATTATTGTTTTGGGCTTACCTCTGTCTTGGTGATCCGATGTCGCGCCAATTTGACGACGGCGAAGTTTCCTTTGCCGATCGTCCTCTCGATATCGTAGAAACCTACGCGGATCGCGGCCTTCGTAATCCTCTCACGCTCACCCATATTGTTGTGCTCTCTATAATACTATTTACTACAAACTAAAACTACTGCTCCTCCAGTTCCACCACCCGATTAGTTCTATCGAACTTCAGCTGAAGTCGCTGTACCGGCGCGTCAAGAAACAAGGGGAGTACGATACAACCAACATCATCATCAACTGGGTAAACAATCACTTGGGGATCCCGGATAAAAGCATTTCCGGTTGGCAAAAGTTTTTCACAAAAAAATATTAATAATAAATATAAAATTTGTTAATCAATTCGCGAACGATTGAAAAAAAATAACGATTTCCTCCTTTGTTAATGTATGTGTTTTATTGCTAGATGATTCGATGTATTGTCATGTTGTGCGTCGGGACGACGGTTATCGACGCCGGGTCTTTCAATGTTTGTGTGACTTTGTGTGTGTCTCGAGCGACGCCCGAACACTAGACTGGGTCTTTGGGCTGCTCACTGCCTCCGCTACTACTGCTGCTGCTATGATGATGATGCTGATGTGTTAGTAGTGGTAGTAGCAAAGCGAGCCCCACGCGCCTTCACACACGTCCAGTGTGTATGCGCCCAGACCTCGGCAGACTGTACGAAAACCTACGAACCGATCGCTCCTGCTCGTCACTTCCACGCAAAAGCGAAACGTGGACATCGCCTATCCTCCGCACAGATCCCCAGGTGAAGCCGCGCACTCCTACTCCCAACAAAATAGAAACAGTAAACTTGTAACTCAAACAAACGCTTTAGAAAACCTCCCTAAGACCTAGAACGAAAAATATTATAAATTCATCAAACTAATAATAGTCATATTAACAATCCATAATATTAAGAATGATTAATAATAAACTCTAGAAACGAATACAACGAATATTAAAATGGAATAAAATATATTGCATATAAAAATATATTTTGTTTATGCGATTTTATTTTATATTAAAGTAACTACATTTAATCAATTTTAATCTTTACTGAATACATATTATGTTTGTACTATTGTAGATATTACATATATTACATATTTTTTTTCAATGATCCAATTGGACGAGAATCAGTGAAATTAAATTAATTCAAAAATTGAAATAAACTATTCGACTATTATTGTCCTAGATGTGGATCCACGCTTTCCATACACTTCCACTAATTATTTTTTAATTAACGAGAAATGTAAAAAAATATTTTAGTTTAGTTTTGTTTACTTTTGATAATGTAAATGAGATATTTAAGTTTATAACTTGAGTTTTGTGTCAACACAAGATTGGATAATTATATTTGTTTCGACCAACCAATTCGTAACTTAATTATTTGAATTTAAAAATTAAAAAAGAAACTATAAATACGTTAAGAAGAGTTTAATTCAGTAAATTAAGCAATAGTATTTCAATTTTAGAAGTAAGGGAATTCGGCCTCATGTTTGAGAGACGCGTGTCTTCTCCACAAATGACGCACACGGACACTTCACAATCCTTTACACTCGTCGAACGATAGCTCACATTTACGCACATACAACACCAAAAACAGATACTATCTGTAATCATTCATTATTTGTTGACTTTGTCTATTATTTACATATTTTTTCCTTTCCAATCTCATTTCATCGATAAAACGCGATGCAATTTTCTGGGGAACATTATTGATAAAGCTCCTAAATTTGAAACTTTCTTGCCCAAAGTTATTTGAAACTATTTTTTTCGTAGTTAAATGACAATCATAACGAAGCCCCTGACAAAATCATTATTTGTTTTGCTTCTAAACTTTGCCTAGGATTAAATACTATCAATTTTAATTAAGTTCTCTAAAGCTACAGAGACAGAACAAAGGCGAGCGTTAATAATTGAAGCTCATTATCTTGATTCAATTAACTCTGCAGACAACGAGAAAAAAGTAGTAACAATAACCCTTTTTAATAGAAAATAGTAAATTTATTTAACTAAATTGGATTTTTGTTTATTGACATTTTTTTCTAAAATAGAAATCTACAGTTTTAATGACAGTCAAGATTTGTGTACAGTAATTTAAATACTTGATGATTGACATAAACAAATATTTATTATTTGAAAACAAAATAATTGGTAGAATTAAAAGTACGGCGGATATTAAAGTAAATGTAAGAAGAAAGCACAGCAGTTAACTTTTTGTTTTATATTATTATTGTATGTAAAGGTTTTTTATTATTTTTAATGTTGCAATAAAGATTATTATTAAATGAATTTAAAAAAATTAAAATAACTAACAAAATATATATTTATTAAGGGGCGGAAAGACCTCGATCGTTAGCCCTTTGGCCAGCCTATTAATATATATATTTTTTTATTGTATGTTAAAATGTATTTATGTATAAATTGTACTTTTTTTTCTTCTTATGTATTGATGTTTGGGCAATAAATTATTATTATTATTTTATATTTATATTGTTCATTTCATTGTTCACTTAAGTTATAAAAAAATACTTTGTAACCAAAATTCTGTCATCTGTCAGTGGCGAGTTATTATCATCGATATAACAAATGTTTTGAAATGTTGTTGCTTTCTGCGAAAAGGGTTCTCAATATTTTTTTCTTACTTTTTGAATGAAAATAAGTAAAGTTATTTGAAATAAACTTTATTCATATTACTCTTGTATCAACTAAATTCTAAACATGTATGTACAATTAATAAGTATTAGTGTATGCCGATCGAGTGGATGCGGTGCTTTTGTACTACCGCAAAAAAAGTAAAAGAAAACTAGAATTGACTATAAAAATAGAAGTAAAAACGAAAAATTCTTAACAAAATAACGATAAATGGGCTAGAAACGAAATTTGGCACAGAACGCAAACGAAACCATTATTCGCTTTGTAGCTGCAATAATGTCAAATAAATAAAAAGAAAACGTATTTATGGAGAAGGAATGGTTGTTTAGATAATGACATGGTCCTGCGTACGGATCCTCTTGTGTCCTGCCGTGTGACCGGAATGATGGCGCTGAGTGGGTTGCATACATGGCGTCCTCGTTGTCTTGCCCAGTAGTGAAGACGTTGGACTCTCGAACCACAGATCTAAGGAATACAGAGCTGCCAATTGGCTAAGCTTTTCTCGCTCCGCCCCGCAAAGTCTCAGCTCAGATTTGGAGGTGTCCTGCAGGAATCGCGCCACTTTTTCATTGGCGCTTGTATTTATGCTGAAGCCAGGACGCTCATCCCCCAATCTCCTGCAACCTGAATCAAACAAAAAACCCCAATTATCACACGCTCACATTTAATTACTTACGCTATTTACCGGCGCGGAATTCCCTGGAATCGTTGTCGTTCCACGTAGTCTCCATCAAAGTGTCCTGGGTCGGAGCCCAATCGGTGAGCTCGTCGTCTCCTTCGTGGCCTTCGCCGCCACTCCAGCTCAAACTGCTTTCGCTCGCCAATTCGCAAGAATCGCTCACGAACTGCGTGTCCATCCTATCGCACTGAAAAAAAATAAAAAATGAACTACATTCCAACGCTATCTCCGAATAAACTCACATCCAGAGGTTGGCAGAACTTCTCAATCTTATCCACGACGCTCTGATGCAGAGGTTTGATCTTCTGGTTGCTGCACGCATGATAAATGCTCCTTCCATTTTCAATCATTTCAAAGCGCTGCGGCCGTTTCCGTTTCCCCACGGGCGGTATAGGCGTCTCGTCCACGCTCATCCTCTTCAACTTGCGCTTCCTCCTCATACTCGGCCTCGCCGGTGAATGCTCGTTAAAAGAGTCACTTTCCAAACTGTGACTCATTCCTATTCAAACAAATAAACAATAAATCTACCATCTTTAATTAACAATACCAAAACACTCACCGAGCTTCCTATATCGCCCGCGGATTATATTATTGATTGGATGCTTCATCTTCAGCATGTGACTCATGGTGAAACTCAGCGAGACGTCATCAGAATCGGACTGATTCTGGTTGTTATCCTCTTTGCCCTTACTGACCTTGTTCTTCTCGGCGTCGTGCGCCTCCTCATTGCTGCTAGAGCTGCCTTCAGAGCCATCGTCACCTACAATAAAAAGATCAATTACGTAACAGCTTTAGCAACGTACAAAAGAACTACACTATTTGTGCAGATAATCAGAGCGGAAAATCGGTCTTTTTCGAGCTGTGTAAACCACACGAAATATATCAATCGATTTCCGTAATTCCGCGTAAAAAATAATAAATCTACTGTGAATTTGCACTTTTTTTCCGCGGTCCATTGACTCCAATTTAAATATCAGGTGTGCAAGGGAATGGCACAGTTTACGCAACAAACTTAACAAAATCAAATAACCAAATGCCTAATGGACATCTTTATCGCACATATTTTACATACAAACTACGTTTTATTTTAATACAACTTTCTTAAGTTCGGTACAAAAAAGATATTAAAATAATATATTATAATTACAGATTTTACACCTCTTCAGCATACTAAAACTACAAACAATATTAATTTTTCAACTTACTTACTTACATTTAATGAATTTAATAATAAAATATGTACCTTAATATAACTTAATACAATTAAAAAGTTTCATTTTTGTTTCAAATACAAAATATGAATTATTGAGAGTCACCCCACAGCAATTTCCTTGATGCAATGAAAATAAAAGCACACATCTATTAAAATACCAAATTTACCATTCTATTTTGTTTTATAATATCCTAAAAAGCGCGTTGTAGAATCGTTAAAATTCTTATGGTAAAAAAAAAGTGAACAATCACTTTTTTCACAAATATTTATGCTTTTACTAACAATATGAGTTATTATTGTTAGTAAAAGCATACTTAATGAAAAAGTTTGGAGGAATTCAAAAATTAGTTTGATATTTACATAGATAATAGTTCTAAACTAAACGAAATATTATTTTATGAAATTTTCTAAATATTTAATTAAGTTTAGATGAATATTTAACTAATCAAGTATGACTAATGATGTTGACATCAATAGAAAATAAAAGGTAAGCAAGAGTAAAACTTGACATAGGTAAGTTAATAAATTAATTTTTGAGTGACAATTCAAAGAAAAAACCAAATATTCAGAGCATAGATAAATTTATTCATGAAACTTATTTAATTAAGATGAGATTAATATTTATGTTTTTGTATTGGATTTAATAGATTATAAAGAAAATACATAAAATACACTATTATTAATTTAACATTATTTAGCAATAACAATATTCATTAATATTGGATGAAAATATAATGTTTCAGTAATTAAATTGTAAAATTGCTTTGCTGTGAGCTTTTTAAATAACTGTCCTTGGCTGTAATTGGATAAGAAAATAGGACATTTTATTATCACGAAAATAAGGTGGTTGTTGGAACGAAAATCAATTACGGAATATACGTTTTGCATCACTGTATATATTGTCTTAACTGAAATTTCGACTTGGAATAGTGCAAAACTGTAAATTCGCAGAGTGCAGTGTTAAACATACACTATTTTGTTTTTGTTGTTGTTGTTGTTTGCAAATTGTGTGTGTTGTATGGACTTACGCAAATTACCAGCAGATCTGGTCCTACGTCGCATACCCCATTTCCTGCCGGATTGCAGGGCGATAGGCCCGCAAGACTCAGACTCTTCCAAAGCAACGGAAAGATCCTGGGCAAGGTGTTCCATTTTCTTCGCTTTTTCTACAAAAATACACTCAGCAAGTAGCACGATATTTTCTATGTCACAGACACGATCCAAATATATATAAACATTACAAAACACAGCTGTCAACTTGACAGATCCTTCAGAGGTGCCAACGTGCGGATATTGAGCATATTGAGGTTGGTAACGGTTTCCAAAGATGCGCACGCCGGTTAAACAGAAAACATTTATTTTTATTTTAAACTTTTTGAACTATGTACAAATTTAAAAAATCTCAATTTAGGCTTAATCGTCGATCATTCCTTTTTATCTTGCTCTTCGACCACTTTGTAGGTGCCGTCCGGGCCGTGCTTGAAGCTCCACTTCTTCTTCGCCTCGACGAACTTCATCTTCTTTTGCTCGTCGACATGGTCGTGATGTTTGTCATGTCCCGCTCCGGTTTTATGGCCTTTATCCTCGCTGTACGACTTTCCACGATGATGGTGCTTCATCTTACCGTAGTCGTCATGGTGATGATCGCCATGAAATTTACTCTTCTTATATTTGTCTCCCTGGAAACAACAGTTGCTGAAATTTTTGCTTAGTTAGTGTAATAGTTGGTTCACTTTTTTATGGTCTCCGTCTTCGAAGGAACCGCCCGCCTTCTCCTTTCCATCCTCCTCGTGATATTCATCATAGAACTCTTCCATCTTCTCGTACTCGTCTTTCTTGTGCACGTTATGTGTTCCTTTTGTGCTGTGGCCCTTGTTGTGTTTACCATCCTCATCGTACTGTTAAATAATTATTAAACAATCAAATAAAACTAATACGAATCAATAAACATACCTTAGCGCCCTTCTTTCCCTTATCCCCTTTGTGCTTCTCCCCGTAATAACCATCATTATGTTCATCCTTCTCATTCTTCTTTCCGCCTACTTTGAAACTTCCCTCATCGCCAACTTTGTCGTGGTGTCCAGAATCCTTTTTATAATTTTTACCTTCAACCTTGTAGCCTTTCTCTCCAGTCTCCTTAAGGAATCCTGCATGTTTTGTGTCGTGTTCTTTTCCTCCGCCTTTCTCGAATTTTACATCTTTGTTTTTTTTCTCTTGTACTCCTTTACTCGCAGCTGCTTTCAGCTCTCCAACAGTTTGCTCCTTCGCATCAGCATCTACAACTTCTTCATAGTAACTAGAATCTTTTCCTTCATTCTCGTTCGAATCCTTAATTTCCTCTTTCACATTCTGTTTCAAATCCTTAATTTCCTCTTTTCCCTTGGGATTCTTATCAACCACTATATCCTTAATATAATACCTTGGCTTCTCGATTTCTTCAGATTTATCCTCATCGTCGTCTTTGTAATAAGCTGGTTTGGAATTCTTAATTTCCTTTATATTTGCATCCACACTTTCACCGGATTCTTCCGATTTATCATCGTCAAAATTTACTGCTTGCTTCTCGTATGAATCATTTACGTAATATTCCTTCTTCACTGGTATCTCTTCGATCTCTTCTGATGATGATTTATCATCCTCGGAGTCTTCTGTTGTTTTATCATTATTGCGATAATCCAAATCCTTAATTCCTGAGTCTACTTTTGCATCTACGCTTTCCTCGGACTCCTCCGAAGTTGTTGTATCAGAGTCATCTTCGTCATTTTCCACTCTCTTTTCAAACTTATCTTCAGTATCTTTACTTGGTCGATTGTTTTCTGAATATGGATATTTATTTTCCTTCAAGTTTGATTTATCTAAGTCATCCTTGTTTTTTTCTTTGTAATAATCTTTACTTTTTATTCTATTTTCTGGCTTATATTCAATTTCCTCGTTAGATTGATTATCTTTTGAATTTCTATATGGATCTTTATTTTCCTTATAGTTTTCTACCTCCTTGTACGAATTCTCGCCAAACTTTGGTTTATCGTCTCCTTTTTCGAGTTCATCTTTGGTTACATCATCTCCACCCTGTACTTCGTAAGAATCCAACTTTTTCTTGAAATCCTCGTAATCATTATTGATTGCTTTGTCCTCCGATATATTTACACGAAGTGGTTTTCCGTAAGAATCAGTTTTATCCTTGTGCAAATAATCTAATTTAACTTCAGAATCTCCTTCATCGTATTGAACTGGTTTCCCGTACGAATCTTTTTTGTTCTTCAAATTTTTGTAATAGTTAACGTTGATTTCAGGTGTGATTTCTTGTTGGATCGATTTTTCGAAATGCACTTCATCCGATGGCTTTTGTTGAACGTAGTAAACGGCAGGTTTTTCGTAATAATCTTTTAAAGATTTATCTTTGTTTTCTGATTTCTCTTTTAGCGGCTTTTCTTCTACCTTAGGTTGTTTAATTTCGTAATCTTTCAGATGCTTCACTATGCTTTCGCGTCGCTCGCTCTCCAAATACTGTTTATCTTCCTCTTCTTTGGGGTTTACATGACTTTTCCTGCGTTCTTCATTCAAATCACCGAACTTCTTGGAGCCTCTTCCTCCGGTCCTTAGAAGTCGTGTCGTTTTCACTGGACTGAATTTATCTTCGTAGTTCTCCACGTTCTCTTCCAAAGCGTCGTCGTTGATGTGGATGAGAAAAGACTGAGGCTCAGATCTTTTTGGCTTCCTTGGATGTTCCAACTTTTGCTCACTGTTACGTTTCGTTTGCACTTTGGTATCGACCGGTTCCTCTCCGATATACGAGAACGCTATCGGCCTCTGGAGCGTCTTCCCACTTCCCACAGGGCCGCCGCTGACCAGCAGACAGCAGCACAAGTTAAAGACAAAGATCGAAACCGGGAGAAGCATTGCTGTTATCCGGCGCTCCCATGAAATGGACTTCTTTTTAAACATTCATTTTCTATTTATATTACATTCGGTCTGCCCCTTTTGCTCCCCCGTCGTTCGCTCTTTTTTATGTAATTAAGTGCATAACGTTGGGCGATTTGGTTTGTTTTTTCAATGATCCTTGCAAAGATCGATTCGTCGAGCGTGGTGGAATTAATTGCATTAGAACTTTCTATATTACTTCACACTAGCTCATGCGACCCAAACCCAAGTACTTTCACTATCCTCGCCGAATTATATGCAAAATTCACAAACTATTATTAGATCACTAAACCGTAACAAAAAAGAATAACAACTGAAGAATGCAGTAGGCCGATGACCGTTTCAAATTCATCATGAAAGCATCTTCCTAACATCTCGCATGTTTATGCTTAAACTTAAATATTTCTTCCTATAGATCTTAAAATATTCTTGCCTAATTGCGACTTTTTATACCAAAATAGACAATAGATTTTTTTACGCTTTGGTCAATTCAGAACTTCACTTCTAACAAATTTCTTGAAACACTTTTTTATTTATAACAAATTGACTTATTTTTTGTTAATTATTTTCCTTTACCAGCATTTTTCATTTACACTAATATAAAAAAAAACTTACTTCCAATATAATGTTAAAAATAATAAGAAATTCAGATGTAGGAATATTTTAATATCTTTATTATTAATAATATTTGTTAATCACATTAAAATAACAGTTATGTTGGCAATAGGTTTATAATAGGGACAATAAAGAATGTGTTTTTTTATTACCCTGTATAATCGGATACCAATATAATCATTTATTTACTTTAAAATCTCTACAAATTTAGCTAATATTAAAACGTGTGTGTATTTTTTTTGTATCATCTTCAACAAATTACTGATAGAAATATAGATATATATATATATAATTTTTATATGTACATGATTTTAAAAATTCTTCTCCATTATCATCATCTAACATTAATATAATAAAATATGGATTATACATTATATATAATAATAAAGTAATAATCTGTGTCTCTTGATTGCGCGTTCACTTCAGTTATTTGTTACAAACTAATATTCATATATTAAAAATATAAATGTAAAAACTTGAAAATGCATCGAACATGAACGGTATGTAAAGCTGGTAATGTTTGTGTTTTTTTTATAAAATGTGTTTGTGCGCTTCGGCAAAGCGTAGTTGGATATGTAAGTAAAGAAAAGGATATGAGTGAGAATAGTGGGGGAAAAGAGTCATCATCGTAATTATCATTTCTTAAGTATCGGCACATTCTTGTTTCGTTCCTTTTCCAGCTCGTTCCGCGTGTTGTTGAAGGCCTCCGTCTTCATGAAATCTACTTTTTTGTAGACGGTGTTCGCGCCCGGCGATCGCAACGGTTCAGCCTTCGCGTTGCGCACGTGCTTGTTACTCTTGCTGTCCAAATCCAGATCGAGATATTCCAGTATCTTGGACTTGTTCAGATCGGGGAACGAATGATAAATCTGAAAATCCAACCAAGTGTTACAAAAAAAAATAAAGAAAAGTATTTTTAATTCCACTGACCTGTTCATTATCATAGTCTACCAGGCTTTCGTAGGATCTTCCCAAGCTAGGTGGCGTGGGACTAGGGGCTGCGCGGTGCCTGCGGCTCACGTTGTCGTATTCGACCTCGAAAGCTTTCCTCTGGCAAGGCATCGTTCCCTAACGATCGAAATAAAAATCAAACAACATTATAATAAATATTTAGTTCAGGACTTACGAAAGTCATGGTGGGCTTCAATTTCCGATCGACGCATGGCGCCGGTCTCGGAGACGGAGGTTCCGCCGTCGACGAGGCTATCGAACGAGTGTCGGAGAGCTTCCTTTTTGGTTTCAGGCAACGATTCACAACTGGTGGCGGCATCAACTAGAATTTAATAAAAGCTCCCGTAAAACTACTTTGTCAATCTCCAATTAAAATACTCACAGGTGTATCTAGTAATATCGGACTGGGCAAATTCGAATAAGCCGTCGTCGAGGAATTTTGCGATATGGGGGACGCCGGCTCGTCCACCAGGTCATCTCCGTATTGGAATATCTGGAAATAAATACGCACAAAAATCAATCAATCGTCCGATTGGACTCGGTTTTGAATGGGTTACATTGGTGCTGGTGCTCGGTTTTGGGGAAGCGTCGTACGTGAAAATATGTCCGTCTATGCTACTAGGCGCGGCATTGTTGTAACAATGCCGCCTAGACAGCGTTCCGCGGACATCGTTCGTCATTTCGAGGTGGTGCGACCTGGGGAAGTCATACATCTCGTCATTGATCGGAGCCACAACCTGATCCGAATTTGAATTCGATTTGCTGTGAGTCCCAGATTTTGATCCATCGCTTTTGCTACAAACGCAACAAAATCAATAACAATATAAAAGACCCAACATTAATCAATTCCTAATTCATACATTGTTTTGCTACACTGCAAATTATGATATGTCTGCGGTATCGCGATGTGCGACGGCTTCGGAGGCCTGGGCGGAGCAAGCGGCACGACGTCGGGAATCCTGAAGTTGTTCAACTGCTGACTGGCAGAGTCCACATCCACCGATGAACTGTTCGACGGTCGCGTCGATTTGTTAGAATCGGTTTGGGCGGATACGTTGTGCGACCAGTCGTCGTCGGTGAAGACGCTCTCTGTGTCGGTCGGGCTTTGAAGTGGTGATCCGAAGTTGTTCTTGATGAAGTAACAGTAGTTCACCTCCTCCTGAGATCCTTTGGGTGGAGCCTGCAGCAGCCTTGGAGTATCATAAGCCTTGGGTCCGAAGTTCAGGTAAGTGGGCGCCGGCACCGGATCATACGAATCGTAGCTTTCGTTCGCGTGATTCCGTGGACGTCCATAGTACGATTTTATATTCTGCTGCTGTAGCGCATTGTATTCCTAATCAACACAAACAAAGATCACAATTACGAAAACGATAATATCCAATGTAATTGAGTCTGTTACTGAATAACTAAAATCTCCAACAAAATATCATTGATTTTCTAAATTATAAATGATTGCATTCAATATTATTTATTTTAATTAAAAACTAAACATTATTTTTGTTTACTTCTACAAATAATTTCTTTGCTGGTGATTTATAAGTAGTAATTAAATAGCATCTATTTACTGAGATTCTCATAATTCAAGGTTATATAAAAAATTAGAATATGATTTGTTAATTACCTCAATGGGCTGGTTAGGTAGAATTGGCGTTTTCCCTGTAATGCACTCAGAGACCAAAATGTAAGGACTGGAACTGATGGGTGATGATACATCTGTATTCAGTGACTTCTCCTGGATCTCAGCAAGCTCATCCTGATAGGTGCACTCATCTATTTCACTGGTGACCTGGAGGCTGCATATTTTGCAGATGCACTTTACCCAGAGCTCCATCTCAGGCTCAGTGTCTGCAGCCAAATAATAAGTACGTGAGGGCGTCTTTATGTTGAACATGTAGTCAAACTTTAGGTTCTTATCCTCAAACTTGAAGCCCCTGTCAACCTGTTCGCACTGGTCTAAGTTGATGCTTCCCTTGAGTTTCCTGCTCTTTCTGTCTGTGTAGTACGAGAGTATGTACTGACCAGGAATTTCGCCTGCGTGCAGCGTGAACCATCTTTTCCTCCAGCGCTGAATACAACAAAAGAATCAATAGGAATCGAGTTACCACTGGGCGCTTTGTTTTGTAAACAAAAAAGATCGGTGCGTGTATTATTCGGTCTCTTTCAAGAATAACTTACCCCGCGCCAGATCCTCTTCGTAGGTGGTGACTTCGTGAGCCATCCTTCGTTCAGAATCTCTGGTCCGCTCACATTAGGCATCTTCGCACAATACAAAAACACTGCACTATCAGAAACACATAATGGACCATATGAGATTGCATATGACTGCGATGATGACTAATGTGTATCATGTCAAAAATAATCTACCTTTCTTTTCATGTTTACCAACATTTTGGATAACCTTGCATGTTTACAGATGGCGCAACACTACACATTCGTAATACCGTTGGCAACAAATTGGATTTTTTTAACTTTGACACTTTTAGTGGCGCGAAGCGGGAATTTCTGTTTCATTTATTTTGAGTTTTATATTTGTGGTTAAATATTTAAAGTCATGAGTCACAAAAGGAAGAACAGTGAATCTCCCGGCACTAGTCCCACTAAGAGGAACAAGTAAGCATAGAAATCTGCCTACAAATACTAGCGTTAACTGATATATTTAATATTTTCAGAGATGAAAATGTTGAGAGACCCAAAGTGGCTTCCATTGATCCCAAAGTGGACAAACTGGTCTTTCAACAGATGGAATTGGACCATTATATTGGTAATGTGTTTCCAGGTATGCCAGGAGCGCAAAGTGGACCTGTACCAGTCATGAGATGTTTCGGCATAACACCAGATCAGAACAGTGTTTGCTGCCATGTGCATGGATTCAGTCCATACTTATTTGTGTCTTTACCTGACAATTTCACTACAGCTGATTTGCAACCATTTAAAGTGAGTTGCTTATTGTATTGAATAATAACAAGTTAATGACAAGTTAATTTCAGAATAAATTGAACCAAGTTGTTCTAGCAGATATAAAATCCAACAAGGAAAACTTATCAGAGGCTGTGTTGATGGTTGAAATAGTCCAAGGGAAATCATTGGTGGAGTATCAGGGAGATGAATATAAGAGTTTTGCCAAGATCACAGTGGCTTTGCCTAAGCTTGTTGCGGCCACCAAAAGATTACTGGAAACTACGACAGTGTATCAACCAGCAGCGCATCATAATTTCGTACCTTACGAATCGAACGTTGATATTGAGATGAGGTTTTTAATAGATGTGAAGATTTTGGGCTGCTCCTGGATCGAATTACCTCCAGGAAAATGGTTCAGAAGATCAGCAAAAACTACGTTCCCAGTAACATCTAGATGTCAGCTGGAGGTGGACGTAGCCTGGTCCGATTTGATCGCACATGCACCCGAAGGGGAATGGTCCTCTGTGGCACCCTTTAGACTTCACAGCTTCGATATAGAATGCGCCGGTCGCAAAGGTGATTCCCGAAAGACAATCAAATTTATTTTATATTAATATATATATTATAGGTATATTTCCGGAACCGGAAGTGGATCCGGTCATCCAAATCGCAAATGTGGTCCATCTGCATGGAAGACACGATACGCCGGTCGTGTGCAACATCTTTACTTTGAATACTTGCGCTCCGATAGGTCACGCAGTTGTACGATATCCAATTGTATTATCTCTTAGAATATTTTAATGATTACGTTATTTGCTTCCAGGTTCACAGCTACAAAACGGAGGCCGAAATGCTGATGGCCTGGTCTGATTTTGTGCGTAAACTAGACCCCGACATTCTGACCGGCTACAATATAATCGATTTCGATATACCTTACTTGATCAATCGGGCGAACCACTTGAAGCTTAAGAACTTCGGCTTCATGGGTCGAATTCCCACTATCAAGTCAGTTCTTTAATTCCTGCTTTTATTTAAATTGTTTTAACGTGGATTATTATAGGTCTATCACTAAAGAAACCTCAACGCAGACGAAGATAGGTCGTAGGGTTGTGAAACAAACGAACTTCGAGGGAAGAGTTACTTATGATATGTTGAGCGTGATCAGGCGCGACTTCAAATTACGTTCGTATTCCCTCAACAATGTGTCCAATGAAATTTTGGGCGAACAGAAGGAGGACGTGCATTACAGTATAATCACAGATTTGCAGAACGGCGATGAGCAAACCAGAAGGAGGTTCGCATATTAAAAACAATATGAGTTTTGGGTATTAAATGATGCACTGCACTTTTAGGCTTGCTGTTTACTGCATAAAAGACGCAGATTTGCCGTTGAAGCTTTTGAATCACGTTAAAAGCTTCACCAACGATATAGAGATGTCCCGTGTGACGGGAGTACCTATCACCATCCTGTTGACCAAGGGAGAACAATCCAAAGTCGTAGCGCAACTTTTGAGACACGTAATTTGAAAAAAAAAAACTTTAAAATTGGAAGATTGAATAGCTAAATTATTATTTTAGGCTAGACAACATGATTATTTTATGCCCGTACATCGCGGTGCTCCGAGTTCCGAGCAATACGAGGGAGCCACGGTCATCGAGCCCATTCGAGGTTATTACACGGATCCAATTGCTACATTGGATTTTAGCTCTCTATATCCCAGTATTATGATTGCACATAATCTTTGCTACACGACGTTGCTCAAGCCCCAAATGAAGGAGAAACTAAAGTACGTCAATTGCATTTGTGATAGTAGGGAGAATAACTAACTTGTTTTTGTGCAGCTTGACGACTGAGAAGGTATCCACCACGCCTTTGAACTGCATGTTCGTGAAATCTAGTGTGCGGAAAGGGTTGTTACCACACATCTTGGAGCATCTTCTTGCAGCCCGCAAACGCACCAAAGCTGAGCTCAAGGAAACCACGGATCCTTCCATGAGAGCTGTGCTGGATGGTAGACAGTTAGCTTACAAAATATCCGCCAACTCCGTGTATGGATTCACCGGGGCGCAGCAGGGGAAATTACCGTGCCTGGAAATATCCGGTGTAAGTGATTGTCAAAGATTTTCAATTAGTATAATAGTAAATAATTATCGGATATTTTATAGAGTGTAACATCTTACGGTAGGACTATGATAGAGCAGACGAGACAGGAAGTAGAGCAGAGGTATTGCGTGGCCAATGGATACAAGCACGACGCGAAGGTCATCTATGGAGACACCGATTCGGTGATGGTTAACTTCCAGGTGAAGACGCTAGAGGAGAGCATGGACCTGGGAAGGGAGGCGGCCGAATACATCAGCGCGAAGTTCATTAAACCCATAAAGTTGGAATTCGAAAAGGTTTACTTCCCGTATCTGCTCATTCAGAAGAAGCGATACGCAGGACTTTACTTCACCAGAACCGATACATACGATAAGATGGACTGCAAAGGGCTGGAAACCGTGCGTCGTGACAACTGCACATTAGTGGTGGACGTGATCAACACATGTCTTCAGAAGCTCTTGATAGACCGAGACCCAGATGGCGCATCCGCTTACGCAAAGAAGGTTATCTCGGATCTGCTACAAAACAATGTGGATATATCCCAGCTAGTTATTACCAAAGAACTCTCGAAAGAAGAGTACGCAAATAAGCAACCGCATGTCGAATTAGCTTCGAAAATAGCCAAAAGAGATCCGGGAAAGGCGCCAAAGCTAGGTGACAGAATCCCTTATGTCTTCATAGCCTCCTCGAAAAACGCCAAAGCCTACGAAAAAGCAGAAGTTTGTATTTTTGGTATATCTATTACAGAATCGTAATGTAATTTCATTAATTTTAGGATCCCATCTACGTGCTAGAAAACAACATACCGATCGACGTCAAATACTATTTGGAGAATCAACTTTCGAAACCTCTGGTGCGCATCTTCCAGCCGATCTTGGGGGATAGTGCCGAGTCCATCCTGCTGCGAGGATCTCACACTCTGAAGAAAACTGTTGTCACCTCGAAAGTGGGAGCACTGGCGGCGTTCACAAAGAAAAAGGAGACTTGTCTAGGGTGTAAATCCGTTCTAGCTTCCGGACAGGAAAACGAAGCTCTATGCAAATATTGCAAGCACAAGGAGCCGGTTCTATATCAACAGGAGCTGAGCCATCACAGGCAGCTGGAGGATAGGTTTTCGGTTCTATATACCGAATGCCAGAGGTGTCAGGGTTCTTTGCACGAAGAGGTGTTGTGCACGAGTCGAGATTGCCCGATCTTCTACATCAGGAAAAAAGTGCAGATGGAGCTAGAGCGAAGCACTGCAAAGATCAACCGTTTCGGCTCTTCTTTGGTTGAAGAGGAAGACGAAGATTTATTCTAAGATCTGTTGTTGAATTTAAAAATTACTGATTTTATACAAAAAAAGATGTGTTACATTAATTCTATTTAGAAAATTAAACTATTTTAATATATATTTTTTTTTTTTTAAATCAATACAATTACTTTTCGTTTCTCGTAAAATTGCGTAATTAAGTATAGATGAGATTATTTTTAAAGTTGACTTAATTAATTCTCCCGAAAACTTATGCAAAACAATAAAATATGAAAAACGTATTTCATTTCTTAAAGAATCAAATCGTACATATTCGTAATACTTTTGGGGAGGAAATTCAAGGTAATTTATTAATTAAAACAAAAATTCATCATATATCATTTTGTTTTATTGAGGGCAAATATAATAATAACTTGTTTCATATATTCTCTTCGGATCTATTTTTCCTGTCATGATCGCACATCACTTTGTATACATCTTCATAATATATATTTATATGTTCATATTTTGTTGTCGTTTATTTTTACACAATATAACTTTAAATATTCTAAAATCGTGATGTAGATCATACATATTTATATATAATATACTTTCTCTTAATCTGAATTAATCATATAATATGTAATAATTAATATATAATAGCAATTACCCAAAAAATGCTAGTGTAATACACAATATATTTGTTATAACAGTATAATTATATGTAGATCAAAAACGACAAAGTTAAACTTTTCTCTCTATTTCTCAATCGATTCAACAAACGGAAGCTAATACATTACATCATCATTATTATTATTACACCTTTCTTATCGTTTTATTTCTTTCTCTACTCCATTACATCGTTCACCGTGATAGAAAAATACCTCAATATACACACACTCGTATAGTAGTAATAAATACAATATTAGACACCCTTTATTTCATCACAGACTACAATAATTCAACCGAACATAGAACGAAACGCGATCGAATCGAATAAAAAAATATACAAGATATTTATAATAGACGCACATAATTAGTAGAGTTGGACAAGTTCACATCAACAAAACTCAACTAAAGGAAAATGAAAAAATAATTAATTTCCATATCTTTCGATTTTTAACATTGATTTATTGAAAAGTAAATCTAAGTTATGAAATAGATTAAATTTAGAAGTTGAAGGGGAGTCCCTCCAAGAGATGGATCCATCACAATACTTTTTGCCCCAACGTCCCGGGTCTAATTAAAAAGTTTCATTTGTAAACGTTGTATCAAATTCGAATAAGACAGTCTTTAAATTTTGGTTTCCGCGTAAATTTAAAAACTATTCGATGAATCCATCCAGATTAAAACAATAAATAATTAACTTTCTATTTCCACAACCCTCTTCCCTCAAAATGATCTAATAATTGAATAAATCTCCCCTTTTTTGTGTATGTTCATCCTCTCTCTTCGTGTATATATTTTAATATTTTTTATATATTTTTATATTTATGTATAACATTCCCCCCAATTACAAAAATAATATACAGCCCAGCTCTTGCAAGCCACGCCACGCTCTAACTTCTCTCAACGGTCGTCATCATTATTGGAACTACCTTACTTATATCACTTACGAATCTACTCTAAAACAGACTATAAACTATAAGCTCAGATCAATAACAAATCTACACATCGTTCGTCGCACTCTACGAACGACAAAGAACAGAAGAAACAATCACGGATACGCCCTTCATCACTTCCGATTGGAGGATGGAGAAAGGAACACCCACCCACCCTATTCTCTACGACAACCAGATGCGTGTTATAAATAAAAAATTTGTCAGGGACATTATCCTATTCACACTGAAGCGGAAGTAGTATTGCAATAACAAACAACGAAATAAACATACTGATTGTCTCCTAGGCAACACTTTCGTCGCAATTTCATCTTTTCCACCTTAATCCAAATACGATAAAAGATTAAACGATAACATAATAAAATATATGTGTATATATGTAAGTGTGGATACGTAAAATTGCACAGCTGATTACATGAGTCAACAAACTAAAGAAGTTCATATATTAGCTCGCTCGATTAAAAGCAAAAAGTGCGTGCGTTGCGTAAATTAAATAACCCATTTTTGCTTTATCTTAAACGATAATATTAATAAATACTCAATAAAAACATTTAGAATCTGCATAAAATGCATATAACAATAGATAGTACAAATAATCAATATAATAAAATCTAATTAAATTAGAGCGGAAACAAAAAAAAATGTTGTTTTTCTTTTTGATTGATTCTCATACACTTAATACAAAAATAAACAAACTATTCTACATAAATATTAAAAAAAGAAACAAACAAAAATATTCGTAACAGTGGAAAAACAAACACGATCAAAAAAGGAATGTGTAAATAATCGTAATAGTAATTATTAAAAGTGCACACTCGGATTATTCGATTTAAAATTAATAAACAAAATGTGTGTAAGCGTGCAGTAAGCCATTAAAAGATGAGATCCATTCATCTTTTGAGCAGATCAGTCAATCAATCAAAATCGAAGAAGTGCATAACGTGTTAAAATATAAAAATCATTAAAAAATAAAAGAAAAATAATTCATAAACGTATCGTAATAATACTGTTCGTCTATTAATAAACGAGTGCAATTAAATAAAAAAAAAAATGAAAAATGGAGATTAAATTAGAAAATAAATAAGTTAGTTAAAATAATTAAGGATGAAAATTAGTTAAAACTTGGAATACTTGGACATGAGAGAAGCGAATTAATTATTTAAAAAAACATATATAATATCTAACTAACGACCTGAATTGAAAATGGCAAGGAATTGCTAAAACAAATGTCTATATTTATATATATATATAAACACAATATATTATATCTCTATATATATATATATCTCACATACAGGATGTTCACTATTATTTGAGGGATGTTGCTCAGATCTACTTAGAAATAGTATGCTTGTTTCAAACGCTTTAATAATTAATAGTTAAAGAACAAAGTACTTTACTTTATTAATTGATAATTAATTACTTAAAACGCACATACAAAGTGCTATATTTAATGCTTTAAGTTTAGTGATTGCACTCCCATTTTTTGTTTTTATCTGGTTTTTACTTCGTTTAATAATTGTATCCTCAGATTAGTTGACCTAAGAACTAAGTACATCGACACTGTTTGATAATTAATCACTTTAATACATATATTGTACATATAATTGTGTCTGGTAAAGTGAGCATCATCTCCGTGCAAGTTGCGAACGCATCCTGTACATAAATATACATGTGGGAATTAACCCGTAAGTTTCTCTCTTGCTATATTATATATATATATTTTTTTCTTGCTAATAATTCAAATTGGGCATCTTCTCTTATTATTTTGTTTGTTAATAAATCACATTCGTTCTCCGTATTATCACACACCTGTTTGCTGTACTGGATGCCCCTCCCACACCTGCCGCCGCCAAAACGCAAATCTGGTTAATTTCTTTAAGTACCCACTTGTTGCTCGGACCTCCGACTAAAGCGGAAAGCGTAGAGACAATAGAAAGTAAAACTCAATCGCTCGTCTCGTCGGCAACTTTCTGCTTCCCTTTTTCTTTTATTCTAAAGGTTTTATTCTCTACGTGCTCGCTTCGGCCGCATGTTCATACCGCCTCCCCCGTCGCTCTCAACGTTGGAGCAGCCGCGACTCTTTTTACTTACTTGCACCTGAGATTGGGCCGTTAGGTGAAGGGAAATCGCGTGCGTGTTCAACTTCTCCGCCAACAATAAATCCTTCAACTCCTTCATCTTCTGACTGTGCAGAACGATGGTTGGATTGGCCGTTCTGTTCGGAAGAATATCGTCAACGTCGTCCTCAATCTTCTCGTCCTCTTTCAACGTTTCCTTTTTACTGTCGCCATCAGATTCTAGCTGCTTCGAGGTGCTCGCCGAGGAACCGTTAGACTTCATAGCGCAATCTTCCGTCCCTGAAACAATCATAATTTCTATAAATAAGTGCAAGTAGCGTAGATTTACAAATACTGCATACCAACAAAGGGATTGCCACCTCCTTGAAGAAGGTACTCCGGATTTAGGATCTTTTCAGAGCATCCGGCGGTAAGAGCCTCGATACTAGGATGCAAACTACCAGATTCCTCAGAGCTGCTGGCATCGACTGACCCCGCGGTACCGTTGCCATTCTCTTTGCAGGGCGGTGCGCTGTAGTTGTTGTTGTTCAAGCAATTTCCGCCTGCACCGCTTCCATTCGAGCTAGTCTGCGCTCTAGGTTCCTGCTTGCTGTGGTGGTGGTGCGGATGATGGTGCTGGTATTCGGTCGTCTCCGGAGATTCGCAGACAATATGTACCTGGGCTCGGACACTCGCATCGAACTTGGAGATGGTGTTCACGAGTGGCTTTGCCCAACCGATGTGCAGGACGGGCGTGGCGCTGCCTTCCTCCCATTGGCATATGCCGTCGTAGAAGCGCAACAGGTTTGCGAAGCATTCAGGTTTCTTGAGTATCGTATTTGCACTAAAACCGGAGCTCTCCACTTTCATTATGTGAGGTATCAATTCGTTTGCAATCTCTAAGAATTCTTTATAAATCTCTTCATCATCACGTGAATAGTTGTATCTGTAAAAGATTAATTTAGTAAACTTGTATTCAGTCAAAGTGGATGCAATACTCACAGTCGTATAACATCACTAGCATTTGCCCAACTCTCAAAAGCCTCTTTGTACTTTTTGTTGCGATAAAAATAACCTCCCTGATAAGTGTAAGGGTACACATGTTGATTATTGTAAAATGTTCTTGCAGATACAATAGCCTCTTGGAACAATGTGTTGCATGGGACTCTAGAATTTTAAAAGTTTGATTAAAAATGCTTATGTTTTGTATTGACTAATATTACCGGCCAGGCGTTGCTGAAATTTCTTCAAGATCTCCCAGATTCCCTATGGCCATAGGATATTTAGTCAAGTGACCCAAATCATAAAGTAACCATAATAATTCTTGTTGAAGTACTGCAACTTCAAATGCGTCATGGGTCGCGTTTAGCGATGGATTTATTGCGGATACCAGAGCGGCGACTTCCATTGCCCTGGTGCAAATAACAGGTCTGTTATTCACGTACAACCACGACCTGACATCAACGCCTTTGCCAACCTCCTGACCCCTCTTGTCTTCATTTCCCTTCCCATGCCATGTCACCTCTGCTGTTTCCAAGCCTGTCTCACCAAACACCACCCATGCATGATCCTCAGATAGAGCAAGATGCACATCATTGTAGCCCAGTGCTTGACAGCCTGCAACCACTGCAAATGCCACTCCAAAGCAGTCCAATTTGCGACCAGTGAGGTAGCTGTAGAGACTCTGCAGGTGCGCTCTGTCCTTGTAGTAGCTGCGGGTGAGCGAATTCCACACCACATCCGACACCTTCTTCACGAGTTCGCGAGTGGCGTAGTGCTTAGTACCGTTGTTATTGGACACTTCGACGGCTGTCTTCATAATGGCATGGAACTTATCGTAAAGGGTCTGGATGTTGTGCAGTTCGAGGACAGGTGGCTGTGACTGGGCCTGCTCCATGGGGTCGCTATGTTGTGATGTTGCTGCGGCGACGCTGCTGCTACCGCTTACCGACCGGCATGTCAGGGAATTCTCGAAGGCTCCGGCGATGATGGACAGCAATGCAAGGTCGGGCTCCCCGCCGCCCTCCAGTTGCCCCTTGAACACCTCGATCACAGAACTCACGTCCTTCAGCGGGAACAAGGTCTTGTCCAGATCTTCGAAACCCGCCATGGTTGATGCTTCACATATTTTCCTCTGCTGGCTGCAGGGGGGCCAAGATGCGTATTAAATAAAAGTGATTGATTCAACTAGATTCAACTTCATGATGGCCACTACCAACTGTAAAACCAGGGTTACAATAGTGCATGCGCTGTTTGTAAATAGTTGGTTATAGAAATAGAACAAAACAGAACTGTTAATAATAAAAATTGTCCTGTTTTGAAATGCAATTAAATATTTATATAATTATTAATAATAATGGTAATAAATATATACAAATATAAATAATTACATCCGGTCAAAGAGACATCAACAAATCCTAAAAAAAATGCAATATGAAAAGTTATTATATTTATTAATTTGTCATATTATATATGCAGGTTTAAGTTTAATCAAATTAAAAATATTTGTATTTTATATAATAAAATATTCCTGAAAATATTTACTCTCGAAAAGTAAATATTTTTATGATTGTGAAATTTGTGAATAGCTTACAAGGAAATGTGTTTTTTAAAGCTTGATTTAATTTTATTAGATTATAAACTTGGTATGGTATGGCCTATCAATATTCATCCTTTGATATACTTACCAAATTAAATGATAATTCCTCTTTCCTGGACATTTCCTAGAAAACTCAAAAGGTGTTCAAAAGGTGGGACAATGCGTGTCCAACCGCCCTTCAAAGAGTTACAAGTGGTGCCCGACGTTTAAATAACCAAATTCTAAATTATAAGTTTCCTATAACGCTGTTTCCATATTACCATTATACCAGTGGCGGATTAAGCACTTGAGAGGCCCCAGGCGCACTTTAATTGTGAGGCCCTCCTTTAAAAATTTCCAATTCAAATATTAGTTAAAAAATGTATGGGTTTTTGAAGGGCAGACATTCCGCGAAAAAAATGAGATCGCGTTGGGGGGAAGTAGTCGACATAATGTAAGATACTATAACGCGTTTAATGCCAGCCTGTAATGCGAATTCGATTTCCAGAAAAAAAAATCAAAATATTCAGTTTATTATTTTTGGTACATACCTAATTATTACTAGAAAATTACTGAATTTTATATTTATTTGATATGTATATTGTACTAGATTTTTAATAAATATTTTTTTTCGATATTCTATTTTGTCACTGTTATGTTATGTGAAAATTCGCACGTTAATTTATTTTTTTTGTGCGTTATGCGAATTACTCGTTATGAGAGGTGCACGTTAAGCGAGGTTCCACTGTATTTCATGTGTAATCATACAAAAAATATAAATTTTATTAACATTATCAAAAGTAAATTATATAAGTATAAAATAACATGCATATACATTTAAATGATAGAGCAGCATTAACAAAGTAAATTTTTAATATCTATTCATATCAACAAAACAATAATTATTGAAATATATTAGAATTTTAAACATAAATTATAGTTCTAGTTTTAATAAGAATGCTCACATAATAAATATCGCTAATGCCACTTTAAGATATATCATTAACTCTGTTTTTCTTTATTATAGTCAGAGGAGATTGCATTTTTCGTTTCGTAGGCGATGGTGTTCCAGGATGTTGCTTCAGAACCGTTAAATTCGAAACTTTTATTGGTGTTAACTTTCCCATGTCTATGCTAATCCCTTTACTCGGCGTCCCAGGTAAATCCCTCAACTGTTTCTTCACGGATAATTCCATTTTTTTCTCCTAAAAGCATAAAATTGCCAATTATAAACATAGACCGTAAAAGTTAAACAAATCATATACTTGCATTTTCATATTTTTCCTTGAAATTTTGTATTGTGCATTGAATGGAGTAACCCATATATAAGAATTCTTTTTTGTTTATAGTTTTATACTTAGCGACGAGATCCAATAACGAATCCTCGATTTTAGGAATTTTCTTCGATAAAGAATTTCTCTCTTTCTCTTCCCTCAGCAATTGACCTCCTCTGTTCCTATATCGATTAGGAGCTTTCGCTTTCTTCTCCAAATCAACCATTTTAGTCCATAAATTTTCCCAAGTATTAAACAGCTCAAATATGTGACTACAAATTAGTAATAATCCATATTTAGAATTATTTGATAATCCGAAGTTAATTTCGCACATACCTGTTCTCTTCGTAATAGTTTTGCATCTTTCTAATTTCTATTTCGTGCAATTCTAATAATTCCTCGGTTAAAGTTGTGTGTTGTATATACTCAAATTTCGATCTTTCATTTTCAGAAATTTTACACTTATCCCAAAGATCAACTAAATCTTTACGCAATCTATTAATAAAAATCTAAACAAAAAACAGGATTATATATATAGACATAACTAATTTTTTAGAATGTTACCTTTAAATTATCCATTTTTATTTGTTTACATTTCTTTATTTCATTTTGCAGTATTTCTATGGTATCATAATTATATTGCGAATAATTATTTAGATCCAATTTTGTATCCACGTAAGCGTCTCCCAACATATTCCATAACTTAATAATACTCAGTTTTAAAGCATCAATTTCTATTTTGATATTTTGCTTTTTATCATTTAGTGTTTTAAGGAAATTATCTACTTTAAGCATATTTTCTTCGCTATAGATAAAATTCACATGATCCAAGAGCAAATCTTCATCTTCCAACAGTGGAGATTTAATTTTTAATTCATTGATTGTATGTATTATATTTTTTCTTAACTCTTTGTATTGATTTTCTCGCTTATTTAACAACGATTTTAGAGAGTGTAATTTAAGAGAATTAAACTCATTGATTTCCTTCAAGGAAGGTAACGGCGTTTCATTTAGTTTATTACAATTTTCAATATTCAATTGCTTACATGTACATTCATACTCTTCATTTAAAGCTTCCACTTTTTGCAACCTTTTTTGAACTTGATCTTCTAATCTAAAATATATTTGAATGAATATAATATTTATTAATATATAATGATTTTATACTTATTAACAGCAACTTTTAAGGAAAGTTCTTCATCAAACAGTCCCATATTTGTTTTACCATATTCAGGCATCTTCATTGCAAGTTGTTTGCAAAGTATTTCAGATTTTTTTAATAAATCTGTTATTTTATCTATTAACGTATTTTGACTCTCCATTGCTTGTTTCACCAAATCTTCCATAAAACATTCAAACTCTTTTACAATACTCTGACCACACTTGTTTAATTTATCGTCTTTTAATCCCAACTTTGAGACTATCACAATCCATTTTCTCATATTTGCATATGTTATGTTCTGTATATTCGATAATAAATCATTATACCAAATTTCAATTCTATATTAAGAAAAAGTAATACAAATATTAATAATTCATAAATATTATATATTAATAATTATTATTATCGGTATTCAACAATTTAATAAATTGAAATATTTTTTATTATATTTTGAAAACCCCATTTATATTAAGCTTACCGTTCATTTACTCCATCATTATCTTCGTAAGAGGAATTTAATGTACTTGATAAGAAATCCATAGCCATCGTAAATATTTGTAGCACAACACAATATAAACATTTATAGTACCACCTGAGAGTTATAATTTATTATTGTATAAGTTAAAGAATATATAATTATTGAATATTATAATGCATTATTCTATTCTGAAAACATCAACCTGTAACGCTAACCTGACAAACCTGACAACTCCAAACAAATTTGAACAATCTGATTGGTTTAAATTCCACCTGTTACCTGCTTTTGTTTGCAAGTTGAATCAAGTGTGAATAAATATCTTACAATAATTAAATTTACATTATCCATTAAATTCGATTAATAATGTAGCAGATATTTAATAAAGTTTCGCATATATGAAGAAAATATGTTAAATTTTGATATTTTATTATAAAATCAAGCTAATAGAGTTGCATATATTTTGCATGTTATTTTTTGCTGGATATTATCTTGTATTTTTTTTCTCTATTTTATCTGAAATAAGCGATACTTGTTCATCGACATCGATAGATTAAATTATTAAGGTGTGAAAATTATGGCTGGATTAAATCCTGGAATTGAGAAATTTGGTAAGGATATTTTGTATTACATAGTTTCAATATATTACACTATATTTCTATTTCAGATTGGTCTTTAATAAAAGATGTAAACATTAACCTGAATGCTGTTAAGGAAAATGTTTCTAATTTGGTTGCTTCAAAATGTTTAAGCAGTTACCATAGAGCTGCTTGGTTGTTGAAGGCAGTTACTTGCATTGATTTAACAACTCTAGGAGGTGATGATACACAGAGCAATGTAGCTAGATTGTGCTTCAAAGCAGCACATCCTATATCAGCAGATTTATTAAAAACTTATGATTTAGATTATTCTGTTATTCATACAGCTGCTGTCTGTGTGTATCCCTCAAGGGTTATAGATGCATATAACACATTGAAGAAAATGAAGATGATTAGTAAAATTAATATTGCATCAGGTATTAATGTATATATACATATATATATATATATATGTTATATGCATGTATATATTACTATTATTAAATTATTGTAGTTGCCACAGGATTTCCAAGTGGACAGTATTGTTTAAAAAGTCGATTAGAAGAGATTAGGTATGCTATACAAGAAGGTGCTAATGAAATAGATATTGTTATAGACAGAAGTTTGGTTTTAACTGGGCAATGGTTAACATTGTTTAATGAAATTAAAAAAATGAAGGATGTTTGTGGAGAAATCCATATGAAAGCTATTCTTGCCACAGGTGAACTTGGAAACTTAACAAATGTAAATATATTAATTTTAATTATTATTCTATATACCATAAACTATTATATTCAATTAGGTATACATGGCATCAATGGTTGCTATGATGGCAGGAGCAGATTTTATTAAAACATCTACTGGCAAAGAATCTATTAATGCAACACTTCCTTTTGGTATGGTTATGGCTTCAGCAATTTCAAAATATCATGTAAAATATGGTTTTAAAGTTGGTTTAAAACCTGCAGGTGGAATAAGAACAAGTGCTGATGCTATTAATTGGTTAATTATGATAAAAGAATTGCTAGGTGACGAATGGCTAAGTCCAAAATTATTTAGATTTGGTGCTTCAGGTCTACTAACAGATATAGAACATGCATTGTTTGAGTATGCAACTGGATTGAAAGCTGTTCCATTGAATTTTACTATGGGTTAACCATAATTATTAATATTTTGTGTTAATTATATTTGATTAAAAAAAGTTATTATTAAAGGAGAATCATTTTTATTGTATTTTATTTAAAAGTATGAAAAAATATATCAAGTACGGTTACTGAAATCAATAGTATAATGGGTAAACTGGTGTCAATCGCAAGCCCGACAACCGAAATCCCGTCTATAGAAATTACAACGTTGGAAATCCCGGCTGGCTCAAAATCCCGACGTTCGAAATCCCGACTATGTCAAAATCCCGACTACCATAATCCCGACAGTGTATTTTATTATTATAAATTTCTACAATAACTTTTTTATGGTAGTCGGGATTTTGACATAGTCGGGATTTTAATACAGCCGGGATTTTGATACTGTCGGGATTTCAATCTTTCTTTCATCTTTCGGTTGTCGGGCTTGCAATATAGACCCGGGTAAAGAGTAGTAATGAGCGCCATCTGCTAATTTATTATTGAAATGAAATTGACATTTGTTATAAATAGAAAACGTAAATATGGTAGGCTCAAGTGTGTTTTTATTTGTTATGAATGCGAACTTTTATTGCAATCAGTATAAAGCAAAATGTCTAAGCAAGTAAAAAGAAAAATAACAGTGAATTTGTCGCCGAAATCAAAGAGTCTTCAAAAAAGCCGGCCGAGTGTGTTTGAGAGGTTGGGCACAAAGGCTGGCTCTGCACAGAAAGAGTTTTGCCATCATTGGGCCCAAAACGGTACATGTCCTTATGGAAAATCTTGCAAATATTCTGCAACTCATACATTAATAAGTCCATCAAAACAAAGGCTTGCAAAAACTCAGTCTGATTCTAAAAAGAGGCATTCCAAGGATGCCCATAAACGATTACACACAGCTCCAGGTGAGGAATGGGAGCACCAATGGAACCCTGAAGAATTAGAAGATGCAGATGCTGATGATCTGGAAAAGAGGCGTTTAGAACTGCAAAGAGAACTAGAGCTACAAATGAAAATGGAGAACAAGGCACATAAGAAGCAAAAAAAAGTAAAAAAGGAAAGCAGTCCTTCGTCAGAAAGTTCAAGTAGTTCATCTGATTCAAGCTCCAGTAGTGATGAATCTTCTTCAAGTAGTTCATCATCTGTGGAAACAAGAAGGAAGAAAACTAAAAAAATAAAAAAGAGAGATAGTTCTTCATCTTCTGAACATGATCGGAGAAAGCACAAAGCTAAAGTGGTTAAAACCTCAAAGAGTGTTGTGCGAGTAGAGAAAAAGAAAACAGTTTCAAGTTTGACCAAGGTAAAAGTTCATCCAAAATCTCCCCCTCCCATAAAATCAAAGAAATTATCACAAACTCCCCCACCTAAAATAAAAACTTTAACTCCAGTTAAAAGTAAAGTAAAATCAGAGTCAAAATCACCTCATCCACCCAGCCATTCAAATGAGCGAAAGGATAAACATCGTACACCATCCCCAAAAATAATTAAAGATAAAGATCGCGAGAGAGAAAAAGAAAAGGAACGCGATAAAGAGCGAGAAAGGGAAAAAGAGAAAGAACGTGAAAAAGAAAAAGAACGCGAGAGGGAAAGGGAAAGGCAACGTTTGAAGGAACGAGATAAAGAGAAGAGGAAAGAGCGCTCACCTAAGCGTGAGTCTCGGCCACCTAAAGACTTAAAAATTAAGAAAGGTTCTCCAGATTCAAGCCATTCTAGAGATCGTAAAATATCTCCTACTCGATCACGAGGAAGCACCAGTAGCAGTAAACGGGATGTACACAAAGCTTCAAGTCCATCGAAAGACAGACGTTACGATAAGAGAGCAGATTCCAGAAGTAAAGATAGAAAGGAGTCCACTTCTCGTGGCAAGGAAAAACGTGATTCTCGAGACAGAGAACGTGATCGTGAGAAAGAACGCCGTCAAGCCCGCGAGGAACGCGAAGCAGCCCGAGAAAAAGAACGTGAGGAAGCTTTGGCCAGATGTCAAGAGAGGCAGAGAGAACGTGAACGTTTAAAAGAATTGGCTAAAAAAGAAGATGAGAGACGAGCGAAAGATAGGCCTCGCAGAGATGACCGTGGCTTAGATAAGCCATCAGGCGACAGGATTGAACGATTGTTACCCCTACCACAAGATCGTATTCCACCAGCTAGAAAAGAATCAATTGAGAAAGAACGACAGGGTCGAAGATCTCCCAGAAATAGATCGAGATCTCGTAAATCTCACGAAAGACTTGATAGAAATTATGATCGTTCATTAGATAGAAATTACGATAGAGAGCATGATCGAGAATATATGAGAATCCGGGATGATCATAGACAACCACCACCGCCACCTCCTGTACCACATGATGAGAAGCGGTATGATAGTCCGTATGATAGAGCAAGGCACGATGATCGGAGGTACTTGGATATTGATCACTATAGCGATGACAGAAGTAATATTGAAAGAACAGACTACACAGATGATCGGCGACCCTTGTGGGATGAGCGTGATAGAGATATTGATGCAAGAGATATAGAATCTAGAAGATATAGAGATGAAACAAGAGGTCCGCCGCCTACTTCCACTGCCAATATTAAGTCACGTGAACAATGGAGCGAAGAATATCAAGAACATGAATGGGATAGGAATAGAAGACCGCCGCCACAACCTCCGCTTGATTGGGAAGGAGGACGAGAAAATTGGGAAAACAGAGAGCATGATGCAGCTCCACATGACGATGACTGGAGACATTATAATAGGCCTGTTGACAGTTGGCCTAATATTGAAGACAGGAGAAGATGGAATGAATGCGGTAATTGGAGGGACCGGGAACGCGAAGTTTCCAGACCAAGAAGTGCAACATCACATAGAGAAGGTGATATATTTATTTTATTATATTTGTCCAAATAAAATTAATTCATTTTTTTTGTAGAAGAGCATCCTATTGTTGACGGTCGTCGCAAGGAACCAACGCCGTTGATTAGGGCAGAACCTATTGAATTAAAGCATGATGCAATCGTGCCAGTAATTGATTCTAAAAAGGAAACGTCTTCCGCTAAAAGACCTGCAGAATCGGCGCCAGAAGAAGTATCTGAAGTGAAGAAAATATGTATTGAAGAGCCTCTTGCTGACGATTTGAGCGAAATCAGTGATGATGCAGATGAAATTTTAAATATGGTTGAAGAGATTCCAGAAGTTCTAGATGAACCTAAAAAAAATAATGAAGCTGATGTTAAAAATGTTACATCTGAAACAATTTGTGTTGAAGAACCTTCTATAGTCCAAAAACCCCCTTCGCCGCCTCATGCTAAAGAAGAGTCTATCGAAGAAGAAAATATGGATTTAGATTTTGAAGAAATATCTGAAGACGAGTTAGAGGAAGAAGCTAGAATTAAAGGATTAGGGGATGCGCTAGGTGTTGATTGGGCCAGCCTAGTAGCCGAATCAAAACCAAGAGTTCTGCCTATGACGTCTGCTAAACGTCGTTGGGAGAGTACTAATGTTTTAGTTAATTCGGGAATTTCGGTACATTTGGCTGGCGAGAAAATAGTAGAGAAAATCTATAAAGACTATGCTAACGCTAAAATAATGGAAATCGCTAGTAAAGAACCTGATCATGTGGAGATTAAACAGGAAGATGAAGGGAAGCCAATTAGTAATGGTATTGTTAAAGAAGATATTAAAGAAAACCCCGAATTAGTACCGCATTCGGTAGCTGGAATACAAACAGTTTTAAGGGATAAACAAGTTATTCGTAAGAATTTGTTTGCTAGCGCTGGACCTTTTAAGAGAGCATTGACAGCAAGACGGGATCTTATGATACGTAGACACTTATGTAATTTCCCTTTAAAAGATACTTATGTTGAACCACTAAAGAATTATGATCCTGAGTTGTTTAAATCTGCTGTTAAACTATTTCAACGTAGTTTATAATTTTTATTAATACTGTTTATTATTTAGAGTTATTGTAATTGTTTAATATTAGCTGGCAGTAAATAAAGGAATTGACAAGTTGATTTTTTCATTGTTTTTAATAAACATGCAAGAATAGTAGATTATATCATGGGTATATTAGTAATTAGTATTAATGCTTTATACAAGTTTTTGATTATATATTAATTTATTTTATATTTTGGTTTCTAATGTTAAGTTTCACATTATAAACCACGTAGAGCAAAATAGATATATTATGGAACGATAAATACAACAAAATCATGTTTCTAGGTGAACTTTCAGACGAATTTCATTATCTTTATTTTAATCATTGTTGCCAACAAAATAACTAAATTGTATTAGAAATTTCATCCCATTGACGTTTCGCCCACTAAAGTTAAAACCGGTGTTGATATTTTGTTAACGTCAACACAGTTGGTTTTATTATAGTGAAGATGGAACAATTATTTGCATTACCTTATTTGATTTTAGAATGCCCAAACATAAAATTAAAAAAACCCTCATGGGTTCAACAACCATCTGCAAAAACTATGTTTTCAATTGTATTGGTTTCATACTTCTTGGTGACTGGGGGTAAGTTGAATTTAAATTGAAGTAAGTTAAATTCATTTATTATTAATTATTTTGTAGGTATAATATATGATGTAATTGTGGAACCTCCTAGTGTAGGATCAACTACTGATGAGCATGGACATTCGAGACCAGTAAATTCTAAAACATTTTCATTGTGCTAACTAATATTATATTACATGATTTATTTCAGGTTGCATTCATGCCATACAGGGTAAATGGTCAATATATTATGGAAGGTTTGGCATCTAGTTTCTTGTTCTCTATGGGAGGCCTAGGATTTATTCTTTTAGATCAAATACATTCACCATTAACACCAAAATTAAATAGACTTCTTATTACAGCTGTAGGATTTATATGTGTTTTGGTATCATTTTTCACTACTTGGATATTTATGAGAATGAAATTACCAGGATACTTGCAATCATAATCTATTATATAAGAAATAATACTTAAAAATTTAATGTATAACTTTTAATAACACAGAATCTCTGATGTATTTTGAAAATAAAAAAAAATGGAATGAATGTTTTATTTAAATATAATTACAATATATTAAAATTAAATGACTGCAGATAACATTGGTTAATTGTGACTAATATTATAGTCTAATACGAAATGCACTGAAATAAAAAAAAATTTAATATTATTACTTAAGTTGTTTTATTCTATTGTACCTTGAGAAATCTGAAGATTTATCAATTATATGTTCAAATTCTGCAAATGATAAGGCACCATCATCATCTAAATCTGCTTCCTCAAGAATGTTTTGAATCAGATGCAGCATTTCATTTTCTGATAATTCATTAGATCCAATCAAACGTTCCACTACTTGACGGAGATCAGACACTCCTAACATATCATCACCATCAAAGTCTACAAATCAATGTTAAAACTTTTAAAATATCAATAATATTATTTACCAAATATTCTAAAAGCATGTTCAGCTTTTACAGCTTTTGGTGCTCCATCACTAAAAACAGACATCATATCCAAGAAATCCTCAAATGTGCAATCACCATCATGACCAGAGCTAAATACTTTGCAAATCCTTTCGCCAAATGGATTAACCCCTAATTCTGGATACATTAATACTTTCGACAAGGGCAATTTGGCATTCTTATTATGGCCAACTTTTTCTGGAGCTAGTGATTTAAATTTTTGGTGAGCACTAAAATATTATTATTTGTTTTAATACTTCTAGTTATATATACCTCCCTATTAATACTTACTACAAAACTTCCTTTTTTGTAAAGTAAGTAAGATCCTGAAATTAAAATATTTTTCATATTATTTATTGCACACTAAGTTTCTAAATAGTAACAATTTTTGCAAACAATTTAAATTAATAAGGCTATAATTGCATTTAATTATTTATATTGTTTTTATATTATACTTGATAATCTTGCAGTTCCTCTTCAGAGAATTGACTCTTTCCTTGTCCCATTTTGATAATTATTAATTGCAGATAAATCAGAAGTTAAACAAAAAAAAATCTACTGAAACACAATAAATAACAATAGACCCAAACTTGCCCAAACTGACCTAGCTGTCACAAATTATCATTAACTTCGGTTACAATCGGAGTATAACGAAAATAATCGAAAGAAAAGCATATATTTCTAAAATACAATTTATCTTGTTTGAGATGTCTTTAGTCAAATTAAATTAATAAATTGTTTAAATTCCTAAATTCCATTATTTGAAGTTAAATACAGTTATTATTGTCACCAATTAACTCTGTAATAGTAATTCCAGCTATTTATATGTAGATGGAGTTATGTGCGACGAATGTATAAGACAAGTAACCAGTGTATCTCAACCCAAATCTTTATATTTTATTTATCTATAAAAAAAAGGAAAAAAAGGGCGGCCGTAGCCGTGTGGCTATGGTCGTTTGTATCATAAAAATCTGATACGAAAGGTGGTTGATTCGATTCCCAAAAACCAACAGAATTTGTAGAAATACGGCCGAAAGAGATTTATATTAATAAATAAATTGATATAAATATCTTTATTTTCAAAAGAAAAAAAAATGTAAGAGAGTATCTCAAACCTTGCGATCTATGTAGGCAGTAAAAGCCTTTTTTTAAGAGGAAAGGAAACACTTCACTTCTACGCCTATAGGTGTATCCATTACAATTTTCTAGCCTTTCTTTACTTTCTGATATAGATGGCTGAAAAAAAGTAAATCGATTGATTTTGTATGAGTATGAGATTTCAGACCCAACGCATTAAACCTGTTGCTGCTCTATCTAGTTTGTTCAAAAACCAACTTTTTTACAAAACCGGTTTAAATCAGTTTAAGTATTTTATCAACAAAAAAAATGAGGTAAGGGATAAGGTTATAATATCGGTTATTGGTTGGTGGGCCATATTAAGAATGTCGTGGGCTCTAGACATCAGTTAGGTAGATGATGAGAGTGCAGTACACATTTTAAGATTTCAGTTTTAGCTGATCGGTCAATTTTGGATGAAGTAAAAATCCGGTAAAGCACTAGTTCATATTTTTTTGAGAAGTATCTTATCCGACATATTCAACAAAATCTAATTCGTGATGCTCAAAATATTTATTAATTTCGATAATATTGCATTTCAATAATAATAATGTTTATTGCATCAGTCGTACAAAAAAAACATACAGAGAACAAAATAAATATATATAATTTCAAAAAAGTTGCGCACTAAAAAAATCTATATGAGCTCCATTTTTTTTAAATTGTAGTAGACTATATGTAAGATTGAGAGCTTTACTGATTTTGTTTACATCAGAATATCCCAATTTATGCCTGACATTTTGTACTTGAGAAAACAAAACGTATGGCCAATAGAATAATTTTGATAAATGAGCACATTTCTCTTTTAAAATGTCTTTTAATTGTTTTTGATTGAGTTCGAATACTTAATATTGGTGCGAGCATCGGGTTCTTGACAATAATCTATTTTTCCTTAAACGGGAGAGAAGCATATAAGAATATCTTCAATTAAACAATTGCAATTAGCCTCATCGGTCAGTCCACCTTGATACTTTTTTTGGTTTTCCATATTAAGCGCCATAAATGATAATTTTAACACGGATGTGGTGAAAATAGAGTTAATCTAATTCAGACACGTAATTCATATAAAGTAAATAACAAACAATTATATGGTATCTCAATAAACACTGGGTTCTAGTCCGCGGAAGCTAAGTCAGGAACCACATCTACTAGTAGTAGTGAAGCAGTTGTCAACTTGAGACGACATCTAGAATATATGGCATTTGTATATGAGCAGTAGACATATCTCCCCCCCCCTATCTGTCGCCCGTTGAATCGAATACTTTTGATAACTTTCTTTTATATATGAGATAAGTACGTAACAAAAAATAATAGTACACATTAAAATATGATACAATATGAAAATGCTGTTAACATTTTAAAATTTTAGGGATGCGGCCCATCCACAGCATCCATGGACGGACCGATGTATATATATACGTAATTAGTCGATATATTTAGTGTCAATTAACAAATAAGAATATATCGACCACTTTGCGACTATTGACTTCTTTATTCTACCCTTTTATTATATAACAATTAACTCAATTTAAAAATTATTAAGGAAAACTCTAATGAGGGAAGCGGGTAATTCATAAAATAAAGACAAATCACATGAAGGTAAATATTTTATTTTAAATATCTATGATTTGAATACATTGTTCCATTTATAATTTTCATTTGTTTTAAGACAGCAAGTCAGTTTATGAACTAAGTGTGCTATAATTAAAACGGTAAAAAAATTTAATATTATGAAATACACATATAAATTATAAACTAAAGATACATATCATATTGCTGTCCATCAGTTGTTGTCCCGTTGATTTTTAAAAATGTTTCTGTATATGTATATATAGATATATTATTTTTTAAATTCATATTTGTACGCATACAAACAGACTGCAAATTGATTGTGTATCACAGTAACAGTCACAATATTTTCTTAATGCAGTAGTCTTTAATAAGTAATATAATTCAGAAACATATTATATATATAAGAAAATGCCAATTTTTTTGCGAAACATTAAAAAATGAATATTGAATGCATTCAATATTTCAACATCATTGAAAAATCAAATCTTGGAATGTTTTTATTGTATGTTAACGTTATTATTTATTTATTATATCAATTTATATTGATCATTTTGCATGAACAATAATTTAAATTTAACTAATTTTGTTCCTTTTTGGTCCACATATCGTTTAAAAAGTGTTTTCATATTAATTAGTTTACTTCTCTTGCCATTTTCATAAACTACTTTTTCACAGTTACATCATTGGATTTTAAATACATATTTTTAAATGAATAGAAAGGGTAGGAGTGTCATACACGGTTTGATACAATTATTACATGCGTTTTTAACTAGTATTCATTACAATATATGATAATTTATATATCATCAATATCATTCGGTATTTGACAATAAAATATTCAAAGTAAATAATGAATATTACATACCATTATTATCATTGGAAACATAATGCCAATATGTCTTGATAATATGATGTAAGCAACATAATGTTTTTTTATTACAATATTATATTTTATGTTTGTTAATAATAATATTAAATGCATTAAATTTTGTGCAATACTTGATGTTCCTTAAAGTTTATTTAAGAACGTGTGGAATGATTGCATTATATAGTTAGTATATTTATAAATATTTTAAATTATCATTTGTATTTGAAATATTCAAAAAAAGGATAGCCCTTTTGGCCCAAATTAGTGTCAATATATAAATTTAAAAACAAACATATTAATTATAAAGACCACAACATCAATGACATATATTTTTCTGTATATATATAATTCATTCTATTCTACGAAACACCTAAAAAGGCAATTTACAATGATTATCATAGTTATTTTTTTGATATTAACTAGTTTATTATTGTATTTTGTTTTCTCGATCTATTATTTTTGCTATGAATGTATTCAGTTTAAATATATTTCATAATAATTAATCAGAGAACTAACATTCTAATTAGTGAAATTATATATGTTAGATATTTCAATTTATTTAATGTTTTCAAAAATATCTGTTCAATTTATATATTATTAAAATATTAATATATCAAATATTTAATTTCGTTTTTCTAATTTAGCAAGAACATCAAAACAAGCAAAAATGGTCATTCGTAAAAATAGAGATATTAAAAATTTCGTTAAAAAATGTCGTTATTAATTATAAAAAAAATATCTGTGATAAAATAAGAAGAAATTATTCTATTAAATATAATTGGAGAATTTAACATAATTAATTAGTATTGTGAGCGATCTATGATGATAAATTTAACATTGTAAGATTTAGAGTGAATAATATTAATAGAAACTAGGTGTTAACTAGAAGTATTTATCAAAACAATCCACTATAGGTATAGTATGAAAAGATAGTGTATTGCTAAGATAGATAATTGCTTTATATTTAGAATATTAGTTTTGTTTCATATATATTATATTAGGTTCATCTAATACTACCCAAAAATTGTAATGTTTCTTATATGTTTAGAGAAACGCGTATTTAAAGAATAGTTATTAAAATAAATATATATATTTATATATCCATGTAAATACGTGTTTGTGATTCTTATACGTTGTACTTCTTATAAACTATAACAGAAGGTATATATCCATTTTGGAAAAGGTGTGTCGAATCTAGTTTTTTTTTCTTTAGTTGTATTTTTTAATCGATTATTTTTATTCGTTTCATATTTAATGAATTAGTATTATTACTGAATTACATTTATTTAATAGTTTAAATAATTAATTTAATACGAGAATATTAAATACAAATTTTACATTAGTTTTTAAATTTTTAAATATTAAATCACAGTAATCGTAAAGTTTTCCGTAACACGACTAAAAGAGATATATAATAAAAATTTATAGAAAGAGGAAGATATTTGGATAAAAAAATATTTGTTTGTTATCTACTTGAATAATAAACGAGAAGTGTGGAAGATACATAGAAAGTGACAACGACAAGTGTTAAACACCGAACATATATTCTTACTGTACGTGTAATTTCTAACGTTTAAATTCCTTGATTCAAATCCTTAATTGCTTGCAGTATACGCTTCACATGACCTACCTTTGTTACACCCAGTTCTTTTAGATCTCTGCGCGCTAACGTTTGTAGCTCTCTGCCGCGGATGTCGTTCTTTACGAAACTATCAATGTACTCGGCTAACTGAAGAGTTTCAAGCCAAGTGGCTACCTCTTGGGTACCCCAAGATGCCACATCACCAACCCTGCCGCGATTTGGCAATTGGCTAGCATGAGCAGTTGATTGTTTACGGAATTTCAGCCAAAACAATCCTTTCCTTTTATGCTGTATCTATGAACGAAAATAATGTAAATGAGAACCATACAACTGAATAAAAATGAAATATTGTCTTCCCACCTGATCGTCTGGTATTGGTTGCAAGTATACGAACGTTCCATTCGGCGTTTCGTACATAACACACTTCTTCAATTCTAATTCGGTGTTTGCTAAACTGGCACTTAATTTGTTCTCTAAATCGTCTCGAAGTTTTAATTTATCGCCACGATCATGAAGTAAACAACAACTCTCTTCGTATAATGTTTTTAGAGCAGCTACCAATTTGGTGAATTCACCACGGAGTGCCGGTCCTGTTAATATTTTGCCATTTGGATGAATGTGCTCCATGCACTTATCGGTTTTTGTTGCTAAACTATATAAATCTGATTCGAGACTATAACTAATAGCTAAAATTTTAATCCATTTTGCTAAAGTCGTTGCACATTCGATGAAACTAATTAGTAAATGATGCTCCTCTTCGGAGAACAGAATATCCGGTTCCCTACCAGAGATTGGTTTTTCAACAAAAGTTACAGTGGAATGTCGAGGTTCGTGACTAACAACTGGTCCACTGAACGAATGTTGCCTTATTTTCTCGATGTGCACGCCCAAGAAAGATTTTTCATGTACTGGCATACTCTGCCTCGTTAAACTGGAGCGAGCCTTGTCGTGTGCTGATATCGATGGTCGAGGTTTACTGCCCTGCGCTGCAATACTCTGTCGCTGTTTTTCTTCCCATGATTTTAATGAATTTTCCAGAGCTCTGTTTCTGCACAACATTTGCATTCTATTTTTATGGAGAATTCTTATAATTCCGGGTGGTTGTATCCAAGCTTCTCCGTCCACTTGAACTGGAACACCTTCATCACCTAAAATGTTAATTTGGATACTCTGGCATTGGGCAATTCTATGATGTTGAAGATTAATTAATCTCGATGCGGCCATCTGCACAGATCCAAACACTGCTACTACTTCTAAAATTTTGTCATCGAAAGAAGGTGCCAGAAATATATCGCCTTCCTTGGTACCACCCCAGAAATTTATTCCACCCATGAAACTAAATTAAGAACATAGGTAGTAAATGCATTTATTATGTATTTTAAATTATGCAAACCTTGGTATATTTAAAATAACAATGCCCTGTAGATGCGGTAATGGAATACGCTGACCATCGCATTCTAGTTGCACCCTTTGTTCAAGATTCTTGTACGTTTTTTGTAAGAATTGTTTGCTGCCCAATACTCCGTACCACATATAATTCTTTGCACGCGATCTACATTTTTCAGGATGTTCCTCTCGTTTAAGATGGAAATCTAACGAAATTTTAGCATCGATACCTATTCCAAAATAGTTATTCAATACCGAAACTTCAGAAAATCCCTCTAAAAGAGTTTCATCCGGATCAATAAGAGGACTGACTGCTGCACATAATGTATCAGCATTTGCCAAGAGACATTTACTAATAAAACCAGCCCCTGAACTCACATCTGAAATGGAATATAATAATGCAATTCAGTTCATTAAAATATTTCAAAGCAATATACTTACTAGGCCACGAAGGCAATCGTACTAATGGATTAATGATTGGCAATTTTCTATTTTCATTTTCTTTGTCCTCCTTTTTGTCACGTTGCTTGTCCTGTTCCATAAAACATTTGGTTGTGGCCGCAGCAGCAGCAGCAATTGCAGCTGCTTCATTTGGATTTAACATGCTGCAGCAGGATATTCGTCTGGTGGCTGCGGGTGAGCAGGTCAGAAAATTGTCATTGTCTATTCCAAGGAGATTCGAATTAGAACTATTATTGCTAGTTACATCGCTTGTAGATATTTCACTTTTGGCCAAGAGATTCTTAATATCGTAATCAGGCTCAATTTCTATACAAATTTTATCGCATCTTTGAGCCCTCACGCTTTCATTGATTTCTGGTGAAGGCGGCTCCACCACAACGCTTACTTGCGGAAATACCGAATCCTCGGCGGATTTATCCTGTTTGGTTTCGTTCAATTCTAATTCAATTTTATTTAAACTGCTTTTCGAACCCCTACTATTTTCGCTTTCCTCTAACAAAATACTCTGTCTGCTTACGTTTACTTCGGTTTTTGTTAATTTCGTTGTCGGTTTGCGTTTAAAAGAACGCCTGGCAATGTCGTTGCCTTCCACAAATTTCGCTAAGCTACAGTATCGTATAGGTTCGTGTTCGTTGCAGTTCTCTAAATAAACGTGCTGAGACATGAATGCACGATTTTCAAAGCCAAATTGCGTTGCATCATCTTCGATTTTTGGTCTAGACGGTCTACGTTTTCGATCCATAGAATTCTTTTTGAAACTGCGTCTTCGTTCTCCCATTTCTCCCGTTTGCATAGCAGCTTCATCCGTATACGTATTCTCAATACTATCCAAATCTAAACCGTACATATCATTTCCTGAAATAATATGAGGACATAGTTGCTTTTTCAGTAAAATTAATCATACAAAACCTACCAAGCATCGAACTGATGTCTTCAAGTAAGGAATCACCTGGAAGAGCATCGGAATTAGGGTTAGTATCAGTTTCTGGTGAATCAATATGTCCAATATGTCCGTTCATATCCTCACCGTCACTATCCTTTAGAGGACAAAATGATTTATGATCAGCAATTTCAGATACTATGCTTGCCTCTTCATTGGAAATAGCAGATAGAATACTGCTACATTCTTTGTCCTCATCATAATGTTGGCAAGCTTCGGTTTCTTTAAATGGATCATCTTCAATGTTTGACTTATCGGGCTTATTTGGCACTTTTTCATCATTTGAATATTTTTTGTAAATCGAGTCTTTTGTGAGATTTTCTGTTATTTCTTTGGTTAAAGTTTGGCACGTTTCACGTAAGATTTGCTCTGTTATATCTGTGGTGACACTAAAATCACAAGAAAGTAATGTTTAGTAATAGATTAAGATTAAAAATAGCAAATACTTGTACCCTTGTTGAATTTGGCTCGCCCTTCGGCTGTCTGCAAAGTCCGGCGGTGCGGGTAAATCTAGCAAATCGGTATCGTCGATTGCAGAATCCCTGCGAATATCAGGCATCGGAGATAGGTTGACTAATCTGGTCGTCAATACACTAGTTTGGCTGCTAGGACTTGGACACGAGCTAATATCGGAATTTGATCCCGAATCAATCGTCGGTAATACCTTCAGATTGTCCATTTTGTTATCATCTAGATCAGAGCTCAAGGATATGTTAACAGTTGGGATAACAATGTCTTCAGTCTGTTTATTTTGATCATCAACAGCTTGCTCTGTATGCTCAACTAGATTTCGAATAGCTCTCTTCAAACTGTTTGCCCTTAAAATTAATGCATCTTTTTCGCGTTCCACAAACCGAGAGGTTCGACGATGTTTCCGAAAATTAAAGTTACTCAAATCTTTTTCCGATTTCTCTGAACGCTTCTCAAATGACATTTCACTCTCCGTATCATTAGCTTTCGGATTATCCTCATCGTCATATTCAATATTCATTGCGTCGATTTGTTCACTAGTTAATGTTTGCAGCAGCATATCTAGTTTCTGTTGGAGAATGTCGCACTTCTTAATTATCTGGTCGTCACCGTGCGTCAAAGAACTTTCTCCCACTTGTGTGACAAAATCTTTAACGGTTTCACACAATCTCTTAGCAGATGTTAAGACTACAGAAGTCTCGTCTGATTGCAAAATATTCTGTAGATGCAAGACTAAAGTATCTTCATACTGTAATATCTGTGTATGCAAAACACCTTCCCCTTGTCCGGGTGTCAACGACAGTTTCGGCATTGCTATTGTACGCTCGAATGTCATAATACTCCAACGATCCAATATCTTTGTACTGGCTTTTTCATATTTCTCTAATAATTGGGGTAGATGTGTGTCATCGTCGCAAGACGATCCCCAGCCTAAGACCCTAGCTAAATCATTGCCAGTTCCCAATGGTAGAACAGCCACTTGACATTGTTTCTATTTGATATTAATAATAATGTCAGTAATATATAATAAAAATGAAATAGTTAATGATTGCATAACTTACGTGCATATCAAGTTTATCAATTTCTGAGAGAACCCATCCAACGGATCCATCCCCGCTGCAAACTAATATTCGGAAAGGATCGAAATGTCTAAACAGTCTCAATCCTAAACGTGGGCCTGTCGAGATCAGATCAAATACTTGAGCTGGATTAAGTAGCTGTTTGAATCGTCTCAAGAATTTTACTCCCTGGTTATCACCTTTAATAGTATAAGAATTATTATAATATTCTTTTCGAATTTGAAAGTATAACATTAACAATTACAACTTTACAAAAAACATAAATTTATGAAAGGCCATTATTATATAATGTGACATTTAATTTATATAAAAATTCTAGTCTTTCAATATGTGTAAGCAAAATACTTCATATCATCTATTCTTGTTTCCAAAAACTGTAATCAATAGATGATCATTGTAGATGTTAATTGATTAAATAATAAATATTATTACTAAAAAAATACATAATAGTGTTTTAAATAAATGGCAGAAAATACAGAATAATTGAATTATTCCAATCACCTTTCATAAGAAATGTTATATATGCCTACAGTTTGTTAAAAAAAGAAAAAATAATGTATTTATTTGTTCCACAAAAATTTAGTAAAAGCACCAAATTTAATATTGTAGAATATTATTTAATTGTTCACTACCTAAATGTTATGTCTAATTTCAGTATAAATATCAATAATAAAGATATTATTCATTGTAGAAAAGATGCTGTCATCATAGATAAAACTTAATGAAGCTTATATAATATGCAAAAATAAATACAATAGAACAATAGATAATAATTCAAAATAATTATTTAGAGGTACCTTGATTAAATTAATGCATGATTTAACATTTAATAAATTGCTGCGTATGTAAGCTCTCAAAGTTTTACCTTTGATCCTTGTCTGATGCTTTTCCCAAAGCCTCGAAATGTTTGCAATCCCAATGGCTGCTAGATCAGTTTGTTCTTGAAATTACTCGCCCATGTTTTTTGTCTTACAATCCTTGTTTGAAACCAGTTTCATTGTTCATGGATTTTAATCCTATTATTGATATTCATACAATACATTTCTGTCTGCACTAATTCGTAAAATACATTATATAAATATTTAGAATATGAATAGTAATTAATTTATTACCAAGCAATATTAAAAATTACTTTTACTGAAATATTTTTATATATTCTCTTTTATTATTAAAATTATGGTTATTCTGAAATAATCCTCGAAAATTATTAAATAAAGATTAATAATTTGAAATAATATTTGCGTTTAATTAAGAGGAACAAGCAAAAATCGTTATAATTTGAGAAAATTAAAATATAAATGGGATCCGCTGGTTTTGAAAGCATACAATTTCTCGTTAAAAAAGTTAATTTTTAAATCCACTGTCACAGGATGAGGTATACGGCGAGTAAAAGCTCAATTAAACTAGCAGAAACAGAATATAATTGCGTGTGTGCTATATAGGATTTCCTGAGTGTAGGTTTTTATTTTTCTTTCTCTCTCGAAATGTATTGTCTCTCACCAGATTTAGAATTGACGAAAACCAGAAGAGGGGATGAAGCTTGGGGTCTGACCGCCTCCCAGGCTTCGTCCTGAATTGAATGTAAAGCCGTTGGGGGCACAACGCTAACCCTCGCTACCCCCAGCGGACAAGCCGCCGCTAAATTCGGTCGACATTGCGTGTGGACCGTAGTTCTGCACCATAGACACCTCCAATCCTGTAATCTGAAATAAATCATGCAATAAACACGTATTTAAATAATGCTTATATAAATAACAATTGTAATGAAAATGTACATTTTTATTACTATCTATGTTTAGCTCGTCTCGTTTATACATATATGGTGGCCAATCGGGTACGTCGGATTTAATTTTGAAATGAAATGCGTTCTCGTAAATAAAACAAAAGATTTGAATGGTAAACTGCCATAAAAGTTTTTATAGCAAAGCAAACATTTGCAAAAGTTACGAATAGTTTCGAATTCATCCGATTATTTTCTTATACTCCTCCCAAATCCCTGAAAAAAGGCGAAAAGATGGCAGAATCATAATGGAAGCAAAACAAAAGTTAGCCCTATCCTGCATGGAGTTGTAATTTGTTGTAATCATGACTTGAGAGAACAGTAAGTTCCGGAGTGAATGGTAAGATTTGTACTTTTTCATTCAAATAAATGACAACGCTATATATTTGGTTTGTCGCAATTCTATTTCAATATTATAATCATACAACTTGAAAATACAACATAGCGAAATTGATAAACTTTCTATTGGCGAACGAAAATCTAAGTTGCAATCATTAAAAATCAATCTGAAAACTCAACAACACATATTTCACAAACAAACTGCACAATGTAACGGTACCGTCTTTGTGAGCTTTTGAGTATCTCACATTATTGCGAAGAAAATGAAACCCTTTACAGACGGTGACTACATCAAAGAGTATCTAATTGCCGCAGTTGAAGAAATCTGTCCACAAAAAGTGAATCTTTTTACTCAATTTGATCTCTCACGTCAATCTATTGGAAGAAGAATAGCCGACAGAAATTCAGTGGTTGGAAAAAATGTTAGCATTTGGTTCAAATGATTTTGAAATGTTCATTTGTCATTGCTTTCTTCACCTCGAGAATCTAAGTGCACAAGTATTGAATATGTGATGTCAGTTTTTGTCAAGATAATTATTTCCATTAAAAACAATTCATTGAAGCGTCCTCAATTTCAAGAATGTGGCAATGTGCATTACAGCATTTTGGACTACAGATCGCTGTAAATCGTTGAAAACACGACCAATCAACTACGATGCGCGTCGGATAAAATACCAGTTGATATTCAAGGTATCAAGGTATCAAACAATATCCAAAAGCAAGTGTCAAGAAGCAAGAATCTACAACAGTCTTAACTCAGATTAGAAGTTCAATTTTTAAGATGTGTATTTTCCGTTTTGAAACTGAAAAAAAAGCTTGTTACAGCCGTTTGTTACAAAATCGGAATAAAATCACTTATGTATTTATATAATAGGTAAAGTAAAATGTTCTGAGTGTTTTTCGTTACATGGCTTTAGTGAGCAATATCTCACGATGCAAATGTTGCATCTTATCATTCTATACTGCGACTTAAAGGCGACATAACGCTTTAAAAAAGTTCTTTGCAGGTTTTGTGTTTAATGTATCCAGTTGTGTGTTAGAACGTTCCAAAATAGAAGTAAAAAAAAGACAATTCGATACATTCTTCTGCACCACTACGACCAAGTGGAAAAGCGGAGTAGGCGGCCAAAAATGTTTGTGTTGTTTATGGACCCAATACAGTATCGAATGCAATAGCAAAGCGATGGTTTCAATGCTTCTTTTCTGGTAATATGGACGTCGAAGATTAGACATTTCTGGTAGGCCAATCGTCGAAAATGTTGATAAAATCATGGAAATCGTCGAGTTGAGCAGGCATGCGAGTACTTATTCCATTGCCCAGGAACTGAAGATTAGCCAGAAAACCGTTTGGAACCTTTTGCATAAGACTGGTCTCACGAAGAAGCTTGATGTATGGGACGCTCACCCATTATGAACGACAATATTTTATTGCTTTTGTCTATTACAGTGAACGGCCGCTTATCCGGGTGTAAATGTACCGTGGTCACCGTCTTAATGTTTATTTTATAAGCAAAGCTGCTGTTTAGTATACAATAAAAATGTACATATTACCTTTTAAAATTACTTTTCAAGATTGATTTAAATAATTAAGTTTGGTTTATCTTTGTATTGATTGTAGTTTGTCTTAAAATGGAGCTTTAATAAAAATTATAAAATATATGAAAGAAAAATAACCATTCTTAATAAGTAAATATATTCTTCTGACTTGAGGGCTATCTAATTTGTTCTTTCAACATGGAAAGAAAAAAAAGATTTTAAATTCGCAAAATTTCTAATTACATCTTTATTTTTCATAATTTTTTGTTATTATTAATTGAAATATTTTCACTATATCAAACTCTTCTTGTACCCCTGGGGTTATGCGTATCACATTTTGGGAATTACTGGTCTATACTAACAGCAACTTGATTATGCGATATTTGTCCATTACAATATAAAAAATAAGGATCGATTGAAAAGTAGGAAAAAGGAGTCGAAATAAAAAAAGGTTTCAATTTAATTATTTTATACAGTGATATTAATTAGGAGAAAATATATTTTGTTAAATACAGTTAAGAAATTGAATACATTTTATAATGCACAAATATTTTTATACACGTTTTTTATCTAACAACATTAAAAACTCTTTAGCGATAAAAGTTGGCACTTTTGTTGGGTTTCATGTTCCGTGTTTTCAGTGACCCAATGTCGCAAAAAAAGAATACATTCCCATTTTATTTCCATCGTTTCGAACAAACAAAGGTTCGGCCTAAATATGTTTTATCGATTACAGGGGTCAACTTTAGTTTGAATAATGGAGAGTCTGAGCCAATTGGAAATGCAATTACACGGTGAAACTTGAAAATACCTTCGACTCTTTTAATTTCATGCCAATCCCGGATGAGCGGATTTCACGTAGAATCTTTCAGTTTGAATGCCCGAATAGGAATGGACGGGTTACATTGACAATCTATAGTTAAATTCCAATAACTTCATCCGCTTGACAGATATTCAATAGAGCCACCACGCTACTACGCTCCATTGCCGCCGCGATTGAAATTCGCATAAGCCAATTTACAGGCACATTCTGCAACACATTCTCTACATCATTACTGATGAATAAACAATTCAGGCGCAAGCACTGAATGAAATTAATGTTTCGACATAGTAAATACAAATAGAAATAACATTCGTTTCATTTCGGTGTATTTATAATTGAAAACATCTCTATTATATTTATAATTAAATGCGGACGTTCAATTAATGTTATTTAAATGTAATCATCTAATAATCAATAATTAATTAATTTATAATGTGTAAGTTAAATTAATAACATTTAAAAAATAATTTAAGCTAAATTACGCGATGTTTATTTATTTTTTATATTCGGGACGTACAAAATGAGTACGGTGGCCCTGAATATATAAATTAATTATAAACTTGAATCTCTTGCGGCATCCTGGATGTGCGGATGAGGGTTCAGATTTGATTTAGGCGGTGAGTAATTAAAAGCGTTCTTGCAAAGTTGCAACACAAAGGTAAACAACGGTGAACATCGAAAGCATCCAACTTCTAATCGATATAAACTTTGAGAAGTTTGAGGTTCTTTATTTGTACAAGTTTTTACTTTATTATAACTTCATGTATTTATGATATACAACAAAAGTTATATTCAAGAATTAAGTCAATGAACTATATAATCTATATGTATATAATTTATGTAAGCAATTATAGTTCGTAATAATCAATAATTATTCTTACTAGAATAGATCTAGATTATAGACCAGGGATTCCTAGGGGTCCATGTGGATGGAATTTTGAAAACGACCAATAAAATGATGATGTCTATGAAGATATTTTCCGTTTTAATTTATTTTGTAAACATATTAAACCAATATTAGTTTTAGTACGTATAAATGTAATATAGATATGCATAGACCATCTTTTCCTTCTTCTTGCAGAAGTTCGTTGATTGTTGAAAGACAATTGTTTACAGATTCTCATTGAAATATTTCATTCTACAATATAATTCCTTTAGGAAATTGATAAACCTATGATAATATAATTGATTGAATGAAAAAAGAATATAATTTATTTACAGATTTTCATTATTTAATAATATTCAAACAAAATTGCAAGGAAAAAAGAAGAAATCAATGTTACATTTGCGGTACAGCCGATATTGATTTCTCGAATAAATGTGAACTAAAAGAAAATTTGGAATCTAAAATCAATTTTAAAACAATTGCATTTTGCAAAGACACTCGTATAAATACTTTAGATTAACAAATATCAACGAATCATTATAACAATTGGCTATTCCTAGTTCTTGCTCGGTTGAGTCAGGATTTAGTCATGTTAAAATGTATTACAAAAAAACAAGAAATCAATAAAATATATCAGAAAGTGGAGATTTAAGATTATTGTTAAATTATATTTAAAAATATAATGTCGCGAATTTCATAGTCTCAAGAGTTAATTGAGTTTTATCGGATGACGATACTTTATTTAAGATTAGTTCTTGGTAAATACATAACGTGTTCCACAATTTTCTTTATATAACTGTACGGAATATCATTAAACTTAAAATGAAGAAATAACTCTACCCATTTGTAACATAGTGCCCGTAGTTAAGTGAAGTAAAATTAAGACATATTTCGCAACGCTAGAATGTTGTATACCAACGTATACAGTAAGACCTATAATGAGTTTTGTGTTTAAGTCGTTTATGTCTATTTGTATAGTTTAATTGGCAAATAGATTATTTTTTAAAAAAACGATACGACTTTTATTTAGACTGAAACAAAAAATCTGTTTCTTTTTTAAACAATTAAAAATAATTTTACATAAACAACTATAAGACTATTCAAATTTAGACTTAATAAATTATAATGCAATGTTTAACTTTTTGCAAATTAAAAGAAAAGATTGTATACAATATTTCTACTACTTTAATATTTCAATTCATTTTTAAGAACGTGTAAAGTGTAAAAGTCCGCAATATTTTTATGTAGTAGTAGAAATAGGGCACACACACTTATACAAGCGGCAAAAGCATTGTGCTAAATGTAACGAGTAAGGTCGATGTTTAGACTCACCTGAGCACTGAGCCGCAATTTTTATCGCATACGGCACATTTGGCAGAAACAGGAAGATTCCCTTCCATCCATTGGTGCGGCATTGTTATGTTCTGTAATATCAAGGATAATCTTTAATGCAACTGCTATTACTAAATTATGTCAATGGGATTAAATCTCTAAAGATTTATTCTCAGTTCACAATTACTATCGAATCCCCAATTCTAATTATAATTTGATAATTCAATAGCCATTAACCATTGAATACATTTAACATTTGAGATTATTTAATTACCATAATTACCCATTTAATTAATTTAGCAAACTTTAAGAAGTTTTATTTAATTAGTAAACGAGGGAAATTTTACTGTCTAGCACACAACGCACGAGTAATTACGAGTTTCGTGCAAAACGGTGATTTCAAGTTCATATCAAATCCAACTGAAATTGAGTATCTCAGCACTCCACAAAATATCACACATATATTATATGCTTACCCCGTCGCTGTCTTCGATAATATCTTTTCCAACTGAAGCAAGTGTCGTCCATTTGCAATTGTTGATGGCCTTTGCAGCACATCTTTTGTGTACTTTGCACTTACAAACTTCACAACTTAGGCCGTGACTTGTGACTCCGCTGAGAGCATCTCGACATACATTACAATATGTCGGTCTTGCATGAGAAGTGGCGTACCTGAAATTAAATTTTAAAAAATATATAATACAGCTACATATACTCAAATAGAAAAATAATCAATCCATTGATCTAGTAGGTAGATATGTATGTAATCATTAAAAAACTATATATAAATCAGGGGTAGCCAATTGTGTTTGATTGTCGACCCACTACAGAATTTCAAAACCTCCTGGTTTTATATGTATATAATAACAATTTTAAAACTTTTATCTGACTGACAATCAGTGAGACTTTATGATTCTTAGCAAGATTTGTAATATTTTGATCAAAATTAGTAAGTTTCAACCTTAAATCTCCTCGAAATTCCACAGCCGACTTAGTTTTTGTTTGTTTAAGATATAATTTACATGACTGAAGCCAACTATATAAACTTGGAAATGGCTGCAAAAATGGATATATTACTTTCATCCAAAAATTGTAGATTAGAAATGTACTGAAAATTTTTACGTAACAATGAAGATTCAAACAAATTTAATTTAACTTAGAAACCTAAAAGAATTGTTATATCTTGAACAATTGTGTAATTTTTTTCTTGGAGCTTTGTTTCAAACATTGATTTTTGCAAATAAGTCTAAATAATGTGGTTATTATATTTTCGATAAATTATACTCAAAACAATATTTATTTCGTTGAGAAATTATAACATGCATTTATAGACCAATATTTCCAAACGTTTCGGTCCGCGACCCCCTTTTGCACTTAAAATTTGTAAAGGACTCCCAAATATTTTTCGCAACCCCTACTTTGAGAATCACTGCGGTCGCCAACCGGTGGTCCGCAGAGTAATTTGAATATATTTCTAATGTTTGTTTTTATTCGAGATTCGAATTTGAGTTTAGTGATCCGTGAGCTTAAAAAGGTTGGCGACGGTTGTTCTAGGCAACCATCTAGATGGGTTCTATGCAAAACACAATAAATAGTACGACTACAAGAAACGTATAACTGTATAGAATATGCAGTGGTGAGTTTTATAATTTACGCAGGTAAACAAACTGGTACTAAATTAATTGAAACAATATTAATAAATGAGCCGTTATTTTTTAAAGTGGTATAAGTCAATTCTTTTATACACCGAGATATTTGCGTTTGAATTAATTTCAAAATATTGGCAAACGTGAATCAATTTATCAAGAAATCAAGCTACATTGATTGTATGATTATAAATAAAAAAACTTACTAAAATTACCATTAACTCACTTTCAAATTATTTTTTATATGCTTTGTATCTGCGTTCTCATTTTCAATTGTAAAATATATAATACATGCAATGATTTCAGATTATATTTATTTCATAAAACGAACATTAAAATTGCATTGCATACCAGAGCGTAGTAGCAATATATATTTCAACTTTAAATCCGTATATATAATATGAACATACCTTTAATATTTTTTTTATTTAATATTCAACATGTTTATTAAAAAAAATACAGAATGAAAATGAAGAAATTATATAAAGCCATTACATTTTGCCTAAATTAGTATATAATAATTTACATTCAAATTATTTTAAATTCTAGACATTTGTTTGACAAATATATTTATGTATTTATAAATTATATTTATTTTTTAAGCGGATTAAATATTTAATTGCATACAACTTCAATGTAGTCGTTTCGTGATGTTCTATATAGTTTGGAATTATTAAAGAAGACTTCTCTACCATATAGTTTTGTATGAATTCAGTGGAAAAGTAAGCAGCTTTATTCTCCGTACTAAATATGAAAAAATAATCCTACACAAAAATTAATCATATCTGTACATTTTGGTAATTATTAATATATAGTTTAGATGCTATATGAATACAGTAGAACCTGTTTTTGGGCGGTCCTATTTTATATAATTTTATTTATGCGGTTAATGAAATCCAACCAATTCGAACGACATTGGCACCATTATAATGTTTTCTATCAGTGTGCATATGTATGTGCCTGCTCAAATGATTCTGTTACTCGATTGAACCAATTCATCACAAGAAGATGCTCGTTTTGGATTAACAGGAGTAGCAGTGAATTATGTATCTGCATGTTGAAAATGTATACATATGTACAATGAAAAATTAAATATTTTTTAAAACGTTTCCACTTGTAATTTAATTTTTTTATTTTGTTTTCTCATGTATTTCGTAAATCTTTGCCGTATTTTCTATGTGCGATTTTTTTATGCGATCCCTATGCACCGCATAAAAAAAGTTTCTGTAATACATTATAAAAAGTTATTTGTAATATATAAGAATTTATGAAAAGTTAGAATATTTTTTTTGTGCGATTTTTTTTATGCGGTCCCTATCACCGCACAAAAAAGGTTTTACTGAAGTTGTATTTTGTAGTAATAAATGTTATATTGGGATGGGTGAATTTGTATTGGATTTTTTGACTGATTGATTGATTGTTTTGTTTGTAACGCTAGAAATATGAATAGCTGTAATTAAAAACTATTATACTACAACATAGTAAAAAAAACAATAAAGATTTATGGCGTAATGTGTTCTACGAATAGTTATATTTGGAACTTCTGATTCATTGCTTATTTTTCATCATACTTTGTAGATATGTATGTAGAGAAATCGCATTCTTTATTAAAAACTCGTGCTCATAATAACGAATAACTTATAAATATAAAAACTTTTAGCGTTGGAAAGTTAAATCGTGTAAGAGTACCATTATAATTATAAGTTTATTATGTATTGATTATGCCACGCATCATAATAGGTGTGCAGTGGCATGGATTTACAGGTTAGATTTTCCTAACGTTCAATTAATTATTAGATTATATAATCTCTCAATAGCAAGTTTGCAGGCTGACAGATGAAATAAGATAATTTATGATAAAATGAGGTTTTTACATACATAAAATTCCGCATAAAGATTTTATGTTAATTCTAGATCTATTCTTAAAATAGCACTCAATAGTTTACATTGATAAATATACTTGAACATCAATTGCATTTGATTTGACACCGTTATTTCGAAAGGAAATCAATAATTTTGCGTTTATTTTTTTTTAAATATTGTTGTATTACTTCGTTATTATTTATACTTGGAATATAAACTAATTTATATCATCTTTAATATTCCACTTTTATATACGTTTAATCTTATACAGAAATCTCTGCAAATGCTTTTATTTAATAGATATCACTGATGCACAGTTACGTTCGTCTTGAATATTCTATCAGATTTCTTCGATTTCCGTTCCATTTAAACTCCAAGTATTTTCAGAAATAGTGCTGCATTATAGAGTATATCAATTTCTTACGTCAGGTACTTTTGCAATACTGGTTACATTTCTATCTTGAAAAAATATAACTAAAAAAATAGAATTGGCAAAAAAAAATATAAGTAGAAATAAAAGTTAAGAAATTTTTTGAATCCATTTGTTACCATTATAAAAAAATATTTACTTTCAGTGGAAATAATATTGTGGTGCTCACTCCAGCAGCTTATATGACGTCACTTACAAGCCCAGTATGGTGCACCCCACTCCAGCCCGTAGCTGGTATTCCGGGAAGGACTGATAAGGGCTACCTGGTTAGGTTATATAAGCGGCCACATATCTGTACCCGCCCGCATTTTAATACCAAAACAGCTAAGGCTTACAGGGGCATGCACCTTTAAATAATTAACATTGTAATATATCTCAATCCAAATAAATAAACTGAAATACTACTACTACCCGCCCGCACTTCCGCTACTCTTGTGTGTTAATAACATGCAAGTTTCTCTGTATTATCTCGTGTGTATTCTCTGTGTTGGCCCTCGATCCTCGGACTCATTATACTGTAAGAAACCTTTATATCCTATGTATCATATTGTATTGTAACTAGCCATGATTACTAAAAATAAACATATATACGAGTATCACCAAAATATGATTGTTAAAAGAATCAATATGAAATAATGAATGCAAAAAATCAGTAAATGAAAATATTTTATCCATTAACGTACATCCAGATCCATTGATTGCATTTTCTGTGTACATTGTATATTTTATATACCAATGCAAGCAGGCAATGAATTCGAAATAAAAGCAAGAGCTATGTGGGAAATGGCATTTATTCGATTCAGAGTAGTTGCATTGATTTTACAGATCGGAAAATTTTCCACTCGTCCTTTTGTAAACCCAAAAACTAGTGGCCCAATTGTTAAACATTTTCAATTAATCCTGAATACTTTGATATTTTACCATTACACCATTAAATTACTTTTTATATTTTCATTCAACGCGTCTATTAGTTTTCTGATTTACATTAGTTTTCATCATTTTAAATTGTATAGTATAATTCTGAAGAATTACATTTTGGTTCTTTTAGTGTATTTTTACCAACGAGCGAATATTATAAATTTAATTTTTAAAATAAGTTTTTTTTAGTTATTATTATTGTTACATTTTTTTTATATATTTTTTCACGAAATTATCAGGTAGCTTATAGGAAAGGGTGTTCCATTAATACGATAGTAATAATGAAGATTTTTTGTGATGCTATTCTTTTCTCGAAAATTTGTATCACCTTTTGCAAAGATATGGCTCTATTTGTATAGTAGCAGCTAAAATCAGCTTTCAGAGTGAGAATTGTTTCTGTATTAATAGCATATACTTTGTCTTCAAAAGCATGTGTCGCTATTTCCATACTTTCAAATATTTTTCAAGTAAAATTATACTGTAAGTACATAAACTAAATTTGGAGATTCTCGAATAGCCCAATAATAATTGAAGAATGGTTAATATACACTTCTAGTAATAGAAAGTTATAATTGGACGTTATTGAATAACGTTTCAAAAATATTTACATGTTCTCGTTCATAATATGTCATTTTGCTTATGTCAAATCTGATACTTCCGACATATTTGTTGTATGTTTCATAAAGTACCTGTACTTATTATTTTTTTATTTTTTTTATTTTGACTGACTTAATATTGAGTGAAGTAAAAAGTTCTGGGCGTTTTGTTTTGAACATCGAGACCAGACATGAGATCAGCCATATGCAAATGGTTCTTAACGGTTTTCTGACTAATTTTCAGTTCCTGGGCAATGGAATAAGTGCTCGCATGCTGGTCCGACTCGACGATTTCCATGATTTTATCAACATTTTCGAAGATTGACCTACCAGAGCGTGTCTCATCTTCGACATCCAAATGTCCAGAACGGAAGCATTAGAACCAACGCTTTGCTGTTGTACTCGATACTGTATTGGGTCCATAAACAACACATATTTTTTTGGCCGCCTGCTTCGCTTTTCTCCTTATTCGCAGTGGTATTGAAGAATAAATTTTCTCTTGTTTTACCTTCATTTTGGAACGCTCTAACACACAACTAGATTCACTAAACACAAAAATGCCAAAGAACTTTTTTTAAAGCGTTGTGTCGCCTTTCAGTCGCAGTATAGAATAACAAGATGCAAAGTATACATAGTGAGATTTGACTCACTAAAGCCATCTAACAAAAAACACCCAATATTTTTTGATACATTTCTTTGTACTGTATCATTCAACTAAAATTGGTACCAACAGTATAAATACTTGTCATGATTTGTTTTTAATGATGCATGTGCATTAATGACTATTGATTTTAAAAGAATAAATATTTACAATTTTTCAACCGAACTAAGAAGGTAAGCTGGATTACTTGGAAAGTAGAAAATAATTTGAGAAGTAAATACCGAAAAGTAATGTTATAATGCTTTCATAGAGAAATTTTACACCAAAATTCGAAATGGTTTGACCTCCTTGACATATTTAGTGTTAAGTCATTTCCACAATTATTCTTTTTTCATAAATATATAGTATGTATTTGGCATCTAATGTACATTTACATAGGACTATAGAACTATATTTCAACGAAATTTTGCATAATTCCTTTTTTGTTGTTATTTTCCCCATATAAAAACTGTCCTGCTGCTCAGAAACTTGTTAAAATATTATTATTTTTAAATGAAATAAAATATATACAAAAGCTTACAAAATGTGTTAAAGAGTGCTCCTTTATTTTATTTGTAACGACGCGCTTGCCTTTGAAATTAAATTAAGTAAACATACATTTTAATGAGAAAATCTAATTGAAATTGTAGCGCAGTAGAAAAATGAAAGAGAGTTTATGCCCGGGAATTCAAATTAATAATTCAAATATTTGCTATCACATTGGAATATTGTGCAACTCGGCACATTGGATTTCTCCAACAATTTTTTAATTAAAATAGTTCTTTCTTTAAAAAAAAACGTAATTATTATTTTTCTTCCAAGGCGAATTTCGCAGAATAACTGTTGAAGCTTCTGCAAGCTTAAAGTTTCGTAGACGACAGGTCTTGCATTTTTATTTCACGTTATATACATTTTTTCTACGCACCATATTTTCTCTTGTGTATAAAAGCTCGTAAGTTGGACAGCCAAAGCCCCAAAAGTGATAGCTTTTATGTGGTGGCTTAAGCTAACATGTCTTCCGCATTTTTATAAATATTATATTTCCATTTCATGAGTCTCAAGAAAGATAAACACTTTCTCACGCGTAAACACAGTGCACTAGTGGAAATTTAACTAAATTTCCTTGAATGTTAAGTGCTAAATGGTTTTAATTTGAGTGCCGGAGATACTGAAAATACTGTAGGAGGTAAGTGGAGTTAAATTGGGTTCAATCAATATGAAAGGTCGTAGAAAATTGAATAGCGATGAAGATTGATTTACCGCTCTCGCAGTAGCTATAACAATTTTTATAATTTTATTATTATTGGATAGTACATAGTTTGGATCATTTCTCATAGGAAATTAGAGATCTTTACATTTTCAGTTATATTACTCGCTTCTATATATCATCCATTTAATAGTATTGTCTTAAGATGAGAAATTTTACTTACCAGTGATGGTAGCCTGAAAGACAATCAGGTTGATCCGGTTCATGGAAGCGTTTTTGAGCTGCTGCCGTGAGAGCGCTGAGCCAGTCTTCCATCTCACGACGCGACTCGGCGCAAAGCACAAGAGATCTAAACGGTGTTAGCACCTATAACAACAGACAAACATAATTTAAAAATAATTGAAATAGTTTATAATTAAAAAGGAATCTTACTTTTACAAAGATCTCTTTTAAAGTGTATTCAATCTGTAAACTTTACCGTGTAAAGTGTAACACGATTCTGGCAAAATGGTATCAAGAGACGCGAGCTAAATGTATTCCGGAGAAAGGAAAAGAAGAAGAAAATGACAACATTTATTTAAAAAAAGAGAATGAAAAATATTTACAATTACAATTTAAATAAAGGTAGTTTTTGCTTCTTTACAAAATCATGTATTTGTTTTATTAATTATTAAATAAAAAGACAAAGAAAATATTTTCTTAGGACAAGAAGTTTTGCAACTAATTATTTATTTATTTTATTACAAAACGACAATAACTACTTACAAACTCCGTCTTCGAGGTGATCTGTCAGACATGTTATTGCATCAGTCAACTTTACATCTAAGCAATCTATCGTGGTTATATATGGTGTAGTTTACCTAACACGTCAAATTACCTAGGCGTCGGTATAAATTTGCAAATCTGCCTCTACATATTATAAATGTATACCAAATATGAAAGCTTCATTTATTTATTACTAACAACTTATTAAACTATTATAGTTTATGTTTATATTTGCTATAATCCTTTTTTTTATCGATGTTGTTCAAAGTTAAGCAAATCTTATAAAATTTAAAATAATTTATTAACATAACCTGCAAATATTTTCTTAATTAAGTCTCTTTAATCAATTTATATAGCGGTAGATGTAGAATGAAGAAATTACTAACCAAAACTGTATATTTTTTTGTAAGAACCAAGAAATTTACAAAAAATACCCATGAAAATGATAGCACATATATTCAAACTATTATTGTTTGAATTGATGCAAAGCTTTCCTTTATAGTATTATATTTTTCTACTGCATAGTTGATAAGAAGGATAAGAATAAACATCCGTTTTTTTGTTGTAGATTATGAATTTTAAGAAATTTTATAATGGCACATACTTAGTGCAAGAACTGGTCAAAATTATAGAAATTTATTATATTTCCCAATGATGTATTGTTACAGTATGTATGTATCAACGATGAAATGTTCATCGTACTGTTCGCATTGAAGAAGCTTTGAGTGTCAACGATGATCCATTTGTGTCTGCTTTTCGACAAAACATCGCTAAGACGATTTAACAGCACCTGGCTTCTTTTTGTGGAGATACCAAAATAAACCACAAAAAAATAAAATATTCGTAATATAATTTGGAGACAGAAATGCATTACAAAGGGTCATTACGTGAAAATGGAGTGTCGTGTCCCGGGATTAAGAAATCCTTGAACACCGTGGATTATCTCATAGTTATGTCGTTGCGGAGTCTTAGAGGGGTTTATAAATATTAAATGCAATATTCTTAATTAAATTTATTGTATACATCGGAGTTTTATTGAGAAATCAACTAAACAATAGTTCATCTCAGGTATTATTAACTAAGAGTTACATTCTCTTCTTAAGTTAGTATTTATGAAGTAAGTGCCCTTCTTTGGACTCTCCCAAGTAAGACTGACTTCTCAGTTCGCCCCTTAGCTAAGACTAAATTATATAATATAAAAATGTGTTCATTTTAAAAAGGGGCTACGTGGGAGGTAAGGGTTTGACCTTGTGGAAAATACAATCGTTTCTTTATGATTCTACCCAAATATTTAGGGGTTGCAGCAGGCGCAACTATACGAATATTCCACAAGTTATTCTAAATAATCACGTACAAGTATCCGATTGTATATTTGATGGATACGTTAAATATGATTTGTAATAATTAAGAGGAAAGTCATGGCCCTAACAAATATACATATTAGTTATACAATAGATGACAATAAATTGGTCGGCCACGACAGGAGGTTATTTAAATGATATTATTTTTCACATATAAGAAAAATTCTAATAAACTATACTTTGATCTAAAAAAAGAAAATCTAAACAAAAATACAATACAAAGTTATATGAATTTTACATCAGTCAGTCGAAGTTGAGATAGTCACTTTATTAAAAAATATATATATAATTATTAAATAGCCTGACAGTTATACCATAAGACATAAACTCTTGGATTTAGTGTATAAATTTAATATATACACATAATAATAATATATAATAATACTCGGTAATACAAGCTCGTATTATTAATAATGTTAATTAAGCAACCGCGATATAGGATGATCTTATTAGATTTCATGACTTCGCAAATGTCACAAATGTTTTTCTGTTTATATTACGTCGAATGCAAATTATACCCAGTTCAAGGTTTTCTCTGATCTATGCATAAGACCGGGCATACTAGATGTGAATCCATTTACGCCGCAAATAGGACCAAACTAAATGGGAAACAGACTAATCTTCGTTGTTGCAAGATCGCATTTGACAAATTACAGAGGTCGCTGATCAAAGTTTCAAATTAGTTGTCTTTGCAAAGTATTATTATTGGGAAGACTTAGAAAAAGTATACAAAGCAAATTTTACTCCCTGCAGCGCTGCAAACTTTGTTCTCGCATAAATGATAAGTTAAAATATTTTAAAAGAAATCCTCATTTAATTTTTAGAATATTAGTTGAAAGTACTTTCCTTCGCTGTAACATTATCATATCTTTATTAAATATGAAATTCAATAACGTGTAGCAAACAGTTTACAGTCTATAATAAAACAAATAAAAATACAGCAATATTACAGCTTCGATCAGTCCGGATTCATTATAGTTTCACTAAATTTTAATTTAGCAAAATAAAAATAAGTTCAGTATACCACATTACTCTTAGATAATATTAACTATTTACATACAAACTTCGGTTTTATATTTACCATAATTAATTAATACACAATATCAACTAGATACTTTCACGTTAGAATTAATATATTGATAATGATTAGCAAATATAATGCTGAAATTTAGAAACTTTAATTTAATGAAGTTATTATCTGCGCTAAACATTAGGAATTTTATTGAACTTCTTTCTAAGGACCTTAAATAGAGTTTGGAGGAAACAGTTTATTTTTTTAAGAGAAAATGATTTTAATTTAGGAAGAAATGTTATTGCTTAGAGATAAATGTTACATGAAATAATAACTCCATATAGACAATTATTATATGAATGATAAATCAAGTACAAAAAATGTACCTGAGACTAATATTTTCAAAAGTAATATCACTTTGTATGTAAGTTGACCGTTTTTTTTTAATAAAACTTCTTTCTTTTTTTGAAAAAAAAAATAGTATTTTTCATAGTATCATAGTATTTTTGCAGTGCAAGTCTCAACGGAAGAAGATAAGGAACTTGATCTTTTCCATTTAAAATGTCCATGTCCAACGGAAATTACATCAAAGTCAAAGAAGAAGCCAGGTTATTGACGAAAACTATAGAAAGAACATTTATTGAAAGGAGTTGTATTGATTACCCAATACTACTACGTAGAGGCTACTTTCTAATGGAAAGTTGCAAAAAAATATAATAAGGAAAACCTGCCGAAGTAAATTGAATAGTAAACACCAAAACACATATACCAAAACCTAGAAAGAAAAATATACTGCTCGATCTTTTTGGACATATCGCAAACATTTGACAAAGTATATCATCTCGGTCTACAAAACAAACTTAAGAAGAACTTGCCATATAATTATTTTAAAATAATAATATCATATCTGGAAAATGTTTAAGATAGAAATTGAAGACGAATACACCAATAGAATCTGGGATGCCACAAGGAAGTATTTTAGGACCCGTGTTTTACCTTCTATTCGCGGCAGATTTTCCTAAGAATACTATGATTGCAACATTCGCTGATGATATAGCAATTTTTGAATCGGATATCTGCAGGAAAATGTAGAAAAAATACAAAAAAAGGTTACATAGAAGGTTATAAATATATTTAATAACCATGTCAAACCAGTGTACACCCCTTCATGTCGAGGCTGTACTTGGCATTTAATTTTATAAGTGCGCGAATGTAAACTCCACCCCACGTACCAAATGGGGTTCCAATTTACAATATTGAACATTTTCACTTTTATTTCGAAAATATGATTTATTCAAAATTGTATGACAATCTAAATCACTTCCATTAAAAGCATTCTACTTTGCAATTTTGTAAGAATATATTGTAATACATTAAATGTAAATAACATGTAATAACATTCAAGGACAGTGCAATCATGACTGGGGAAAGCTTCAACCAAGGATAACATAATTTCTAGGACAAATATCTGGAAAAACAATTTTGTGGTGGTGGAAACGTCGTCTCATCGTACCATAACCAGCATGAGAATAACCCTATAACATTATCGGAAATGGCATTATCCTCGATACATGAAAGTGCCAATATGAGAGTGTAATAATTATTGCAGTTGCTGGTGTATGTTTATGTGAAAAAAATAATGACGGCGGTGTAGAATAATGGCACTGGAAGATGAACATGTGGAAATGCGTGCGACCTGGAATCTAGCTGTTATATAATAAAAAAAAAACTTGGGAGCGCAGAACAACTGAGGCAGAAAGAACCAAAACGAGGAAGCTGCTATTCCAATCTCGATATGTATAACATGATACACTGGCAAAACTTAAAACATATCCTTACAGTATGTCAACGGGACAATATTTATGAGAGCTTTGCAAGTTATATAACTTAATTATACGGAATGTTCGTCTCAAATTGAGGTTAAAGTTTTCACATAAAATACAATAGACATTTGATATATATGTATATTTATCATGTTCTAGAAAAGAAAAATATATAATAATCTTTTAAAATGAATATGCCAGCTACAATATTAATACTTTTTCAGTACTTGCATATTTTTTAGTGCTATTTGGTGTATGAAACATAAATGAAAGATATGTAATATTTAAAAGGAATTAAACTCTCATCAAATATTTGTACCCTGTCTGTATAAAATAAATAACTATTTATTTATCAACTGATACGATAATACATTTTGTTTATCAATAATAATTAATAACTTATAGAGTTGTCGAATTCAGTGCTCCGCAACCTATTCTCACCCACGGCACACCAAAGTTGTTCATAGAATTCCGCCGCACACCAAAAGATAAAATATACGATAGATGTTATATTGATACACAAATTTCACAATAAATTTTCATTTTTTATTTTAGAAGTATACATTCATAAAAAAAATATAAAATAATGTCTAATTAATGTGATACCTACGCATGTTTCAAAGAACACAAAAGTTTTATATTTAGCTCAATATTTGACAGCGCAACCGGAAGTTCTTGAATATGTGGTCGAAAATGGTAGTAGTGTTAGGATGATGTTGTCAGAAATGCGAGGATATTCTTTCTTAACAGAAATCCAAAAAACATCTAATGGAACTTTGACAACGTTTTGATCTAAAAGAAACTCACGCACCTCGTAGCGAAGCTCAAACAATCTAGTCAAAACTTTGCCTCGGGACAGCCAACAAACTTCAGTATAAAATAATAAGGATTCATATTCGGCTTCCATTTCTGCACAGATTATACCAAATATTCGCGAATTTAATTATGTTTATGATTTGAATGTATTCATTCATTGTGTCAAAAGTTCCACAGGCAAATTCTTGACCATCAATGCTTCTCGATGTATGCAACAACGTGTAAATTGTATTATCGGATTTTTTTTGGACCTTTGAAAAATAATTTAGTTAGAATATTGTCTTATTTCACCGCGGCATACCTGTCTGTATTGGCTCACGGCACACTGGTTGCAGAGCACTAGTCTAATTAAATTATAAAGGGATTGTACTTGTTTTGAAATTTAATTAAAATTTCAAATTATTATTGCGATTGAAATCATATGCCAAAAATCTTGTTGCCAGATGTAAATGAAAAGATGAATAACGTCTGCATCTATTTAAAATAATAGTGTATTCTGTATGACGGAAAGAAAATTAACTCGCAAAAAAATATATAGCATCAGTTATATTTCTGCATATATATTGAGATATGATGATAAAATCAAACTTGTTTAATCATTTTAAGTAATTAAAGCTGATTTATTAAAGTTAAATTAGTTGTGTGCAAATAGACTAAACATTATAACTAAGTAATTAGAAATGTTTGATTAACTATTTAAAAGTTTACAAACTAACTATTAGTGTCATTAGGATTTCATAAATGGAATGTATGTTATTAAATTATAATATGATTTACCGCAATTAAATATTGTTTTATTTCTTAACAACCATTAAAGTCGTCCGAAAATATAGTGTTGATTAAGAAAAAAAAAATATAAATATTTTTTTTATATTATTTTTAATTATATATACAACATTTTAATCTATACACCTTTTTTCTTCTTTCACGCAACTTAAACATTCCATCCTTCGAGAATTTATAAGGTTTTTCGTCAAATACTTTGCTAGGTGGTTTTTATGTCGACTAAAAATTAAACGTTCTTGCACTTAATGGAATTTTGCAAAGATCCGATTAAATGGAAATTGTATAGTGCGCTCTGTCTGATGTATAATGCGGGTGGAGTAATTCAACAGTTTAACTCAAATATTTTTTGTGGGATAGTAAAAGAAACAGGGCCAAGTATTTTTTGTCCATTAAATTGCACGGAACTCATACGTCGTAACGGTTCAATTAACCAATGTTTAGATGGTTTGATATTTTTAATATCTCTGATAATTACGTGTCGTGTAGTGCGGATTATTTTCGACCAATATCTTGATTTCATCATTATTACTAGCAGACCTTTAAGACTGAAACCAGCTCTAAGAAGGTAGGTAAATGGTACTAAACTTACAAAAATAATTTGAGCCGAACTAAAGTTTTTTTCTAAAGACGAAATGTCACCTTTCAAAAAATTATTAATATTTACTCGATATTTACACAATAATCGAAGAAAAATTACTTGTTGAAAATGTTATTGCAGTTATAAGTCATCATCAACTTTGTTCTTATATATAGAAATTCAATTATAGCAAGCGCGGATATTAGAGGTCCTTAAAACCGCTAAAAACAGAGACTTGACTATATGAGTAGACCGCTGTGTGGAATTATTTTTTTTGTGCATGTTGTGTATTATTGACTATATTCAACTATTAATTTACCTTGAAAAATAAATAGTGCCCGTCACCCGACTGGCATTCTCGAATGTGCTCTTGGATACAAAAAGGTTTGGGACCCCTGGTATAGAGGAAAGAAACCGATCATTTATGTAAAAAAATAATTTTATATATAGTTTTTTTAGAATTAATTTTCCTTTTATGAATTTATTTATTTATTACGTATTTAAATATGAATTCTCGGACGGCAAGATTATGTTCAATATCAAATTTAGATTTTTTTCCTGGTACAGTTATGTTCTAAGAATTTTCAATTTATATAATTGCACGGTGCAACCTCCGTTTTGGAAGCTAAGATAATTGGTTATTTAAACCTATACAACGGTAATTCCTGTTTAAAAACATTTATAATAATAACGTTTATTGCAATAACCACATAAATTATATAAAAATGAACAGAATAAAGAATAAAAATATAGATGAAATGTAACTTCAATTTATAGGATTAAGGGATATTTACGCTCCCGTCGTACATTTCATATAGTTGTTCGTAAACCGAATTTTTTGTACGGAGAAAAGACCTCTATCGATGGCCATAATTTTGACTAATAAATAAGCTTAATAATAAGCTTTCGTACAAAATAACAATCTCAAGAAACAAAAGACCATACAAAAATATATACAAAATATTTGATATTTATAAATTTTCTAAAATACCATCAGTAAATTCAATTTTTTTTTCAACAAAATTCAATTTGTACGTTTAAGAGGGTGAAAAAATGAAAGCTTTTAGGGACTATCTAGCGTGAATCACCCGTAATCAACGTGACGACTTTATCCAAAATATAAATATTACATCGTGTTCTGATAATATTCAATATATACTTATAGTATAAACACAATACACATGTACTAAAAAAAATAATTATGTTAAAAATGTATATTAGTGTTTTGGGATTAACAATTAACGTCCACTTTAATAAACTGCTCGGGGGATTGCCGTAAACTCTCAATTTAATAAAAACTTTTGAAATTTTATTCAGCAGAGAAAATTAATTAATTGTACTATATCCGATTAAAACAATTTGTATTCGGCGAAATGGAACTCGCTTATTACATGGAAAGAATTTAATCTATATAACAGGACCATTTGATTGATTTTCTTCATTTCAATTGAGGGTCTCTAAGCCTAAATAAAATATCCGTGAAGCGTGCGCATCCACCAATAGAATTACAGAACCCCACGTAGACATTTTAATTATAAACCTTAATCAATTCTGATTTATAAATAACCATATATAACAAGATTTTACGCTACTTTTTAAAATAATAATAACAAATAAAATGTGCAAAATTTACCAAATATTAGATTCAATCATTCCAGGTTGTATGATTAAATAAAGAGCATAATTAATATTTATTATTTCATAACATGCAAACTTATATTTCGAAAGTTAAAAAAAAAAATAAAAGCGTTGCCGAAAGTATTAATTTAATTCCAATCCATCAATTTAAATGTAACTTGAGAGTGATTGTCATCAATGACAATTCGTATATCCATGAATTCTATAAAATAGGGTTTTTTAAATATTGTTTATTTTTTACAACATCAATTAAATGTAATATACTAAACTTTCATAACAAAATACAATGGTACCTTCAGTCTAACTCGATATAAGACCTTCATTTTGAATACGACTTGCGTGTGTGAAATACATTATTTTCATGCTCGGAGGAGATGAATTAGAATTAAAGTTTGTATAATTTTCATTTATTATGCTAATTATTATATTATTATAATATGCTATTGGTATTAACCAATAGGATTTCTTTTCATGGGAACGGATTAATTACTTTCCCTTTATTTAATATGGGAAGTATTCATTTGCTGTAAGTCCTTATACCAGAACTACAAGGATGCAACATATTAAAGACGTATATTAAATATTGTAAAAAATAATAAATTCAATTTTCTTGACATTAAATAAAATAAAAAATTCGTCATCTCTACTAATTAGTTATAACTATAAGATATTGTTTACTGCGTACATATTTAATTCTCTAAAAAACTTATTTCATATATGTAATTATTAATTATTGTCTCTTTAAACGAATTTTGCTTTTTTTATTATGAAATTATGTATATATTTATTAATCTTTGTTAATGTATTAAACTAATATTAAAACTTAATTGATTATTGATAATTCCACTTTTACACATACTATAACAATTTTGCTTGATAATAACATTTTCAATGAAAAAAAATACCGTAACTAATTTTTACTTGAAATCTAGTATAACCTAAGTATAACCTCATTACTTCAATACTTGCGTATTTTTTTTTATACTAATATTAATAAAAAAAAACAACATAAAAACTGCAATAGTTCTTTGTATGTATGTACATCACATTTATTGTAAATATTTGTTAATAATAAAATGTTTAATTCTGCAAACATTAATATTTTTTATATTGTACGTACGCAGAACGAGACATTCCATAAATACAATATAACTTTTCAGTTGAAATATTAAATGTGAATGCTTGTAGAATAATAAAATTTGTGCCTGACTGGGTTTCGTTTCAGCAGACGTAAATGGGAAACGGAGAGATAGACATGAAAATGGAGCATGTAAAAAAAAACAGCTTACCTGAAAACTGTGATTAATGTTTTTTGTTGAACACTCGGCTAGGCACAGGTCGGTGAGTTCGATTTCATCGAAAATCACAGCCTAAAAACAAAACAAATGGTAAATTGTATGTATTGGAATATATTTGTAAAAAATATTATTATAAATAGGATATATAAGTTATGCACGGTTTAGAATTGTCCATTGTTATATAATATTGGAGAGAGAGAGAGAGAGAAAGATACAAAGAGAAAATGATACAAGCAAGCTTATATGACGTCAAAGGCAACTTGGGGGGATAGTAGATTTCCCCATGGGAATTGCGTGAGTAAGTACTTTTCAACGTGTCTCTTCTGGAGATTAGCATCTTGAACTGCCATTGTTTACTTGAAACTTTGTATGAATTAAGCAACACGAGATCGTGCAGCAATAATAATTGAATTACTTAGATGACGTAAACTAAGCAAGTTATCCAATAGAAAGTTTAGGTAGCGCGTTTGCATGCGTAGACTTGTATCCAATTAATATTAACTTTATACACACTCTGTCACCGAAAGTGAATCTTCATTTAATTATTTAAAAGCTGAACCCACATTTATTTAATGAATTATTACTTCAAAAAAGTTATTTATAGAAATATTTATAGATAGTAAATATTAAATATTATTGTTATTTCAGGTAGAGTGCTAAAAAAAAGTACGTTTGCATGTACTCTAATTAGATATCGATCTAAATCTCCCGAGAAAATACCCTCTTGAGTTCATTGTTAAGCTCTTTATCGGTATCTTATTTCTCCAATTACTTTTCAGATCAAAGGCTCTAATGCCGTATATTTTAAGTTTCATATAACATCATTTGTTTGCCATAGGTTTCAAAGTACTTGTTATTAGTTAAGAACATTTGAGTTTTTTAAATTTAGATTGTTCAAATTCAAAGATACTTGGCAACATAATACAACAATTAAAAGATCTGGACGATCCTTGAATAAGATTATTTTCAGATGAATATTTACATAAATCTTAATTTTATGATTAACGAAGAAAAACCTACTGATCTTAACACATTGAGCAATTTAATTCTAAGGAAATGACAGTTAAAACTTTTTGCAACAACGTATTAGAAAACACTTATAGCTGTTGTTAAGTAATTAAGAAATGTTTAAAAAATATGGAAAAAAGTTGTACTAAAAGAAGAAAATAACATCCACGAAATCCAGATGAAATAATCAGTTTTTAAAATGAAGATAATGTTAGATATTGAGTGGAATATTTATAAAATAACAGCGAAATCAAAGAAAATGAAGACGATATTAAGGAAGTTGCTGTCAAAAAATGTTAATTAGCAAAGATTTAAAAATGACATTAAAATCGTTTTGATTTTTTTTTAGTGAAAATTATCCTGATTTAGAAATATTTATAAAATAACAGCGAAATCAAAGAAAATGAATACGATATTAAGGAAGTTGCTGTCAAAAAATGTTAATTAGCAAAGATTTAAAAATGACATTAAAATCGTTTTGATTTTTTTTAGTGAAAATTATCCTGATTTAGGATAGGCAATTTAATTTAAAGAGAAAAGAAGGACAAACAAAACAACTTTAAAATCATGCGTTTCGTTAATCAAGGTATTACTGTATGTATAAATATTTGTTATATTTTTTAGTTTATGTAATCGTATTCTTATCTGGAGTGTGGTTTGGATCAATACTATAAACAAGTTTGTACAATTTGTAGTCTTTAAAAACAAATGTAATACTGAGACTAATTGGAATGGTGAAACTCAAATTTGAAATAATTTGAATTCATATTGAATATACAATAGATTATAAATTTACAACTGTTGCCTAATTGAATCAAACATCGTCTGATTGGATAAATTGTGAATCGATGCGAATATTATCTGCAAGTGTGCCCTGCGTTCTGATGCGTATTTACCAGCGAGGGAGATACTAAATGGTACAAGCAATAGAACGAGATATGTAACAATAATTAAGCAAGGGGGGGGCTTTACTGTGCGCCTTCATTAGCATACATTGCGGGCCTTTAGATCCTTGGCCTAGATCCTTTACTATGCTACTAAGTGACGCACTCTACCAAATGTTAATAACCAATTTATTTGTAAATGAGCGGGCCACATTTAATTTAATTCTGACCACAGTAATTGATCCTACCTTTATTAAAAGGCAATTTAATTTCTCGCGATCAATAAACCATTCACACCATTCATGCTTATGTGTTCAAATTCACTATTCATTAATATCATATTACATTCAATAATACTACTTTTACTACATGATCAATACGAGAACATTATTAATATAATTGATGAAATGGTTTCATTCAACACAGTTCCAATATTATTATGTTTAATTCAAAATAATAAAATTTGTAAAAAATACAATGAGATATGGTACCACCATCCTGATGTAATGAAACAATTAAAATAAAATTATTACACGAACTCCCATTTTAAGTTCTAGATTAAGAATAGTTATATTTCGATTAACGATCCTGTTTTGGATGAAGCACCAAGTTGCGCGGGTGAGTGGAAAAAAAATGGGTTTTTTTGTGGATTTTGTTTATTTAAGACTTCTTACATCGCTTACACTATATACTTAGAACTATACTCCACTAATACTCTTCTAATACTGTTCAACTACTATCACTTAAACTGTTCCTTAACTAATAATATCTTAATACTGTTACATAAACTACTGTTCTTTTCCCTGCTTAACTCATCTGAACAAAGCTTCCTCGACACCTTTCACAACCACTGTTGCGCTCAAACAGATCCATACGTTCCACAAAATTACTTCTTTAAACGAAACTTACTTTTCAGTTGTAAACATACTATAGCCAAAATGGAGATTTTTTCCTTTGTAATAAACAACCAAAAGTTTCTTTAAATAAATAATCAAGTTGATTTTATAATACGTAATTATTGCCTTTAACACTGATCGATTAGTTGCTAACATGGTTTTCTTAATTTTCCACAGAAAAACTATCATCTTCTGCATTCAATAAATTTCAACATAATCTTCATCGTCCTTTTTAAAACTTATTGATTAAGCTATCCGGATAACATCATTTCTAATGTCTTGTTCTAGTACAACTTTTGGCCATATTTTGCAAGTTCAGCGCTTCCAAAACTGTGGGTCGCGACTTACTGGTGGATCAAATCGCTAAACACAAAAGGACGCAAAACGTCGTGATCGGGCATCACTAAATATTTTTTGTAAATGGATAAGATATTACTTAAAAAATGGTTGTTTTATCCAAACCAATTGAAAATGAGTACGAAAATCAATACTTTTCTAAATACTTGTACGACAAATCAAACATAAATCATATTCGTTATTTAAATTCATATCGTATATATTGCACTTAACTAGCCAAATCATTTATTTGTAGATCTTGTAGCATTCTTTAATCTTTTTACACCTACGGATTTTTTAGAAATATTTTGCGGACTTTGTAGACAGTTAATATAGAAATAAAAAATAATATAGATAGTAAAAAATAAATAATTTAATGTAATTTTTTTTTTTAAATATGATGCCCAGGTTGAAGAACACTGACTGGGGCACAAATCAAAATTCACTGCGATGAATTGTCGATGAACTATTAATTCAAATATATAAATTATATATTTGATCAATAAACGCTTGTGTTTTTTTTCAATAAGAATGTGAAATTTATCAGAGATAACGTTAGCCGAGATATGACTGTATTTGTCATATTTGTACAATTTACCTAAATCTATTTCAATTGTTATTTCTGTTCATTTTAATTGCTAAATTATCTAGCTGTTGGTATCGGTTTGTTGCATTAAAAATAAAATTGATTTAGTACTTAGAATGAAATCAATCAAAAACTGTCGCATTCCCTGCGACAAGTTTAGCATGTTCGCAATAAATCATCTCAGAGATAAGGGGATCCATGAAATTATATGCGCTGTATAACGTGAAAAATAAATGGAAATGTATCCATCTAATGTTCGTCCGCTTCGCTCCGCTCGAACGACGAGCAAATAACATTTCCTTCTGTTTATTCAGAAGTGATGGAAGTCAAATATTTTTCATACCTCTTCTGAGGAGAACCTAAGCATCTGCAGGAACACTTTACTTGAACCGCCGAGGACGGAAAAAATTGGTTCCGAAATGGCTTAATTTTATTGGTCTACAGTCTCCAAATATTAAACGGTCACATAATATTACTACTGCTATGCGCCCCCTTCAAAATTCACGACATTGACATAAAAGAGACCAATACATTTTTATGGAATCATATTTTAGGATAAATCTTACCTCTACTATATAAATAAAAAAAGTCGCTTAATAAACGTATTTTATGCTTTGAAAAATAAAATTTTATGTATTAAGTTAACGAAACGATTATACTGAAAAAATCGTGTATATAAACATTTTTTTTATGTCGTGTAATTTTTATTTACAATCTGTTCATCAATGTGAACGTTGAGTAAATTTAAGATCGCGGTTCACATTAGCTAGGTAATCTTTCCCGGTAGATAGTTACCATTATAATGATTATTTTTTTATTCTTAGGTTTTCTCTCGTCTTGTAGGTTAACTTCAGTAGTATATTGATGATGCTCTGCGATTTCACTATTTCCATTCACTGTAAATCTGATGCAATCTTAACACTGTCATTGTCCATCAACTTGGCTGAAGGTCCATATGCTGAACCTCATTCATTTCACTGTCCATGCTATTGCTGCAAGCACCGAGAGGGCTGACAAAGGGCCTGGATTTGAACCTGTGTCCACTGACACGTGGGTAGGGCGACTAACCATTTGGCTATTAGTCGCCCATTGAAACATTTGTGTTCGAAAATTATTAGTTTCCTATTATTGAATTAATCTTGTATAAATTTAATTAGTATTGCGGAAATTATTTTAATTGATCATTAAGGATATATTAAATTTATAATAATTAACATAATTGATTATACACATACTACATAGATTTATAGACCGCAGTCAAATTGTTATGTTATCTTTTTAATAATTGAATAAATTATATGCGAAAATCGTTTATAGTTTCCTATTATTAAATTAATTACTCTTGCATGAAATTAATTAATG